ATGTGCAACGCGACGTGGAAATGCAAAGGGCTAACGGTTGAGGAGGGGAATATTGTGGCGATTCCCATCTATGCTATCCATCACGATCCCGAGGACTGGCCGGATCCGGAAACGTACAATCCCGACCGGTACATCACACTTAAACTAAAGATGGTGTATTTTAATAAGTATGCTTCCCGATCAGATTGATTGCTTCGTAGGTTTTCCCAAGAAAACAAGCATACTGTCAAGCCCTACACTTTCCAGGCCTTTGGTCAGGGTCCCCGAAATTGTATCGGCATGCGTGAGTACTGGCGTGTTTCAAAGATAAGGTATCTGAGGTTTGTGATGGACATCTGCACGTTCAGGTTTCGCCTACTATGAAATGAAGCTGGTCATGGTTGGCATTCTCCGCAAATTCCGCTTTGTGGGCAGGGGGTAAAACGTGGCAGTGGCACCTGCCAGTGGCACTGCCAATGGCGTGGCAAGTGATAAAACCTGGAGGCTCTGGCAACTGGCAAACGATAAAAGGTGGCAGATGCCGCATAAAATGTGGCACACCATACAAACGGGTGACGCTGCGGGTCGGAGCGTTTGTCCACTCTATATTTTTGAAACTCTTGCCAGTAAATCTTAATATTTTCTTTACACTGTTTGCAAGTATTGGCATGCACAAAGTTCGTAAGTAAGCTCCGGCATGTGAAATTTTAAAATGACATATGGCATTTTGCCGTTTGCGCAAAGTACCACCAATACAGCAAAAAAAATCAGAAAGCGCAGTCAAGTTGCCATCGCGGCACTTCCAGATCTAGGAGGCGCCCCGCTGGAGTATCCCTTATAAGGAATACTCGTATTCCAGCGGTGTGCCTCCTAGATCTGGAAGTGCCGCGATTGCAACTTGACCATGACCATTGTAACTGCAGCACCATGCTCAACCGTAATTACGGTTGAGCATCGTGCTTTATTCGATTAATTAAGTGTAGCTGACTGACAAGTTTCACTGTCAGTGTCAAGTGTCAACATTAGCATCGTAGTTAAGCTTGTCCGCACACCCTTTTGGTGGCTTAGTTTGTGAGGATCATTACCATAAATTACCACCACCTACGAACAATTAAAGCTTCTGCCCAACCCGAAACAAGCTGACACGATTTTCTCAAAAAGTTCAAAACACTTTTAAGTATTTTAGCATTTTTTTGAGTAGCCATACTTCAACACATAGCGCACCACAATATGCAAAATTTGTGCGCACTCGCACACCTGGCTCACCGTCACGAGGTCGACTTACCAAGAAAACATGAGAAAAGATGAGGGAACATAAGAAAATATAATAAATCGTAAGAAAACATAGGAATACCGAATACATATCAAACTTAAAAGAACTAGAACAGTTTAGCTAATCATCAGCCCGGCGTCGTGTCTGCTCGACGAAGTCGGTCGACGAATTTCGACGACGAAATGAAGCGCACACATAATATACTCGTACAAATCCTAAATTTAAATTTGTACGATTCCAATTCTCTTGTAAACTATAACTCCGAAATAAAAAAACGTTGTACTACTGGAAAGTGGCAAAGCTTACACCAAAAGCTGCAATAGTAGTTTTTTGCATTGTAACAAATAGTGCAATTAAGTGTACAATTTGTATATGGCGATATTAATATTTTTGCGCTGTAAGCATGACGTTACCTATTTCTGTTAAATCAGATAAAATGTTCTCCGTGATTAGATCATTAGACCACTCCTTTCTGCTGATTGGAAACAATAATTTATTGCAGTACTAATACTCCATGCTTACAAATAGAAACACTAATATTAATAACAACAATTAATGGTATTGGTACTGGCGCTCATACTTTTACAGTCATTTAACTGCAATATTCATAATGCTAAGAAATATAATGGCATCCCAATTAACATACCCAGTAACACTCTACGGCAGGCCTATATTATGGACGACAAACAGTTTGGGATTGAAAAGGAAAATACAGTGCTGTAATCGCTTGTAAACATTTCGAAAACATGCCTGCAGAGAAAAACACAGTTGAGTGAAGCCGCGTTTTTGAAAGTGTTTCAACTACAGACTACGAGCAAGAGCCAGCAAGGTGGTAAACCTAAACAGTGTGTCATGTTTTAATTTTAATCTAGTGTACTCAGTACCGGCTCGTCCCATCTGTTCGATATACTGGCAAGTGGCACGTGAACTTTGCTGTTATTCCAAAAAAACCGGCGCCTGGTATATGCGCACTTTTATATTCACAGGGTGGCTCCCGAAACAGCTAACCTTATCTAATCTTGTTGATTTGCTTACTGGTTATATTGGCCGTTGCATATAGCGGCGAAAATAAGCAGTGAACCACCAGCATCAAACGAACCCAAGCGGTACGTATAAATTATGTATATCCTGCTGTGCGGTGTGCGACTGTTCTGATGTTAAAATCAGGTGCGATCAACATTGAAGAGTTTGCACGTCATTCTGATTTTGATTTGTGGCGCATTTTTAGAGTGTCTGACACTAACGACGCCTGCGGTTATTGTCACGCTCGTGAAATGTGGATTCTTTTAAACTGGCTAGAAATCATAGGATCATGGTGACGCGTGACGTTAAAATAAATTTGTATTAGTGTGTATCTGTGTTTTCGGTATTCGAGTATTCGACTATACTATGCCAGTTTGGGTAAGTTTTCAGTAGTTTACTTGTTGTTCCACCTCTTTCTGCCTTCATTACCTCGTATTATTAACATTTGGCAGATTTTTACCTTAAAACTTCTAATAAGTCTGAACACACTACAATACTTGTACATTGTAAATTTGTAAGCGTAAAGTTGACCACATAATAAATTATTTGCGTCATTATAATAAATTATTTGCGTCATTATTTGGTGTAGTGTATCTATAATTTTAATTTAAAACTGCACAGTATTAATTTAGATTAACAGTAAGTAATTTTAAGAGTCTAAACGTGGGACCACAGTAAAACATGTAAATATGTTAGGCGTGTTATGAATATATCATACAACACAACAATAGCGTTCTGACATGAGCTGCGAGAGTTGGGTACTTACCATTAGATCGCACGTACCTATGCTTGTAGTTTGAGAATTTTGCAACAGAATACTAGAAAGAATTACAAAGTACACTGTGAAAGGTTACGTTGCGTATTTCGAATTTTAAAGCCATAAACAACTGGATTTTTGCTACTATGGTCACAGCGGTGCCGGTAAACATATTGCACTATACTTGTAACCCCTGTAGGGATGGTTTCTTAAATTATGACATAAGGAAGAACCCAAGTCACAGCCTCCTTAACGAAAGCGGCGTGTCTGCCGCATAACCTATGGTGCTAGTATTCAGTACTGAATACTCTACCGCACTTAGGAAATTAATGGTTTAAAGCGCCACGTTAAAATGCTTCTGTCCTCTATTCCAGTGCCGTACCTTCACGACGTGTCACGGTTGTATTTTTAACGCGGCTTTTCATTCTTTTTATTGCGGAGCTTCGTGCGAACAGCAAAATGCAAAGTTGACCTTTCTAAATTTCATTATATACCGTCGCACTTAGGCACTTCGTGCACAGCACATGCTGTTAACACTTTCCAGAAAAACTGACTGTATTCTGGCAAGAGTTTCAAGGATACCGTATAATTCATCAAACACTCTCAGCCGTTTGTACGTGGTGCCACATTTTATGCGGCATCTGCCACCTTTTATTGTTTGCCACTTGCCAGAGTCTCCAGGTTTTATCGCTTGCCATGCCCTTGGCAGTGCCACTGGCAGGTGCCACTGCCACGTTTTACCCCCTGCCCGCTTTGTGCCCTGCTCCAAAACTGAAGTATGTTGACGCAGTAAATAGTGAATACATCCTAACTCGGCAACACAAACCAGGCACACTCCTGGTAACATATTAACAGCTGCTCTTGCTTACAGATTCCTTTACAAATCTCGGACGTGGGTTTCCCCGGGCTAAAAATGGCGTTTGGGTGAAGCTGGAGAAATTATCTGTTCGATGCAGATCTTAATTCGGCAATCCATGCGTCTCTCAAAATGACTCTTAATATTAATAAAACGTACGCCATTCATTCCGGAGTGAGTTACAGATATACGGCACTGCGGCAAGCGTGGTGCAGTGTGCGTGCGGAACTCTGTGAATGAACCGTATCCGGTAGACATCCTTGTCAAGTGCATAAATCTGAGAACCAGTTTGTGAATTAATATTCGTCTGCTGCTGTGCCTGAGTTGTATATGTGCCTTATTGACAGATGTCATTTTTTTCGGTGCTCCTTTAGTATGCGGCTCTTTTGGCTCATGCTGTGAAACGACTGTTGTATTTTTGAATTGATATGGGTAAGTTGTTTGTGCACCGGAGATATCATTCACACCACCATCGAGTAAGAAATTGGCCACACCACTGGCTTCCTGAAAAAACGCGGAGAAAGCTGTCACTGTTAGCGATATCTACGTCATTCGCACCAAAGTCGAAATAACCCAGCTTGGGAACTGAGCTAAATAATGTGCTACACAAAATTTGCTTTAAAGACCGTTTTTATTAAAATCGTGGGTTCCCGTGCTGGGAAGGTCACGAATACCTCTATAATTACCTATCTTGAAATAGAGAAAAAATCGTCATAGCACTCGTTCCACGATTAAAACTTTTATAAAAATAATCTTAAAATGGGTGCCTATAAAACCAGAGGGTGTGTGTATTAAATTAATTTCAAAAAGGGGTCTTTCAGAAGCGATGCGAAAAGAGGTGGCTATAAAAAAGCTAGAGTGGAAAGGGGCCATAGCGATTTCAGAAAATTTTTTGGCACATCATCCGGGTTGTTGCAGTTACCCGGTACCTTTTACATCATTCTGTAGCTTGTGCAATCAGCTGACTACTTAATCGTACACTGTCCTGTATGCTTACAATAAACCGGTTTCCGTATCACATCAACCTTGAAGTTTGTGGCATTGTGAGCAATCGGCTAACTGCAAAGAAGAAACGATACGCTATCTAAACACAAACTGCTCTGACAAAACGCTGAGCTTGCATTCGGCCATGTAGAAAAGTACACTGTTGCTCACGTCCAGCTCATCAGTTACTCGTTGGCGGCGCGTGCGAGAGTCGACGGAAAAAAAGCATTCCACGGCAGCTAACACTTACAGTATTTTACCGGCAGCTAACACTTACAGTATACAGCTTTCAGTATTTTACTGGTCCATACATCGTCCCATAACCGAAGATGGTGCCGTGGCTTGTTTTGGGAATTTGCGGCCTGGTGGCGTATTTGATCTAGTAGGTGTTTGATTTTCCACAGCATGGAAATATGTATTGCACTGTATATTTTTGTGCAATTTTTGGTTTTTTTTCAGTGATGGCTACCGGAAAAACGCTTACTGGAGAGAAAAAGGCGTGCCTGCGCCTTTTCTGTTCCCTTTAGTTGGCCGATTTCTGGAGCAAATATATGTAATCTTTACAATCCTCATGCGCATGCAAGTGAAATCTGGTATACCGTGATAATGAATCTGGACGTTAAATGTGTAGGTTGGTCAAGGAAAGTTCGATTTTAAATGGACTCAAAAGCTCGGCCGCAAGTTTGGGTATAATCTTTCGTTAATTGTGTATGTTTAAGCACTGCTGATAAGGCTTTTTTAATTTATTGTAGGCTGTTCGACGGACCGGTGCCAGTAATTGTCATTTCCGATACCGGTACATAGTTCTTGTATAGTTGCCGTTTAATGCATGGTTGTGTTTTACAGTATCTACACAATGCCACATGCTCTTACCTAAAGACTTTTGCAGAAATGTTAAAAAACGTGATGGTCAAGGATTTCTCACATTTTGTCAATCGCCGGGTATGTACATATAAATGGCTGTTCCTATAATATGAGATTTTAAAATACACTTCTTTTAGGAGATTGAGGGGGTCAATGGGCCTATCATTGATCAAGCCGTCAGTGTTCTCAAAGACCAGCGCTGGAAAGTAAGCACTGTTCGCTTAGTATTTGGTATGGTCACTACGTAGCAAAAGAACACTTGTTAACGATGACGACTGTTGTGGCTTAAGTCAGCTGCATTTGCCATTTTGTACAACCTTGGCATTATTAATTATTTTTTGTTGGTTTACAATGGGATGCCAATAAAATATACCGCAACTATAACAAAACGTGCTTGTGACTTCAGGACGTACGCAGTGTGCTGGTGCCGACGTTCACGTCAGGGAAAATGCGAATGGTAAGTTAGCAGCCAAATTGGTATCCAGGGCCAGTACGAAACACACCCAACATCCGCGTTGCACTTAATGCACTGATCTGATCTTACTTATTAGATGAATCCACTGATCCATGAGTGCTGTCAGACTCTCATCCAGAACATGGACAAAATGGCCGAGGACGGAAAGGAATTCGAAGCTAAAGAGTAAGCATTAGGCCAGTCATTCTCGGAGGTAGACTACGTATCATCGCTGCGTCGCAACGTACGAGTATATAAGTTACCGTAACAATAAGGAAAGTGGCGCACCCATCATGACGGTATAGACCAGAGGTTGCCCATCTCCATTTTATTATGGGAATGGATCTCATTTTTTCCCCATTTACCATTTTTCCATACTAAAATGGTATGGATGGGGAAACTGTATTTATGGATGGAGATGGATGGGAAAAACGAAGATATGGGCGGAAATGGAAAATTTAGAAAGTAGGATAAAATGACGAATTAATACATTTCTACAACTATTTTGGTTGGAAAAATTCACAAAAACCCCCGACACATAAACACACCATAAAAGTATAAAGGTCCTCGCACAAATAGGATATAATTATAAATGACAGATATATATACAGCTCAGAACATATAGATGCAAGCAGCCGCGCAATCAATGCTATCCGCTTTCCATGGTAGTAAATCTCTACAGTGGCAGCAATGGCATACAGCTGGTTTTGAGTTCACAAGAATAAGATGTTATTAACGTCCTCGCAACTGTTGCACCGTCTGAAACAGACGGTATAAATGCTACGTATTAGATTTTTTCCTGTTTTCACTTTCGAAACTTTCTTGATACAGAATGTTTGGTCGCGTCACGTTGGACGTTATCGCATCGGCGTTTTTCGCCACCAAGATCGACTCGCAAAACGATCCCAACAGTGATTTCGTGCGGCATGCCAAGAAGGCGTTCGATTTCAACTTTACCAATCCGCTGCTCATTATTGCCTGTATGTTATTCATTTTGCATGTGACCAAGAGTACTGGCAGCCTATTACTGTACTGTCTAGCGACTTGTTTTGACAGTTTTGTTCCCAAAACTTCTGCCACTCCTCGCCAAAATGGGTTTCCAGGGCATTAATCGCGAAATCACCGACTTCTTTATTCGCAACACGGAAGAGATTGTCCGCATGCGCAACGCGTCGCAGGTATCTAGTGGGTGCTTCGGACATCAGTCTGAACAGACCACTTGAGGTGTCTTTGACTTTGCAGGATCACTCCCGCAAAGATTTCCTCCAGCTGATGCTCAACTCACTCAAGGGTCAAAGTGCCGCCACCAGCAAAGCGGCCAAAGAGGCCACGGAAACTAACGTCCGCGATGACACCGATGCCGATCACGCTGACATCCTGTCGGACGTTCTTTCCAACGGACCGGTAACACCGGAGCACAATTACACGTCGAACTACAAAATGACCACCGAAGTATATGCTCATTCACGCGAGATAAATTTAGCGTTCACAGGAGTCAATGGTTGTTGTCTTGAAGGAACTGGTCGCGCAGTCCGTCATTTTCTTTTTGGCCGGCTACGAAACCACCGCGACCACCCTGAGTTTTCTGACCTACTGCTTGACCGCGCATTCCGAGATCCAGGAGCGACTCCGCGAGGAAATCGAAAACGTGATGGGTGACCGAGAAGTAGCCACGTATGACCTCATCGCTAAGATGGAATATTTAGACGGCTGCATCAACGAGACACTGCGCATCTATCCGCCGGTGGCTCGGACTGAGCGGATGTGCAACGAGACGTGGACGTATAAAGGATTGACTGTTGAGGAAGGGAATATTGTGGCGATTCCTATCTATGCTATCCACCACGATCCCGAGTACTGGCCGGATCCCGAAACTTACAATCCCGATCGGTACATCACACTTATCAATGACGATATCAGTTTAAGTAGGATGACCACTGTGACTGCTTCCTAGGTTTTCCCACGGAAACAAGCACAATATCAAACCATACACTTTCCAAACCTTTGGTCAAGGTCCTCGGAACTGTATCGGCATGCGTGAGTATAAAACACGCAAGTGTTTTACAGATATTCAGTTAAATGGGATATGCGCGAGGTTTGTGATGGACATCGGTACGTTTAGGTTTCGCTTACTATGAAATCAAGCTGGTCATGGTCAACATTCTCCGCAAATTCCGCTTTGTGCCCTGCTCCAAAACTGAGGTATGGTGACGTATTAAACACTAAGTAGCATACCCATTTCGGTAGCACCAACCGGGCACACTTCTGTTACTCGGCTAACAGTTGCGCTTTCTTAACAGATTCCTTTGCAAATTACCGACGTGGGCTTCTTGCGGGCTAAAAACGGCGTTTGGGTGAAGCTGGAAAAGTTATCGGCCTGAAGTTCATTTTGAAGTTTGAGTTCGGCAAAAGCATTCATAGACTACTCATGTAATACATAAGCGTTCATTTTCAAATATTTTTCTCGGAAGCAATTCGCTGAAAATGTTAACAGAGCAGTACAACTTATCAGCCGATGCTGTTAACACAAATGCTTTACGAACATGTGCAATGCTATTTTCTCTATAAAAAAAATTTCTAAAATGTATTCCGCAGAAAAGCTGTATCAGTTTTTCTCCTTAGAAGTCCGTGGCAGTGAGCATTTATGCTTTCGGTGTGTAGTTACTTGGTGATCGTCAGAATGTGTAATAATAGTTTGATACCTTAAAAGGACTCAATGCTCTGTCGCAGCGGACTTATCTGCGGCCGTATTGTCAGCTGCTGTCAGTATCGCTTGTCGTCAAATCAGTCGCTTTGTAAGTACGGAGAATGCCCTTGCTATCGTGAAGCATTTTATGCTGCCGCATTTTGTGTCTTTGGATAATGAGTCAATTATAACCGTCTTCGTATCGTTTGTATTAAGATATGCTTAACATTCTTTAACACAATCTGCGGACTGGTAGAGATTAGATACTCTAGCCTCTCTTCAGACAAGAATACTGAAATTTACCCCAAGCCAGTCACGCGATTGCCACCGAGGATCGGACAAGTTCAAATTCGACATGAGACCATTTACTGCAGCTTCCGTATTGAAAGCCAACAGCATCGCGTTGCCGATTCTAGTCGTTTCCCATGTCGCCGTTTCTATGTATGCAAGATTTAGTAAATCAAAAATCAATCTAGTACCTCTCGAAGGGCTGAAACTTATATCGTGTTCTGCATATATTATCGATCTGTGATAAACTGCTTTCGCATGAATACGGATGTCGTAATTTCGGACAAATGCTTGCACGATGTCTATCCCTTGTCTAAGTAAAAACAAAGAGAGTCGGTGTGTGACATAATATTGTACTGTAGCGTTAATATTGCGCTACCGATACGACCACCCAGTTATGTTTCACCGTTTTATCGCGTTACGAATTTTTATCCATTCTAGCGACTACCTATTTCTCTTTTTTTGAATTTCTTTCAGTCTTGTCTTCGCTTCGGTTAATTTAATCTTGCTAGACTTTGCACCAAACGTGCAATAGCATAGTGTACGATGTACATGCAATTGTATGTAGTGTAGTGTCTGCCGATATATAGTTGTTATCACGACTTGAAGGTGGCGGTAATATGCTTAATATTAACCCGCCACGGAGGGAGTACAAAACCAACTAATAATCGACAATATACTTAATAGCATATTAGCACTGGCATACTGCTACCGGACACTAAGATCACAACAACGCAACAATCTCGTGACACCCCTGCCACTACATTACGCCACACTTATACAAAAATGTTTGAAAAGGAAAGCATATGCATTGCACGAGCCGTCTCTAAATGCCACTGCCGATTCAAAATCAACTTCAAGCAGATAATTTCTCCAGCTTCACCCAAACGCCATTCTTAGCCCGCAGGAAACCCACGTCGGTGATTTGTAAAGGAATCTATGATGCAAGCGCAACTGTTACCTATACGAAGTTTGCCCGGTTTGGGCTGCTGAGCTAAGATTTATTCAGTGCGTCAACATACCTCAGTTTTGGAGCAGGGCACAAAGCGGAATTTGCGGAGAATGTTGACCATGACCAGCTTGATTTCATAGTAGGCGAAACCTAAATGCACAGAGGTATGTCACAAACCTTGCACGAAAACCATGTTACTGAATATCTTTGAAACACGCAAGCACTCACGCATGCCGACACAATTGCGAGGACCTTGACCAAAGGTTTGGAAAGTGTATGGTTTGATATTGTGCTTGTTTTCGTGGGAAAACCTACGAAACAATTATATTGCTCGTTAAGTATACTTATTGAAAAAAACACCGTCATTAGCCTGAGTATGATGTACCGGTCAGGATTGTACGTCTCCGGATCCGGCCAGTACTCGGGATCGTGATGGATAGCATAGATGGGGATCGCCACAACACTCCCTTTTTCAACAGTCAGTCCTTTGTGTGTCCACGTCTCGTTGCACATCCGCTCCGTACGTGCCAATGGCGGATAAATTCGCAGCGTTTCGTTGATGCAGCAGTCAAGATATTCCATCTTGGCTATGATGTCATAAGTGGGCACTTCCCGATCACCCATCACGTTCTCGATCTCCTCGCGGAGTCGTTCTTGAATCTCGGGGTTTGCTGTCAAGCAATAGGTTAGAAAGCTCAGCGTAGTCGCGGTGGTTTCGTATCCGGCCAAGAAGAAAATGACGGACTGTGCGACCAGTTCCTAAAACACAGCTGACAATTGACTTTTGTGATCCTTAAATTTATGACGGTTGAATGTTGTGTACTTCGGTAGTCAATTTGTAGTTGGAAGTATAGTTGTGCTCGGGTGTGACGGGTCCGTTGGAAAGAACGTCCGACAGGATGTCGGCATGATCGGCATCGGTGTCATCGCGGACGGTAGTTTCCGTTGCCTCTTTAGTTGCTTTGCTGGCGACTGGACTTTGACCTTTGAGTGAGTTGAGCATCAGTTGGAGGAAATCCTTGCGCGAATGATCCTGCCAAGGGAAACACACCTCAATCGACCTGTCTAGACTAATATCTAAAACACACTGCGCACCTGTGACGCGTTGCGCATGCGGACAATCTCTTCCGTGTTGCGGACAAAGAAGTCGGTGACTTCACGGCTGAAGCCCTGGAATCCCAGTTTGACGAGCAACGGCACAAGCTTCGGGAATAAAACTGTCAAAACATGGTGCCTATTTATAAACGTATAAGTACGTGGTCAAGCCAGACTGCTGGTTGGATGCGAACTGATTACATACAGGCAGCAATTAGCAGCGGATTGGTAAAGTTGAAATCGAACGCTTTCCTGGCATGCCGCACGAAATCGCTGTTGGGATCTTTTTGCGAGTCGATCTTGGTGGCGAAGAACGCCGATGCAATCACATCCAACGTGACGCGACCAAACATTCTATAACAATAAACTTTCGAAAGTGAGGAACGGACAGGAACTACAATCTGCATACGGTACTTAGCATTTATAAACTATACTGTAGCGGTGTAGCGATACAAAAGAGATCTGTCGTGAAAACATGCATCTCTTTGGTGGTGAACTGATAATTGAACCGGAAAAATTGCAATGTGCAGCTGTACGAAATGTCCAATCCTAACATGGATTTTCTGGACTTTTGAAAGGTCCAGGTTTTGAAAGGCTTTTTCTGGACCTTCTCATGTTCTGAAAACATCCCGTGTTCTTCCACAGTGGCTTATCGGCTGATTAAAATGTATGTACAATGTGAACTTTGACCATCGTGCCGATATTGGTTGGCATGTTTTTGGTTGCATCACCTGAGTAAATCGCTAAGTTTACCAAGATCACCTACGAAACCCCCTTTTGTGGTAGTACTCCCCGAGGGGCAGCTTAGAAGTTTCCGTTGCAACGCCGTCGGTTTCCGATGATGTGCAACTTTAGTAAGATCAGTCAGATCTTACTTTTGTAACTCAAAAGTCAAAACGCTGTTGCTGTTACAGGCATCAAGGTGTTTCGTTACGGTACCTTACGTACGGTGCGGCGCATCGACGGTACATTGTCTATGTATTTCAGGGATGAGCCAATATTAAATGCTTACTCTTTAGCTTCGAATTCCTGTCCATTCTCGGCCATTTTGTCCATGTTCTGGATGAGGGTCTGACTGCACTCTTGGATCAGCGGATTCATCTAACCATGGCAAGATCAGCGCATCAAACGCAACGCGGATGTTGGTTTGTACAGTTTCCGTTATGGCTTTGGGTGTCAAAATGGCTTTACTTACCATTCGCATTTTGCCGGATGTGAAGGTCGGCACCAGCACACTGCGTACATCCTGAAATCACAACCAAGTTTTCCTATGGTAGCAGTAAATTAATTATATAGACTATAGACTAGATTATATATAGACTACGAATTTTAATTTCTGACTGCTGATTCTCCACTTGTAACCCAAAAGAACATAGGTGATTAATGCCACGGTTTCACAGAATCGTCGACACAGCTTGCTAAAGGCAGTAAAAGTTGTCATCGTCAACGAGTGCCCTTTAGCACGTGACCGTGCTCATCCGTACCCTATACGACTAAGCAACAAGCGCTTACTTTCCAGCGTTGGTCTTTGAGAACACTGACGGCCTGATCGATTATAGGGCCGTTGATCCCCTCAATCTCCTAAAAATAGTAGCAAAAATTTACAGTTTCCTCAACATAGAAACATCCATTTATGCAGCACCTACCCGGCGATTGACAAAATGTGAGAAATCCTTGACCATCACATTTTTTAACATTTCTGCAAAATTCTTAGTTAAGAACATCTGGCACGATACGAGTACTTGTACAGAAACGGCGAAGTGCACAACAATGTCGCATTGCATCAACCGGCTAACCATCACTACGAACTAGTATTATGTACCGGTATCGGAAATGACAATTACTGGCACCGGTCCGTCGAACAGCCTACATTAATAAAAAAAGCGTTATCAGCAGCGTCCAAAATTCACAAAAATTATTACGGAAGATTGTACCCAAACTTGCGGCCGAGTTTTTGAGTCCATTTGTAATCGAATTTGCCTTGACCCGCCTAAAAATTGAATGTCCGGATTTAGTGTCGTAATATATCACTGGTTACTTGCATGCGTATGAAAAGTGTAATGTAAAAGCTTGTTACATATATTTGCTCCAGAAATCGACCAACTACAGGGTAGAGAAAAGGCGCAGGCACTCCTTTTTCTCTCCAGTAAGCGTTTTTCCGGTAGGCATCACTGATAATCAAACCAAAAATTATACGAAAAAACTAGCGACAGTGCACGTTTCCATTTTTGGAAAAAGTAAACACGTACTAGATAAAATACGCCACCAGGCCGCATATTCCCAAGACAAGCCACGGTACCATCCTCGGTTATGGGAGGATGTATGGGCCAATATAATGCCGAAAAGTTGTATTATCACGAATACTAAGTCTTATATAATTTTAAGTACGAGTATTAGCTGTCGTGGAATAGTTGTTCTTCCACCGACACTCACATAAGTAATCGAGCAAACGAGTTAAACGCCAGCGAGTAACTGATTAACTGTTGAGCTATGTACTTGTCTACGTGGACGAATGCACGCTCAGCGTTTTGTCAGAGCAATAATTGTGTTTAGATAGCGTATCAATTCTTCTTTTGCAGTTAGCCGATTGTTCACAATGCCACAAACTTCAAGGTTGTGATGCGATACGGGTTTACCGAACGGGTTTATTGTAACTTTGTAAACATGCAGGAGAGTGCACGATAAAGCAATCAGCTGCTGCACAAAGTACAGAATAATGTAACCGGTAATGACAACAACCCGGATGTGTCCGACAATTTTTGCATTATTGCTGGATGCACGGGAAATCACGGGCGTTGGTAGCGTGCGCGGGAAGGAAATCGCCACGGATTCTGGTTGTGGACATTTTGAGGTTCTGTGTTTTTAAAACTCTTGAACTTTTATTAAAAATTCTTTTTAAATTCGATTTTTGGATACCTAAATACATACATCAGGAAGTGCAGTTACTTCACGTGCAGAAGTGCACGTTCAGGAAGTGCAGTTACTTCTGTTCTGTATGATGCACCATTCCGTACTGATTTAGTAGTCGAAGACACAGTTTAAACGCTTTGTCGCAACTGACTGGGTTGCTGGACAGTACTAACAATTTTCGTATCATACTAAAAGTTAACGTTTATCGCCAAAAGCCGAATCAGTCACGTTACATAGTCCGAGACTCCGAGTATAGCAAGTACTCTGCTATCGTGGAGCGCTTCACGCTGTCGCATTTTGCATAGCAAGTCAACGGCATCGTAATTATACTGTGATACGATAAGTTAATCATTTCTTGAATGATAAGATAATCATTTCTTTACACTTACAGGGCCAAGCTCCCGAAATTCCGACAAAGAGCATACTGAATTTCGAAACCACGACTGACGAACGCAAGTTGGTGCAACGCTGCATATTACACAATTACCATCGTTTTCTGTGTGTGTCTTAAGTCATCCTAATGCCGTAACAGTGCGACAGCACTGGGCATTAAATCTGAGATGTTTCAAAGAAATATTTGGAGGTACGGTTCGGTGGAAGTAGTGGACGCAAAGGGATTGGCACGTCATGGAATGATTATCGATGTGGACAAGGAACGCGACTTCACCATCGATTTCGACTACACGGGTCATCACGCCGAGAAGGTCTCCAACAGAAAGTACAAAATTTCTCGCGGAGCCCCCTTCACTCACTCCAGTAGCTTAGAGGAGGATCAGGTGCCGCGTGCACTGTTTCAGTCAAGCCCGGATCATCCGTGGTGTTGGCATCCATGTACAGTGCTGCTGCAATCCTTCAGCTTCAGTATCGTGGAGATCAACCTCGGTGATCGGGTGGTGCGAGATGTTCTACCATGGAATAGATTACGAGTGGTCAATCCCGTCCAGTGCGATCCAGGCGGAATCACGAACCAGTACGTGAAGCACAGCGTCAGACTGCCAGACAGCGAAGGACTGCGTGATATTATGAAACGCAACGGCTTTAAGAGACAATGGCACCAACAGACCGGTACGATATTTGTGAAGACGGATGAGACGAGGCTATTCTATATCGCGCCCGCCGACCATGCGATGACGAGACCTGAATGTGTAAGATTTTAGTTGTTTTGCCCCATAACAGAATTTTCTGTAGATTCTTGTCATACAGTAGCATCATTTCCAGATTTCGTGCAGAGTAATTCTACAATAATGCTCCACTTGTGTACAAGCCTGTCCCTTAATTTCCTATGCAAATCAAGATGCCGTGCCAGTTGCGTGTAACGCGTGCAACGTGTAGCGTGGCGACAGTATGCAAAATTCGTATTTTTCCGTTGTACGTTTTAGGAAAATTGGGGACTGGCTTTGTACATGCATAAGCGAACGGCAGGCTACAAATTAGGACATTATACGAGTAATATTATTACTATGATACTATCGTAGCCGAAACGGGCTGGCGATATACGGTAGGTTGGCTATTATATACGTGCACAGATTTATAGTTACTTATTTCCAGGATCATCAGCTCCGCCTAGCAAGACAGCATTTAGGAGTACAAAAAATGCCGGTAAGCCTGTGTGTTTTCTGAATCACTCAGTTTTTCATCTACGTTGAACGTCAACAATCCCTTATTTTTGGGGCAGTGCGACGATGCCGAATCCGTCAACCAACTGTTACCGCAAACCTTGTCCGAGATCTTGTCGTTACTGGATGTGCACGAACAAGCCAACTGCCGTCGCGTCTGTCGGCACTGGAATTCCATCGCGGCATCCCTGGAAACAGAGTTCGTAGAGATCCATCTCGCAAAATGCCAGGCAGACGTGCTGGCATCGGTCGCGTGGCTGCTATACAATAAGGTCACTAAAGACACCAAGATTCTGAAGTTCACCAAACAACAGTCAGGTCAGTCGCTTCCCAGCGATTACAACGATCGCCTGTTCGACATAAATCCCGGCTTTGTTCAGGACATATTGGCGATAAAGAACCTTGTCGTTCCGGTTATTGCTATTGCCCACGTCGCTATTTTTGTGCACAATCTGTTGGATTATTCGGATGAGCAGGGAATGAAAATCGCACAGTGTTTTGGGGATGTTTGTAACCAGCTGGTGTTGCAGCAGGTGGAAGTTCGTTGCTGGTCGATATGGCGGTATGGCGGACCACTGTTGCCGGGTCTTAACTTGGTTAACGGACGTGTGATGACGAAATCGGTATCAGCGGTTCGGAAAATGCGGGACTTACTGGACGCTGCCTGTCCCGAAATCAACCGCAAAAATCTAAAATGCCTGAATGAGAGACTATGCGATAAGAGTTTCTACGGAGTATGGAAGGTACGTATATCTAAAGAATTTGCGCTTCTCAAACGCAGCTGCATAACGTTGCCATATTTTCTAATTGCCGGTTCTTTAGGTGGTACGCAGCTGGCAGTTGGACGATCCTCGATTTACAAACTACGATACAACGCTGCCAGAGACCTTCACATTGGAAATGGCTGAGGTTGATTTAACATCACTGCGAAGGATCACCCTGTATGCGCTGTGGTATGACCTTAATAACGACCTCTACGATTACCGTGGGTACCATGACGACAATTGGGATTTTGGTCACAAGCCGGCCGATGATTATCACCCACCATCGTGGAGTGATCCCCTTACTGACGAGGAATTGGATTACTATCCTGAAGATTACTGCGATAAAAGTAGACAAGTGAGGACCAAGACCAAGAACATGCTGCGAAGCCGAAGAAAACTGTGAAGAATTTGTGTATGTATTGTGTAATATGGGCTTTGGAAACTCCTAGACGGCTGTCAGGAGCTGACCTTTACGTGCTGACCTTTTACGATGAAAATGCTCGGGAGAAAAAATAAACAAGCCATTCCAAAAAGAGAACATCCAGTATTCTGTCCCAGTTAATACGACGTTATTCATAATTCTGGATAACACTTGTCGCCAAGTCAGGGGCATTGTATTGTGCGAGGACAGTACACTTGCTATCGTGAAACACGTGTCGTTGCCGCTGCCACTACTTAATCATCCGCGGACTTTGGAGCGTGATTTTATAGAAGGATTAATCGAAAAATGTCTTCACATTATTGTGTGCGATACTGTGTTTCAGGGTTGCATGGTCACTACGCTTACAGATACATTCTACGGCCACACCAAACTTTTGCGCTCGTTGTACTCATATGCATACTCGTACGTAGCAATTTCTCGTCTTTAATATTTAAATTCTTATAGTCCAAGCAGTGGTGTGCCTCGGATACGAAATGTTTTTAAAAAGTATCTGGTAATACGTGAAGAATAATAGCGGATTGGCCCGTCATGGAACAATCGGCGATGTAGACAAGGAAGGGGCCTTTACCTTGGATTTCGATTTTCGATTATGCAGGTCATCGTGCCTAAAAGGTTTCCACCAGAAACTGCACAATTACTCACCACGCCTCATGCACAGATTGCGGCTGCGGAGACAACGGTGCGACGGCGCGTGTGCTCTTTCAGTCCATCACCGATCAACCATACTGCTCCGCACGGTCATCTTCTGTATCGTGGAGGTGGGCATCGGTGAGCGTGTGGTACGGGATGTGGTGGTACTGGGAATGTTCCGAGGGATCCACCCTATATGCAACGCAATCCAGACGGAATCACGCAGCAGTTCGTGAAGTCGTGAACACAACGTCATACTGCCAGACAGCAAAATACTGCGCGAAATCACGAAACATAGTAGTTTCAAGAGGGAATGGTGCCAACGCACCGGCACGATACTTGCGAAGGCGCACGAGAACAGATTCTTTTATATTGCACCCACCGCCCACGGAATGTAGAGATCGGAATGTGTATTGGGTACGTACAATTTAGTATTATGCCTTCCGCCCGAATTTTCCCACATGCTCTTCCAGCCGCGTACACCCTGGACTGCTCGCTCACTGCCTAGCGTTGCTACGCCAAAATTTTCTGGGCCTAGCTTCTGAATGCATGTATAACTAAACGCATGCAAATTTGCCATTAGTACTCGTATAATTTTAATGCCGGTGCTTAATATTACTGCAACAATCGTATTCTGCCGAAGACGATATCCAGCCTGAAACAGGCGAAAAGCGAGCTACAGAATACAGTACCTGTGTCAACGAATCAACTGAGTACGTAGTGCAGCGCAGCATCTGCCGGTATACTGGTAGCATGCGGCAAGTATTTCAAGTGTTTCAAAGCAATTAAACCCAATTAATCTAACAATTCGATGCAGAGAAAAACACAGGTTTTGTTAAAAAAAAGGAAATTAAAACCAAAACAGTAAATGGATCCACATTAAATTTACTTTTTACATAATCGTACAGCAAGAAAACATGCGGCCGCGACTTGCACGTTTTTCGGCAGACCGTTTTTCGGCAGCTGCTCTCCGCATTTCTTCGTAAAGTGCCGTACAGCGAGCCAGTTCCGCAGTCAGATATGCAGCATATTCCCTGTCCTGCAATATTTACACCAGACAGTAGACCGTCAGTCCGTAACGGTCTGTATGGGATTTTAGCAATATTATTATTGCTTAATATGTACTGTTCAATAGATCTGTCGTGTACCTATAATACAACTGGTAAGTTAATGCTGACTGTGATGTTCGGAAACCGTAGCTGATAACTAAAGAAATAAAGTTTATATCTCATAAATGTAAGTACATACTGTAAACAACCATAATAGTGTGCTAGCACTGCTATTGCTAGCAATAATAAGCAAGCGATTCTATAACGTTATAAACAGAGAAGACGCAGTTCACAAGAAACAGATAAAGAGCTACCTAATTAATAGCGTATTTAACATCTGTCTGTTATATTCGTACTGGCAAATCTTAAAAAAATACTTACGTTTCCAAAAAAGAACTTACATTGCGAAAAGTTACCGGTTCGGCTTCCCCACACATATTCCCTGCCACAAAGAACATTAAAAGTCACTAGATTAATTAATACGTACAGTCGGTACAGAAAGAAAAAATTGTCAGTATTAACTAGTACACTACAGTATGGTATGAATGATGGACAAACACATAATCATAAATGCATATGCACCGGTACGTATTTTTGGGCATGAAAGCCATTGCACGGTACCTAAGGTGCTTGCGGACACGGCCATTTTTTCTGGACAGGATAATAAAAGGATTTTGGTGCTCGGCAGTCGGCAGTACCCAGCCTAAAAGTTCACGTCAAACTTAAATCAACAATATTATTAATATCGAAAAATATAGCCCTTTATTCACCAGCTTGTTGGTACACGCAGCTGCTCCGAAATGAACCCCTGACCACATAGGACTGATTGGAGAAATCAGAAATCAATAATGGTAGCCACTGGGCACTGGCGAGAGCATGGGAGATGGTTCGGTCGTAGTCTAGCTGAATAGGCTTCCCTGGATGCTGTTCGGGTCTCTTCTGCCTGTCCTCTATATAAGCTGGACCACGGTTTAGACACGGGACGACTCTCGCTCTCTTTAGATCTCTTTCTTGCACTCACTACAAATTCCTCTCGCTCGAGCTCTTCTCCAGCCAGCCTATGCAGCCAACATCACTGATAAGCGCAAAGCAATCCATCTAAAGCGGCCTCCCTCACCCCTGCCCTCCATCCCGGACCGTGATCCAGTATCTGGTTGATAAGTCTGTTCCGGCTGCATTATTCTGTTGCATTGTATTACGTGCCTTACAGTACATCCATAGCATTGACGAAGTGTTTTTATTATGAATATCCTATTTGTTTTTGTACTAACTGTTGATACTTATTAAAGGTTAGTACTGTACATCCATGATCCCATAATTTGTTTCCTATATCTGCTGCCTCTGATGTGCAGTTCTTGTAGAAACTACAAAAAAGATTCATGTGTAAAGCAGAGGAGTGCAAACACTCTTTCATCTTATTGTTGGTTCCGTTGCCGAAGTTTTGTTTACAAAACTTCTGTTTATAAAAATCCAGGGCAGCCTATTCAGCTCGTGGGGAAACTCGCAAGCACACTACTATGTATATCATAAAAATTAACACGGATTTTTTTGTATTTATTTCCCACTGTCCAATGACACAGCCGTTGCTTAAAATGACACAGTGTGTGTCTTTCAATAAAGATAAAATTAATCAGCCTTACGAAACAACTCCACACAAATTATTCCCCTTTATAATTTAACGGATGAGTGAGTACCGGAAAAGCCGAACAAAAAAAATAATACACCATTAATTCCAAATAGGTGATCAATTTTAAAACATGGCACATGGCGAACTACAAAAGGCAGATGGATCGTTCTGCAGGCAGCAATCCCAAACACCGTAACCCGTTTTTTTTTTATTTCGTGATTTCCTCTAACACACTACTACGGAAAATTAATCCATCATTTTTTTCAAGAATTATTTCTCACTGTTTCCAAAAGCACAGTATATTCCTCCGCTAAAAACAAATCCTATAACAAATAAATCCACACAAAAAATCCGCCGCTTATAAATTAATTGGAACGCCGCTGATCACTGGTATAATACCGCGTCGGACCGGCGGGCGGGGGCGCTGCCGTCCCCCTCGCACTGGGCGCCCCCCGCGCCGCATAATACGTCGTCGGGCGCGGCTGCTGATGCCCGTAGCCCGCGCCACTATACGACGCCGCGTAGTTAGCCGGCGGCGTGTAACTCGGATACCCCGGCGCGCCCCCGCCCCGCCCCTCTTGATACTGGCTCCCGGAGCGATGATCCCGCTGCTGGTAGTCGTAGCGCGTGTCCCGCTGCTGATAACCATACGAACTTGGAGCTTGGTAATCATTGCGGCGGTTGTCATAATTCCGGTCGTAAGGACGGCTGTCGTAGTGGCTACCGCGCGGGGGTTCGCTGCGCTGGTTGTACTGGTGATTCCCGCGGTAGTCGTCGTTGTAGCCGTTGTTCCAGCGTTCACGATCACGTGATTGGGAGTGATTGTAGTGTGGAGGGTCGCGGGAATGATAGTCGGGACGCTGTTGGTTGTTGTGGCGGGATTCCTCGCGGAACCGGTTGGGGTTGTCCTCCCAGCGGGCTTCGCGTTCCTCGTTGTACCCGCGACGCCCGTCGTTGCCCACCGTTCTGTAATAATGATAGTGAGCCGCTTAAAAAAACGTGACATTTCACAAGAAAAAATTATATTAACAAATCAGGATTGAAATATAACAAAATTCCATAAATCTTTTAAACAGCGGAAACAAAAAAACTAACAATAACTCTTAAGAACTTGCAACTTTCGAAACACCTTAATGAACATTTTTTTATAAGATTTAATTTTTCTGTTTTCCATTTCTTTATATTAATTTCTCCAGCAGGTATTCCTGAACACCACGGATCAGGTCACCACGGTAAAAAAGAACGCATAAAAAAAAGGAAAAAAATCACAGGGAGACTCAAATGGTATCTATAGCTCATGTAAGCTAATGGCAGAATTCATAGAAGGTGAATAGAGCAGACAGTTCATGCCCTTGCACCACATCTCTCACTAAAATGTGTAGTATAACAACCACAGACCGTTAGTCAAACAAACTCAGCATTTTAATCGAAATTTCCAACCAAATAATCAAATGTCAATAACTTAACACACGAAAAATTTTCAAAAACCTACAAACCATTTTCCCATCACTGCTTTTTACTGGCAAATTATGCACAACCATTATTTGCACGTCAATAACTATGATACTACCATTAGTCTAATTAAGCGAACCACTATAAGAATTAAACACAGCAATATACATTGTAGAAGGTGCGCCTCAATGGAAAACTGGACATAACGGACATAATTCTAAAACCCAATCCGACATAGCGGACAAAATTCTCAAAATTCTCAATCAATCTACACAAATCAGAAAATTAAAAAAAAATAAAATAATCATTTTGCAGAAAAAATTAGCATTATATTAATTATTTTGTACTGATTGATTAAATTTTCGCAAATGCTAAACAGTCATTTTGTGGAACAAGATTTTTACCGTTGAAAGAACGATCCCCGATTACTGGACGCGCCGCGCAGCATCCGGTGCGCCGAGCCATCCAGCCGCACCGGGGTGCGATTGGCATCGAATCCCAAGATGGCCCGGCCCTCTCCCAACACCTTGGCCGGCTCCTTCGCCCCTTCCAACCGCACGGCCAAGAACTTGTAATCCAGTTCGTACCAGGGATCGCGATACGCGACACTCAGCGCGCGGTTGACCGCCACCTGCGCCATCGACGCGTACGGCGGTTCCAGGGGGCGGAAGGGGATGTACGCCCCCGCATCTCCCGCTACCAACCCACCCATCCCGAAAATCAGCCTGTTCTCCATCGTCACCCAATTTTCCACGGCGTTCTCCGTCTCCGGGTAGAATTTCTCCTTTAAACCGGGTTGAAATCAGCAAATTTTAAACGTTTCTCATTTCCAGATTAAAGACATTTGAAAAATCAGAAACGGGATTTTGAGAACACAATGAATCGACTGTTGAAAATAACAAAATCTCTGTTACCTTTATTGAATAACTTTTAAAAATTATTCACAAAACTAAATTTTGAAAATTCATTTTAAAATTAAAAATTTTATTTCAAATCATTTCAAAAATGGTCGAAAACCAAAACTAATCGTAAAATAAAGTTCGAAATGAATTTTTAATATTAAAATTTGAAATTAATTTTTTAAATTTAAAATTTCATTTAACTGCAAAAGCAGTTTCAATTCAAAAACGGCTGAAAACCAAAAATAAACGGAAAATAAAATTGTGAAATTAATTTTTAATTTGAAACTTTCATGTCAGTGTAAATAAGTTCCATTTTAAAAACGGCCGAAAACAAAATGCATCCAGAAAACAAATTTTTAAAATTATAAAAATTTATTTCAACTCAGTTTCACTTCAAATCGTCCCAAAACCGGGCCAAACCCATCTGAACCTTGTCCGTACCTTCAAATCCGTGAAAATCGTATGCCGCTGCCCGACAAACAACAAATTCTGCCCCAACCCATTCCGCCTTGCCTCCTCCGCCGTCAGGGTATCGTACACCGTCCCCAGCGTCCGCAACAACCGTCCCTCATCGACAAACGGCAGGAGCGCCACGCCCTGCCAGGCGAATTTCTTCCCGTTGAGATCCACACAGAAATCACTCGGGTAAAAGTCCAGGATGGGCGATTCGGGGTCGGACATCAGTCGGCGCCAGGCGGTGGGCAGGAAGTTGCCGCTGGCCGCCGGGAAGACGCCCATCAGCTGTTCCAGCGGTTTAAACGGCTGGGTGTGCTTCGGGAAGGTGATGCGCAGTTGGTCAATGTGGGTGAAGTCGGAGGCGAAGGGCGAGTAGTGGTAGGGATAGTACCACGTCCAGGAGGGACAGCCCTGGTAGTAGTACTGCAGGACCCAGCACAATCCTTCGACGTAGGCGTGGACGATCTCTTTCTGGAACTGCCAGTCGCCGTCGATGGCCACGGCGAATTTGTTCATGTAGTAGCGCTGCTTCCATCCGTCTTCACCTGCAAAACAACAATCAATCACGTGAACCATAACAGCATGTTATTGTTATGCAGCCCATAGACGACGCGTCCACAAATGTTTCTTACGTTTGTAATATTTTTAATTTCAATATTTTTATTATAATTTTGTATTACATCGATACGAAACTTATGAAGCATAGTAATTAATTGTTAAAAAAAATAAAAATGCGAGAATGGCTGACGAATCATCTACGATGTTGATGTTCAAACTATGTAAATGGGCTCTTGCTACAATACACACTTTGCCAAATTGCTGCAAAAAAGTAACAGGGTATTTATCTGGCAATTTTAAAAATCCATTATGAAAAATTTAACAAGTCCAATATTGTAAGAGGGCTCCGCGGCAAGCTGTGCAACATTACAGCGGTTTCGTAGTGTTGTGGCACACTGCTGGGGAGGCGTTGTCCCGTAACATTATTGTCAAAGACTCAAAACTGTCGAGAAATGATTTCCACGAAAACTTGAGCTGAGAATGAGTAAAATCTTTTTTTCTTTCGAAAATTAGATTAACCCGTGAATAAAAATATGATCTACAGTGGGATTCTATACTTCGACGTTTTCCGCATCCGGACATCTTCACAGCATCGATTCGCGTACCGGACACCCGAGGCACGATATTCTTTGCGCTGTTTCCCATAACAAAACTTTTCAAAAATTAATTACGTGATAATCAGTGTTTTGCTACAAGCCTGCACACGAGGCTCATACAAATGATCATTTTTCTATTTTGGAACAACGCAGAGAATAATACCGCGTGTCTCGGGTGTCCCTTACGCGAATGCGTATTGTGAATATGCCCGGAATAGGATAAACGTGGACCTATCAGATTTTTCATTTGAATGTATCTTTGTTAGCGACGCTTGTCTCTCATTGTATACTGTGAATAAAATTTCCTTATTATCATTTCAGAGAAAATCTTGCCAGTCACTCATTGTCGACAACGTTGCACGCGGGATGCCGGCGGCTTCGTAGTGTTGTGGCAGGTTTACGGTTGATCGATGGATGAATTAACGATTAATAAACAATTTTTCCTTTTAAAACATTAGCTTATGCTACAGAAAAATGCATTTTAGTGAAAACATTCAACACACAAAAAATACGAAAAAATTCTATATGAAAAAATTCAACACACGAAAAATACGAAAAAACAGCTACATGAAAAATACGAAAAAAAAATCTAAATGAAAAATACGAAAAAAAATCTAAATGAAAAATAAGAAAAAATTCAACACATGAAAAATACGAAAACAAACTGGTCCGGTACGACTGCACTTACAGTAACACTGTAGCGATCACTGCACAACTGAATTTTTACCTAATCGCACCACATCATTGGGATCCTCATCGTCATCCTGCCCATCCCGACTCCCCATCCGCTCCAATCCACCGGCCACACTAGCCGGCCGTTGAAACCGCTCCCCGGACGGCGAGGCACCCGGGTGCCGGCCCCCCGCGGGGCTCTGCGGCGCCGACGCCGGCCCTCCGATCAGCATAGCGCGCAGTGCCTGCGCCGAGGTCAGGTTGGTATTCTGGGGCTGGGCGAAGCGGAAGGAGTCCACGCGGGCCTGGTGGATAGTCTCGCGGGCGTTGCTCAGCGGCTGCGGAGCTCCCCCGCGTCCCACGGCGGCCGGGGAGAAGGCGCCGTTGAGGGCGTAGGCCGGGCCGTCGGAGCGCCGGCGTTTGGCGTCGCGGTCGTCCTCTTCGCCGTCGCGGCGGCGTTTGGCGCGTTCACGCTCTTTCTCGCGGCGCCGATCGATTTTGGCTTTGTGCATGCGGTTTTTCAGGATGCCGTCTTCCATTTTCCCTACATGTGAACATCTGAATTAGCTACGACTATGAACAATAATAATTTGAATAATAATACGGAATAACTATGAATAATTTTTAATTAACAAACAGCAAAAACGCTGCACGTAACATAGCGCACGTAACATAGCTGTCAATAGCGTTCCGCGGCATGCTGTACTGCATCACCGCGGTTTCGTAGTGTTGTGGCAAACGCTTCGGTGACAATAAAGCTATTATGTGTTGTCAAAAGTAGTCATTTAGAAGTCTCCAGGGAAACTTAAATTAATATCTTGGAATTTCTTTTTTCAGAGGATTTTCTTAACATGCGAATGAAAAATACGGCTACAGTGATGTCTGTAAGAAATTACAAAAAAATTTAACTTTAGAAAAATAGCGAATAATACTGATACTGTAATTAACAACTGATTAATACGAACAATTAAAAATAACAGAAATATAAACAAAAATAAAACAATGTCTCCAAATTACAAAACAATTACGTTAAAATGTATCGGGGACGAAACTGATATACTGCAGACTCAACTCTGGAATAAGGATGCGATGAAAACGTCAAAACGGAGTGCACTGTCTCCAGAACGAACTGATGTGAGTCGTAAGACCAAGAAACCAAACGAATGTGATGGTGCAACTTCCATACGGTTCAAATTTCAAAGCACATTACTCCGTGCTCAAACTGCAGCCGTAAAGTAACTGGAATGTCCGAAAAGGTTTTACTGATTTTACGCAAAATCAACTCAAAATGTTTTGGGCAAAAAATTTCAGACAATTAAAATGGAACAATCTATACGAGCACAGTGAATTTCAACAGACACGATAAATTACTCTAATTTTTAATCCATAACAGATTAAAATCAAAAACAGAGCTGGTTCAATTATCAGATAAAAAAATTCAAAAAATAATCAATAATAATTTACGACAGATATTCCAAAAAATTCCGGAAGTGCTTAATTAACATCTATTTCTGTTTCGGGGAAAAACGCCTTACCGAGTTCGGTGAGGACATGCTGCACCCGCTCCAGATTGACGAAGCCGTTCTCGGTCAGATATCCGCCGCTGCGGTCGGCGTTGGCCTTGTACAGATCGATCAGGCGGTCGATGGCGCCCTCGCGGATCTCCAGGGAGGGCAGATGCGGGAGGAAATCGTTGCCCACGAAGAAGCACATGAACACCCAGTCGTCGATGGCCCGCTCCAGATCGAACCCGTACGACACGGCGTGGTCCGGCTTCAGCTCCTGCTCCAGGTACTCGCGGAGGACGGATAAACGCAGGAAGATGAACTCGGTCGCCGGTGGTGGCGCAGGCGGTTCCTGTTACAACGATTTATTCACTATTTAGACGGGATTTATTATTATTTATTAGTATTTAGCTTTATTAGTATTATTATTATTAAATTTATTATTATAAAGATTTCTTAGTATTTAGAAAGAAAACGCAGAATATCCATCCGCAAAGGTTCGCAGTCACATAGAGAACACCGGCACTAATCCGAATTATGTAATTAAGGAAGTGATTTTCGCTATGGCTAATTAAAAGATTACTGTAACCAAGAAACCACGCAAAATTACTACAGCAGATCAATCAAACAGCGTAAAAATAGACACCACGCTGTAGAACACATGTACACAATGAAAACAACGACCAAAACTCACAGTATTACTTACTGTTAATACTTGTTTGAGAAAAAATGGCAAGAATGCCGAGAACGACGCAGCAAGAAATATGTAATCGTTTACAAAGTTTCAAAATGAAGTACTCTTTCCACGAAATTCCCGAAAAACGATAAAATAAACCGTACAGGGATACCGATGAAGATTGTATTATATGCACACGACAAAAACTAAAAATAAATACTGCTTGTAGAGAGAGTAGACGTTAAAAATCACTCTGTATTAGTACTGGTTTCAGTCTGCGTTAAATACGGCGATTTTAACTGCGCTTTGGTCAGTGTATCGTAAAACCTGAGAAATTAAGCCAAAAGAATACAAACCCAGCAAGACCCACTACCAGACAACTGATTCGCTGAATGTTTTGCATGAGTTTATGCGCACCTGGTCGTCAACGGCTTTGGCCTTGCCGGTGCACATCTTCATCTCGTGGCCCATCTGTCCGCACAGCTCACAGGGCTTGGGCTGGCCGGGTTTGAATTCCTCGCGGATAATGGTGAAGTTGGCCTCGTGCGTGGCCAGGCCCAGCATAATCAGATCGGCGTCGGCGCCGCACAGGCAGTGGTGCGTGTTGGGATCGTGCTGGGGATTGGCGCGCTGTTTGCGGATGAAATCCATGATCTTGTGCTCACCTGCAGAGGGATGCCATCCACCGTAATATCAGACTCATAACTTTTTCAAATTCAATTATAAATGCCTATTCTAAATTTTTTTTATGCCTATGCATATATATAATTAAAATAAAAGCTGCTTGCCGCTGCTGTTAGGGCTGATTGAGCATATAATCTCACCATGAATATTTCCTGGCAATTTTACAAAGATTTATCATCATTCAAAATCGCCCACTTTCAAATCATCATGGCAAGCAAATTCAAAATGGCCACAATTTTACTAATACTGCAGCTAAGCCTTAATCAGAATGATAATACAGAATAATTTTGATTTAAAATTCACTTTAATTGGTATTAATTTGACGCTTACCTTCTCCGGGGACGTTGGCATCCGACAGGATCACCGAGATGCCCGCCCATCCCGGATCGTTGTTGAGGCGGTTGTGGACGTAGTAGCGCAGGTTCTTGGCCAGATTGTCCATGAACTCTGTGCCCGGTGTGATGCAGTTGCTGTCGAATTTCTCAGTGGGATCCTAAACATTGTTCGATAAATATGTCATAAGTCATAATGCTCTCTTCTCTTTTCGAATTAAAAATTGCAAACACTGACGTCACATAGAAATGCGCCTGAAACAGATGGAAAGTGGAAACACGTGACAAGTGACGACAGTTGAGCAGACAACATGTCAATTAATATAAACATTTTATATAACAAACGAAAATTAATAAAACGCTACTCCCAGTTTGCAATACGTCATAAGGGCAAGATACACTGAAATTAACTTTAAAAAAAGTTACTTTAAAAATCGTTATTTTACGGTAATTTCAAAAACAATTTATTTTAATTTGAATAACAAATTTATTACTTTAATTGCCCAGGTATATCTAAATTATTTAAGCAACTGCAAAAAGTGGTACATATTTATCAATTTCGCATGTATTGATGAAAGTATTTATTGGTGCATGCATAATATAACGATTGACGGATAACGCCAAGATTAAACAGCAAACATTCAAAATATTTTCGCCAGATTTTCTTCACGCTTTTCTTCCATCATCGTTATAAAAACAATTAAATAACAACTACGCGAATCAAGATTCAAGGGCCAATAATTAAAATTATAGCACGCAATATACGTGTCCAATTATTTTATATCACAGGCACTGAAGCACAAGTAAAATCCCATTAAATCCTTCAAATGCCGTAAACCTTGGCGTACCTGCTGCGGTTTCTCCGGCAACCTGACACCTTCCTCGCGCAACCGCTGCTTCTGCCGTCTGATCTCCTCCTCCTTCTCCACGGCCTCCTTGGACGAACGGAACCGGCGACTGCGCTGCTGGTTCATCTTGGCGCGCGGCGCCACCCCGTCGATGGCCATGTACAATAAGCGTCGCGGCCGCACAATGTTGAAGATGCGATCAATGTACTCGAAGATGAGCAGCATCATCTCCTCCTCGTTGCGGGGCGCCGGCCGATCCTCGGGATGGCAGCACGGGTGGATGATGCCGTTCATGTCCAGATAGAGATTATCAAACTCCACTCCGTTGGGATTGGGCAGGGAGGTGTCCACCGGGACACTGCCGCTGGCGTCGTCTTCCAGTGCGCGCGAGCGTTCTTCAGTGGCGTGCACGACGATGGAAGGGTACTTGCGGCTCAACCAGCGGAAAAACGCGGGGACGCCCATGATTGACGACGGATGCGGATGATTACACGCACAATATGGTCTACTAAATTATTTCCAAGGATATTCTAACAAATGTTTTTAAAGTAAAATGGATTTTACTAAAATCTGTCACGACTCCAGAGCAGAGAAGCTGAAAAACGGGTAAAACCGTAGACTTGAAAATATGACGTCGAAATTTGCATGCTGTGCCACGCGAGGCGCCTGCGTAATGGAGCACCCCACAGCAGCGCGTAGTTACGTGCGGGGGTTTTGGATTTTTTCGAGCCGGCTGAAATTTCTAAAGGCGGTGTTTGTGGGCAGACAGCCAATTACCGTTGAATATTAGCACGGAAATATATCCGCCAATCCTGGAACGCGTCTTAAAACACGAGCTCATACCACTGCGACCGCTAAAATTCACATAAGTATTTATAATTTATCGCTTTTTGCTCGGTAACGGCTCGCTTTCGGTCTCGCAGACCGCCAACCCAAACCGCAGCTGACGCCGATCAACGGCGTTGTATGAATTTCTTGGTTTCAGTTTTCTGTTTTCAGACTGTTTTGGAGTGTTTTCCGTTTTCGGTTTTCCTTTGCTGTTTAAATTTTCGCCATAATGTAAAATGGAAATTGATGGCGTGATCGATGCTCCCGAAGAAAGCTGCTCGAGCGTGAAATTCTGTGCCTGCTGCAGTTATCGCGAAGTGTACAACACCCGTCAACTGTTCGATTTCCCCTCGGCTGACGATCCCCGACGGCAGCTGTGGATCGACGCATGCGGAGAAGGAGCGGACTTCTTCCCGCATCCCGATTCCCGGGTGTGTAGCAATCATTTTGTGGAATCTGATTTTGACCAGCCGTTCCGTCGCGCAGAAGACGGTTGGTGGGTGACGCAGCTGAAAACTACAGCCGTTCCAACGCGCAACGTGAAGACGAAAACCCCCGACGCTGCGTGCGGTAGCCGTGACGACAGCCAGCTGAAATCAATAGCCGTGCCAGCGCCCAACTTGCACACGGAATCCCCTGACGTTCCGTGCGGTAGCCCTGACGACAGCCAGCTGAAATCAACAGACGTTTCAACGCGCAACTTACAAAAGGAAAACCCGGACGCCGCGGGCGGTAGCCCTAACGACAACCAACTGAAGTACACTGTCGTACCAACGCGCAGCTTGAAGGCAAAAACCCCTGACGCTCCGTGCGGTAGCCCTAACGACAGCCAGCTAATGACATGGACGTTTAAGATTGACGCTACTCCGTCGTTCAGTAATGCCCCCAAGAAGCCAAGTCAGCCCACTCAGAAAAAGCGCAAAAAACGCGGTAGCCCCCGTTATACGGCAGTCAAAAAGAGAATGCCCAAGCCGAATCCCGATGGCGGGAATCATGTCGACAAAATTCCTGTAGCGCGGAAGCCGAAGCCGAAGAAGCGCAGTCGTCTCGTAGCGGCGATCGCCGTACCCACGCAACGTGGGACACGATCACGGCCGTCCGGGTGCGGTCGGCATGTCGCTACTCCACTTTTGAAAAGTCTTTTGCAACCCGACACGCCCAGACCAACCGGGGATGCGCTTCTGGTCAGCGGCGAAGGCGCGGCGAAAACGACCGTAACCATCACGGCTATGGAAGCGCATTTGATCCTGGAGAATGCCGAGTTGCGGCTGGCTAATAAGAACCTGCTGGAAAAAAATAAAAATTTGATGGAGAGAATTCAGACGCTGGAAACGCAGTTGATCGGGATTCCTCAGGAAGTCAAAGTACCGGAAATCGATGCGGGGGTCAACCTTATCGCCATTCTACAGTATGAGAACGATATCAGCGTCCTCAAGACGGAGAAGCAGGAGCTGGAGGCGAAGATCGGGAATTTGGAGGAGAAATTTCGATGGGCAAAGTGAGATGACGAACAAAAATTAAGAACTGTTAACCATAAAAATCAAGTGTTCACGTTATTCATTTTATTCTTATCAATAAAAAATAACCATAAAAAATCATAAAATCTTAACATTAAAAAATAACCATAAAAAATCATAAATCTTAACCATAAAAATCAAGTATTCACGTTGCTGTAAATACTGTAGTTCAATTTAATTTAACGTTTATTTTATATTTAATTTTTTTTAATTCCGACATGCCTTTGGGCAAAGCTATTTTTTTGCAGATAAAACAGAATCTGCGTCGCCCTTTACTTTTACTATAATGTTATTCTTAAAATTAAATGAAATAAAAATATAATAAGATTATTGTAATAAATAAAATAACGTTAAGTAATCTGCAGATATTCGCAGTTAGCTGGAATTTTTTAACCGTTTTTATGGGTTTATTGGGCATCCTTAATAATCGTGAGTCTGCAGGAAATGTTCATTACCTGTACAATTTACAGTAACTTGTTTAGCCTCTACAACGCACTTCTAATAATATCGTTCAAATTATCAACACTGAATTGATTTTCCCGTATGCGTAAGTCTGTTATCAATCATTATTATTTATTTTATTGACTTAAAACGCGGTTATTTTTTCGCTTCGAATTTGAAGCGACATTGACGCTTGACATCGTTTGACTGTGCAGATTTCAAGACTCTGACGACAAAGTGAACATGCTGACCGGTTTCAAAGCGGCGTCCCTACAGCAGCTGTACCAACTCTGCGGCGGCGACGACCCCGACTTCCTGTCCCGCATCGACTACGAAGACCCCCTCAACACCGCCATGACCGCCCGCACCGCTATGCAAACCTCCCGCATGACCCTCTCCGCCGCCGACCAGTTCTTCCTCACCGCCATCCGCCTGCACCTCAGCCTGTCCTTCGGCGTCCTGGGCCTGCTCTTTGGCGTCAACCCGTCCGTGGCGCACCGCTACTACCGCGCCTGGATCTACGTCATGCACCCCGACTGAGTGAGCGGCAGTGCGCGGCGGAGCTGTATGCGTCCCTCTTCCCGGGGCGGTCGTCGGGGCTCAACGGGATTGTGGAGATGCTGAAGACGGAGATTGACGACTGCTATGGAAGGAGGCAGCGGGAGGGGGTGGCCGCTCAGAGCGCGGTGCTGCAGCGGACCCGCGCTATCAAGTTTCCGCGCCGGAAGTGAATGCTGGTGTGGGCTGCGGAAGGACGTACAAGCCAGACTACAAATTGAGCATATTAAGGAACCGGTACAGCGAAAACAGCGTACTATCAGCGCCACTACACTACGGTTTGGCGTGCGCCGTGATTTTGTATTTTTCGCTGTTTCAGTTTATGCTCAGTTTGTAGTCTGGCTTGTAGCGGTGTTGTGCGTATTGGAGCGTTTTCTCTGCTGGTGCTGATTTTTGGGTTGATGGAACGTAGTTGTTTCATGTTTTGGTTACGGATCTCTTTCTAGTTTCTGGTGATATGTGGCTGATTTCGCCGTGTTGATTGATGGATAGGAGAGTTTGTGTGTGCAATACGCAAATGATTTTAACTCACTGGAATCTTTTTGTGACATTTTGTCGACTGTGCTCATGCAGGATGAAAATTACTGTAACATAATTGGCGAGTGGCAACGTGGAGCAGGATCTCCAGGGAATCACCTGTGGATAGCAGTACATCGAAGTTTTTCGCATTCCGGACATTTTCACAACAGTATACAATTACAGACAGACACCAGCAATGTTCCGCATAAGAAAACTTTGATAATTTTTTATTAATATTGTGCACAAGCTTGAATAAAAACACTAATTATCCCGTAACCAATTTCTGAGAAGGTCTTGTCATGCGGAACAGCGGGCAGAATACCGTGTTTCTGGTGTCCGGTACGCGAAACGATTTTCAGCACATGCGCCGAATACAAAAAACGTCGAAGGATACTCCATCATACTCGTATACACAGACAGAACAGCACGATTTGGAAACTGAAGGCGCCAAGTGAAAAACGACAGGCTTTTCTGTTGCTGACTCTGATTAAAATAAAAAAATGAAATTTTTATGAACTGTACAAGTATGAGTACGAGTACTACACATTGCCTACTACAGCAAAATGACGCATCGCTGACCTTGAATCATCAGTGTGAAATCCTGTTCGACTACGAATGTACGAGTACGCACATAATTCGATAAGCACACTCTGTTGTATCTTACGCACTATTTCGTGAATATTATGCATTTCCGGTAACAATTTTCGTTACAAAATTTCACTTCCGTCATAAGAAAACGGGATGACAGTGAGTTATACAGCAGCATCTATGAACAATAGCGGTGAAATAACATCGTACGTCCAAATTCACCGCCGTTGATGTCGAAAACACTTCCCACATCCCAGCCGGGTGGCTTTTGGTCCGAATGGTCTAGAAGCCACCCGGCATTATGATTGTCACTAAGCCCAAGTACCTGACTGAAATACATTTAATTAAATCTCTGAGTATCTGTATCTATTCAGTCATAATCTACTCAAATTGTTTCTTCGGCCTTGTCGCTATGGCGGCCGCCCAGCAGCAGTTCGTGTGGGACCTGCTGAAGCCGGCGCTGAACGCGGCGGAAGTGCAGGCGATCCTGGCCAACCGGGAGTCCAACCAGTACCCCAGCTACAACAGCATTCCGCAGACGGGATTCAGCTGTCAGAGCAAGAAACAGCCGGGTTTCTACGCCGACACGGAGGCGCAGTGCCAAGTCTTCCACCGCTGCGACATCAACGGCAACCAGACCAGCTATCTCTGCGTCAACAGCACCGTCTTCAACCAGGTCACCCTCATCTGCGACTACTTCTTTAACGTTGACTGCCAAAAGTAAGCTTGTCTAATTTGTATTATTTCAAAAATTCTCTCGGAATCGAATTTTTTAAAACATTTTTAAAGAACTTTGTGATCTAACAAATTTCTTTCCTTTATATATATGCAACATCCCCGCTAAGGCTTCTCCTCCGTTGCAGGTTCGCCTCGTACGAGAAGTTTGCCAACTCCCGTCTGTACACTGACCAGCCCCTCTTCGACACGCCTCCGGCGGACTACGTCCCACCCGGCGTCGGAGCCCCGCAGATTCTGGCTGCTCAACCCGCTGCTGATCGTGCCGCCCCATAGAATGCTGGAGGGAAGAAAGGAGTCATCACTGCCGCGGTGACTACCATCAAAGTCAAGAAACAGTAATGTTTCGCAAACTGAAACCATTACTGCTCAGCCTACTTGTAAAAAAAAGTTCGGGGGCCGGTTTCTAACCACCTCTCAGATTTTGTACTATATTCCTAAACGAAAACGGTACAGTGGTGTCTCTTCATCCGCTCTCTGTACTGTAGCAACAGAATGACCTTTCCCAATTAAAGCGTGAATACGGGAGCAATTTAATAAACAGAATACCACAACGGAATACAATCTGTATGGATCTTAACAGAGATCATATAATAATCTGTCAAACGTACAAATACAAGAATATAATAATATATGCATCAGACAAAATATTAAACAAATATTCACAATAATATCAACATTAATATTAACCAGATAATAAGGATAATAAGTTCAACTCAGCCCCTTCTAAATACCACCGTCGCCTCAGGAATCACGGTCAAAAAGGTCACAGTATTACGGAAACATTTTTAAATAATTCAGTGCAGAAATCAAACAAGTACACCACATTTTCACCGCAATCACCGCCGTTTAAATGCTTCGAAAATAACTCCACTCTCACGGACACACCCAGCCGCCGAAGCCCTTCTCCAGCTCGGCGGCCACCGCCAGACACAGGCGATCGTTGTAGTGGTTACTGACCACCTGCACGCCCAACGGCAGGCCCTCGGCGTCCAGTCCCAAGGGCACGTGGCAGCTGGGCAGACCCAGCGCGTTGAAGATGGCCGTGTAGGCGAAGTTGAACGGCATCGTCAGCGGTTGGTGGTGGTAGGGCGCCGTGCGGGGATGGGTGGGGTATAAAAAGACCCCGTCACTGCCCAGCATCTCCACGAACGCCGCCTCCAGTATCCCGCACATCTTGGCAAATCTACAAGAAAAATTACGGGGTTTATTTGAAGTTAATCATTTATTTGAATTTATGATTCAAGTTAAATTGTGATTAATTAGTTAATTCTTTAAATTTATGATTACTAAATTTATGATTCGTTTGTAAATTTATGATTTAATTTATGATTTTTTCAAATTTATGATGTACCCGCACATTTTCGCAGACCTACAAGAACAACTGCTGCGTCATTAATTTATGATTTAATTTAACACGCAAATAAAATTAAATAATCCCAACCAAGCAATGTAAATCGATAAATAAATAGGAAAATAGGAATAAAACATTTAACAATAAATTAAAACAACCTAAATAGTAAATGCAAATGCACTATTTTTTCGACAAAAAGGCGTAAAACATGGCAGGTGACAAAAAGATGAAAATCGTTTAACAAATGATGTGTAACAATATATTTAAACAATATTCAGCAAATTTGTATCTGAATCTCACTTTTTCTCGACGATGGTTCAATCAACCAACCTGACGCCGGATAACACGGTAAACCTTTACACTACGAAATCACCACAATTAAGCCTACCTCGGCATTCGTACACATGAACAAAATTAATAAACAATAACTAAAAAAATGGAAAATTAAAAAAAAGATTCTAATAGTCATAACACACCTATTCAGTTCTATAAAATATTCATAAAATGTACCGTGTCTGGCGCGTAACCATCCGGGCCGTAGCCATTTCGACCACCCCCAAGAGCACCGCCGGGAAGGTGTGCTGCGACTGTCCCAGGAGCCATTTGAGCAGCTCCAGCGGCGCATTGACCTCCCCCTCGCGGTTGGCCATGTCCTGGGCGAAGGAATGGCATTTCTCCTGCGACATCATGGACGACCAGATGTCCAGGGAGAAACGCAGAGGGCGCATGCTGCCGCTGATCTGCGGCGAGGAGACCAGCTCGGCGCCACACACGTCGGACAGATGGTGGACGGCGGAGAGCAGCGCGGTCTTGATGGACGGCTGCACCGGGGAGATCAGGGGGAAACCCCCGTCGTCCGAGGCGAAGTGGACGCGCAGACGGGAGATGTCCACGGGGCTGTCCAGGTTCAGTCGGTCGGCTTTTTCGCCGGCTAAAACCTGAGGATAATTTCTGATTTTACCTCAAACTAAACTGCATTCTCAGTCATTTCAATATTTAATTTAAACTTTTTATTTTTCATTTTAAATACAGTTTAGGTATATTTATTTTATGGTCTGGTGGCCGGTTAACCGTTAATGCCTGCTAATAATTTTGATTTAAAGCTTTTTCAATTTACGGTATTTTCTGGTTATTTGCTGCAGTTTAATTCAACTTATACACTTTATTGAACAGCTTTGTTCGAGATTCACTACGACGGAAAAACAACCTGATTCTCGATTTTAATTCAGTTTACGAGATTTTCTTGTTTTTTTATTTCACATACAATTAATTTCAGTTAGCGATTATTTTGTCAAAAATAAAAACAGCTAAATCTGCAACAAATTACAGCGAAAAATATTCGCGTAATTTCGTTAACTTTACGTGTTTGTAAAATAAAACAATCCGAAATTATTGGTCTTTCGTTTTGTATCTGCAGGGTTTCGTTCTAACTGATTTCAATTAAACGGATTTAGAAATAAATTTGTTACTAAAAATTCGTACAAATACACGAATTTTCACCTTCAACATGGGCACCAAATCTTCAGCGAAGCGGCACATAGGTCCGGTGGTTAAGAATTTACTGAGGTTGCCGGAGACATCCGGGAACTGTCCCCGATTGGGAACGATCCCGAAGGTGGGTTTGTGTCCGAAAATCCCGTTGAAAAACGCCGGCATCCGAATGCTGCCGCCGATATCCGAACCGATGCCGAAGGGCGACCCGGCCGCGGCCAGCAACGCCGCTTCCCCGCCGGATGACCCTCCGACGATGCGCTGCGTGTTGTAGGGATTCCGTGATTGACCGTAGATCTTATTGCTGGATTCCCACCACATACAGATTTCACTGATATTCGTCACAGCCAGTGGAATGGCGCCTACAAGGAGGAAGCAGCGGCATTACTTTGAAAAAATTTCAAGAAACAATAACCCATTCTGAAAAAGGAAACACATTCAGCCCCTGAAAACAAAAAGACGAAATAAAATTATTACCGGAAGCCAGAAAGAAATCTGCGTATCTAGAACACGACTCGGCAATGAAATTTCCCCAAAATAAACTAAAGTAAAACAATGTTGAAAAAGGCACACAATTCATAGTACTGCATTTAGGAAATGTTTTTAAAAAAACAGCTCACAAAATACAACTAATAAGATGCAAATTCAAAATAAGTACTCGTGCTTACAGATATCCGTGTCCCGTGGTAATAAATTATTTGTTCAACTTATTTTTTTATTAAATTTTATTAATCAATTGTTCAGAACTTCAGATAGCCTATTTCAGAAAAACGCACAACTGACCGACAGTCCAAGTAAAACAAAATTCAACTAAATTTAATTTCGATATTAGTAGGTAATTTACCAATCAGAAAATGAGCTCCAATTTGTATTGGTAGATAAAAGTTTAAAACCGTTTATTTGTAACTCAGTCAATTAATTTTTAGATTTAGTTGTCAATTACGTATTTTAATTTTTTACTGAATTTATAGCGGGAGCGCAAGTAGCATCAACAGAAAATTCTTCCCTACTCACCAGCTTGCCGCATCAGGCGCACCACATCCGCATCCTCCGTCGCCACGAACCCCTGCCGCAGATACAGTCCCGACGTGTTGGGCAGCCCCGTCACCCTGATACACTCCTTGGTCGTAAACGGCACCCCCAGGAAGGGCTGCCGCTCCACCCCATGCTCCGGCAGTCCACTAGCCAGCGCCTGATCCGCCAGCCGTGCTTCCCGTCGCGCCTCCTGGAAGCGCTCGGCCACCACCACATTCAGTACGGGATTCACCGCCTCAATGCGCTGGATGAAGAGATTCACCAGCTCCGCACTGGTGATGTCACCGGCGCGGATCTTCTGCGCTAGGAAGGTAGCGCTCTCCAGAAGCAGGGAGGAAGGAGGGGCTGGGAGGCGGCGACGGGGGTGGAAGAGCGTGTAGTAGACGCGGAAGAGCAGGGTGGAGAGATAATCGGTGAGGATGCGGTGGAGGAGGAGGGTGTAATAGATAATGCGTTTCAGCAGGCGGGAGAGGGAGGAGGGCGGGTGGCTGGTCCGGGATGGGGGCGGTGAGGGGGAGAAGTTGACTTTGCGATCCGATCGAACTGAGTCCATGTTGTACAGGGAGAGTTGCAGTCCACAGTGATCAAGTAGGTTCCAAGGCAAACTACTGCGTCGTGCAAGTTATGGTATTACTGCGCACAATTTGGGGTTGATCATTAAATGATTAAAAACCACTTTCCACCAAGACGTCTAGCTTCGAGCAAAGTCCAAACTCCATGAAAATCCGAGAATGTCCAAACTTGATAAAGTTCTAAACTTGATAAATAAATGAAGAGCTGGATTATGGCACACACTACTGTGACTATAGTATACAGTGACTATAGTTTTTACCTGTATAGTCACTATACAGGTAAAAACCCAAGCGGTGAAAACGACTGCGCGTAGCGGATGCACGCTGTATCGGCTGTGCTCGTGGTACCCGCCCCCTTCTGGCATTGGCACGGCATTCGCCGATTCATGTTTCAACACGACTGCCAACAAAAACCAAAAAAATCGCAGCGATGTTTTTGACTCGACAAAATACGCGTTCTTTCCACTCTTCAGTCAGTTTTAAATGCTTATTCTTTTTCATACTAGTAGTTGCTGGCAGCTAGCTGCGTGGCTTGTATTTCGTTCCAATTTTTGGCGTCTGGATCCATTGGTATTGAAATGCTCTGTGTTAACGCCGGATAAACGCATGGTGCACCGTGTCAATGATGGAAGCATCGCTGGAAAACAGCCTCCTGCACATCTTCGCCACCGTCTCCGACGCGCGCTCCCGCGTCAACGCCGTCAACACCCTCATCAAATCCAACCCCTCCCTGTCCGCTGCCACCCTAACCAACCCCCTGGTGGCCGAGCATCTCCTGGATCTGCTGATTAAATGCCGCAACAAACACCCCACCGTCATCGACATCCTGCACCACGTCCTGGACCGTCTGGGTTCCCCGGTGTTTACCACGAACCTGGGCGCGGCGGTGTCCGCGCACTGGCCGCAATATGACGCCAGGGTCCGCCTGCATCTGCTGCGCATGTTGACGGGGTGTGCGACCGGGAGGACCGTGTTGCGCGCTGAAAAGTGTCGCGTTGCCCAGGAGTTTGTGGATGGCGACCTGTTGCGCTGTCTGGAGGAATGGCGGATGAGCGCCGCGTCGGATCCGCGTGAGACAAGGGCGAAAACAGTTGGACGTGCGGAGTTTATTGTGGAAAGTCTGGAGGTGGTCGAGAGCATCGTCCGAATGGCGCAACGGGAAGAATGCCGTGAGCTGTAAGAGAATTCTGACTTCATGAGTTTGTAGCTGATTTCTTTTTAATTTTTTTAAAAATTTAGTGTTGTACTTGTTTTCGGCTTTTAGTCAATTTGACTATTGGATTTTTTTGAACCTTTTGTATTTTTTTTCGAGGGTTTGCGAGAGTGATTAATTTTCGAATGTATATGTCATGGCAGAATTCTAGGTAGAGAGATGATTTCGTAGTGTAATGAATATGCTATCTATGGCCAAGTCGCTCTTTGTTTGAGTATAACTGTCTGATAGTGAAATTTAACAATTACGAGTATATAGAAACCACTAAAAATTTGTTCATGAATTTTTTCCTTAGTTTAACGACTTTAACCAATGTTTTCAGTTTGATATTTTGCACTTTAATTTTAATTCCTAATTTAATGTTGTCTTTGAGTTGCGTGCGAGTGTTTCTGTTTTCTTGCTAGGTAGTTATCTGAGTTGATAACTTGGTACTCTATATCTTGCGTAATTAACATAGGTAATTAATGTAATTGCTCCATAATTTTTTGTCCCGCCTGAGATTGGGGTCTGCGTTGCATTCCATGAATGTGCGGAACTGTTAAATTTATTTTATACAAATTTTTATTTTATTTCGTATTTTCAGTTATTTTTTGAAATTTATTTGTTTTATTGTTATTATTATTATTATTACATCAAGAGCAGCTAAATTCTAAATTCAGTTCATATTACATTCATTTGCTAAATTCAGTTCATATTACAGAATAATTTCCGCAGAAATCCTCAGCCGTCTCCATATTTTCATCACCAGTCTTCTCCCGCACACCGATCTGTCTCAGCCCAGTCTTATCATCGCGTTGGGCCGCACCGCGTTCTGCTTGGCGGAACATTTCCACACAACCTCCGATTTACAGAGCGCCAGTCTGGACGCATTAAATAAAAACAATATTCCATGGGGATCCGTTGGATTCCTGATGGCCTGGATCGATACAATGTCCGCTGAAGAATTAACGCAAAATTATCAGCGTGTTTTATTCCCGTTTAATAACTCCCTTCCGAATCAAACGGAAGCCCCGCTTTCCATACCGGTAGTTATTTCTTTCGTCAAAAGACTGAAAAATCTCGATATGACGCCGGAATTATCGGAAATGGTGGGGAAATTGTGGAGCACCGTCTTCCGGTCGCCTCACCAATCAAAAATCGTCGAAATTATCCGGCATTTAATTCCTTTGTGGACTAATATACCGGAAGCTGTTCGAAAAAATGTTTTCAGTAATTTATGCACTTTGTCGTGGAAATCGTTGTATAAATTAAAATGCTACGTTTTGCTCAATCTCGACCGTGCCGCGTTCTCCAAACAAGTCAGATTGCGTCCAGTCGATTTGTTGGAAATGATCCCGGATAAATATTTCAAAATCCCGTTATCGGATTTGCTCGTACAGATCGCCAATGCGGAAGATATAGCCGATATTTTGGTGAAAACGACGGATCACAATGCGTTTTTAATGCGGGATGTTTTGCCGGGATTGGCCAGGAAGGAGAAGAATTTTATCCCGGATTTGTTACGGATGTTGAAGGAGAAACGATGTGTCGTGGGATACGGGCCGGTGTTTTATGCCATCCGGGTTGCGAAGATCCAGGTGGATGCTGGGATGGTGCTGCGGGAGTATATTTGCGGGAATGTGGATTTGGCGGTGTTTGCGGATGATACGTTGCGGGTGGAAGCGTTTGCATTCTTCTGCGAACACGCCGATCCGGTTAGATTTTTCGCAAGTGAGTGAACGAAATTTTTTTGGCGTTTCGCTGTTTATATGCGTATTTTTGGATTTTTTTGGTTTTTAGTTTTAGTTTTTTATTATTTCTTGGTGTCCTAATGCTACATAAGAAAGACGAGTTTTGTAGTGACGTGGATGGATGCATTACGAAAAAGAATATGCGTCAGGCGAGCTTGGTCTAGCATCGAACCGTACACTCATAATTCGAAAGACATCATTTCTTTATTTTCTTTTTTTACCGTTTTTTCGATTTTTTAAATTTGATACTTCGCTGTTAATTTTCGTTAATTATTGGTGGAATGTTTGAATTGATACAGTTTTTGTAAATTTTTTCCCATTAATGTTTAGGCTTAGTTATTTGTTTACTGTATTTTGGAATTTTTAAATTTTCTACGATGGGCGTTTGAATTTTTGCAGGATTTGTTCATTTTATTTCCACAAATGTCGATCACCAGTTTTCTCGGTTTCGCGAGCCGTTTCTCCGATCAGCACTGCAGTTCCTGCGCCGCACCGCGACGGTACTATCCCAGAATAAAGCCAAATCTCCCGGAAACGACCACAGATATTTTGCCGAAAAATACGATGAATTTCTATCGGATTTACTGATATTTGACTGCTCGCCAACTTCATCTTATGCAAGGTGAGAACACAATATGTGTGCGATCCCCTGCCTGCCATTGCTCTACGATATCACGGTATAGACCCTGTTACGTACGGCAGGTAGTGTGAAAATTTTCCCTTTAGTTCACAGCCAGCGAGATACCAGCGACGAATTTCACATAAAAAATGGGCGCTGATAAACAATTAAATCGACAAAGTACTAATATAAATAATATTCAAAACTGCTGTAACCCGGGGCATCTAATTTAATTTGCACAGGCGAAGCAGCGCCCTGCAACTCGCAAAAGCGATCCTGTCTTCCTCATACGAACTTGCTCTTCTCACTCCCGGCTTCACATCCACCGTGCGCCATTCCCTCCTCCAGCAGCTCTTCTGGGAATCCTTCCCCGACAACCAGCTCCTCATCGTCGGCATCCTCTCCCTCCTCCCTTCATCCCCATTTCCTCCCGGGGAATTCTCCCGGGAAAATCTATCCCAGATCGCCGATCAACAAGCCGACAGTTGTGGCTCCAATGCGGCGCGCCTCAGCGCCCACCTCGACGCGCTGCTCCACGCGGGACGTCCGGCGCCGGAGATGGTGGAGGAGTTGCTGGGGAAACTGGAGAAAAATGTGGAGAGGGCGGGAGAGAAGGGCGTGCAGTGGACGGCGCGGTATGCGCCGCTGTACGGGCAGATTGCGCGGTTACGCAGTGCGATGGAGCGGTGGACCGGCGGAAAGGTCACGGGGGAATGGGTGGAGAGGGCCGTGGGGGCGTGTTGGACGGTGTCGCGGCTGGTCAACGAGGTGTTTGCCGATCATACGCAGGATTTATCCATGGATCGCAGTGTCCTGGTTGAAGGTACATCCGTTTAGTTTCGTTTTACATCGTTTTTCGATTTGTTTTCTATTATGGAAAGATGTTAGGGAGTGGTTGTTTCGTAGTCCAGTGGTGCTGTTGTAGGCTCCATCCGTCTTGTTGCGCTGAACTACTGCGATAAAAAAAAACAGATTATACTCGTACATTTACTGTAATGATTGATTCCTTTTTTTGGTATAATCTTTGCTGTACTATTCCCCTAATTTATCTTTTGTAAACTATTATAATTTTACCTTAAGTTTCATCCAGAAAAAAAAGTAAGTGTGCTGTAAATAAGTGCTGTAAAAATTAATGTATGAAGTGTTTGCCGATCATACGCGGGATTTATTTCTGGATTGCAGATGTCCTTGTTGTACAGATAGGTACATACTTATGTTTACATAGGCTTCTATCCCTCCTTTTTCTTTGTTTTCTTATTGTTTTTATTCATGCCTTATTATTCTGTTTACTTTTTTTAATATTTTTTTGCTAGTTTTTGCTAGTTTTTTTATTTATTCATCTGTTTCTGTTTATTTTTTGTTGTTTATTTTTAGTTATTTTCGGTCTGCTTATTGCACGTACCTACTAATTGCTGCCTAATAATGAAGATCGTAATGATTTAGATCAAATGTTCTCTGTAGTTCGGCCGCCTGTTTCCGCAGCATGTTAAATTTGTAATGTAATCTTTCTTTTTTGGGTGTTAGATTGTTTTTGTATTCGCTCATCAACAAATACAGATAAAGTAGAAAAAGAAATAATGGAGATGTGCCATTGTATGTAATGCATTATTGTAAGTACTAGTAAATATATTTGTATTGGTTTCGTAGTGCAAGGGTGTTACCTGGGGACTCTGTTGCGATTCGAAATGAACCCCCATAGAACAGCAGTTGTCGATTTACTGTACAAATCGTTCTTTCTGCGTAAATCTTTTTTCGTAGTAATTCTCATAAGATTTTCAATATCTGTAATCTGTTTTATGTGTATGTCATTGTTTATTTACGAATAGCGTCATCCAAAACTTGTATGAGCTGAAATGATAGAAATTATGAGAGCTGAATTTTGTTTGTTACCGTACTTTCCCCTGCTTCGATGTAATCCAGCATTTGTACAGTAGGAAAAGTACTTTCGGCTCGCAGATTTAGTCTATAATTATCTGATTTCTGGCTGTTAAAAATCATTGCAGATGATGCGGCTCCGACGGCGCAGATGCTGTACGTCTGCTGCTGGCGCTGCATCCGCGAAGTGTCCCTCCTTCTAACCGAACTCCTGACTGGTCGCCTCGTTCCATCCGCTGCGATTTCCCGCATTCAGGACGTGTTTTTATGGAACATCAGCCAACTGTTCATGACCCGCCACACCGGGACGTTCGAGACGCTGGCGGAGCAGATCCACAAATTGTCTGTCCTTCTCGTGGAAAAACACGGGGAGGCCGGAAAAGCGGTGGTCGTGTCCAGTCTGGATGATATCGTGGAGGAAGTGACCGGGGCGTGGTCGTCACCGCTCCAACCGGAAAATACGCGCCGCAGCGCCGGTGTACCGCGGTTGTGGTGTATTTTGTACAGGTGAAAATGCTCGCATGGACATACACGTTAAAATCAGATTACTTTAGAAATTGCACCGAAATTTTACAATTAAATATTAAGCCAAATCACTTTTAGACTCCTAACTGGTTTAAATATAAATTGCTTATGCTCTTATTTCTCAATATGAACAAGGCGAGCTTCCCTCAACAAAATTGCTCAGATGAAGAATTTGTTGCTTTACGTGGTTTCGCATTTCTGTCAATGAAGACTTAATTGCGCGTTACATAAATTTTAAATATTGTTTTTCTCTACTGGCAAATGCAGGGAAAACTAATCAACGAAATATCGTAGAGAAATTTCCCATCCGAAAACACTACCAAATGCCGTGTTGCGACTAAATAACCGATGACTGAAAATTATCATGAGTAAAAAAATGTTTTTAAAAATGTGATCACTTTTTACGCAAATCTGATTCTGACATTTTTATATGAGACAGGCTCATCAAGTTGTGATAGGCTTTTGAGAACTTCGGCATGAGTGCCTTGACACTACGAAACTGCTACTGCAGTGACTATTTATATCTTGAAGTGATTACGTGAAACATTTTAATTTGTGTACATCCGCGCAAGCATTTACATATCTGTAATGCCTTTTGCTGAGCAAAAATAATGGGCTACTGGACTATTTGGTTACTGGACTATTTGGTTCTCCGAAATGTTTGAACGCGAAACGATCGGCTTTCGTGACATTAAATGTTTGGTTTCTGGAATATATAGTAGTCCGGAAATGCTGTTATACCGAAAATAAGGAACGTTTTGTAATTAATTGTAATAAACCAATAACTCTTTTGTTACTTTGATAGATTTTTTTTTTTAAATATAATAAATTGAAAATAAAATAAAATAATAATTTTTGATAGTTTAATAAATTTTGATGTTTTTCTTTAAATTTTCGAAAGAAATATTCTGCTTGCAATAGAAGAAATTTCGAAAGAAATATTCTGCTTGCAATAGAAGTAATGTTCATTTGGATCTGCCGGTTTCCAAATAAAATTCGTTTTTATAGTCCACTACGACGAACAGAAGTCGGTGAAGAAAGTTTCAACACCAGCACCGACGTCTTGTTTTCCATTAACGGGAACACAACTTCCGCCGACGACAGCACCCGCGTCCGCTCCATCAACATCCTGGAGGCGGTGTTCCGCGAAAACGCGTTAAACGAATTAAGCGATGCCTACATCGGACGCGGCTTCATCGTGGCCTGTGACGCCATGACCTCCGCCGTCTGGTCCATCCGCAACGCCGCCGCCTGCCTCTTCACCGGTCTGATGCAGCGGGTCTTCGGACCCGGCGTGAAGAAACCGGCGGAGGAGCTGCAGTTCCGGGAAGCCTGTTTACCAGCGGAGGAATTCTTTGGTGATTATCCGGAGGTGTTTGATTATGCGCTGGAGGTGCTGGACGCGGGGACCGGAGTTTTCCCGGTGTTGCTGATCTTGGCGAAGTTGTACGGGAGTGCGGAGGATTCGGAGTATGTGCAGCGGTTGCTGGAGCCGTTGTGGAAGGAGGTCCAGGCGAAGGAGTGGCGGGTGCGGGAGATGGCGGCGCGTGCCATGGTCGGGTTGTTTGGTGAAGTGTTGTGGGAGAAATTGTTGGCGTTTGTGGAAATGATGAGAAGCGAAGATTCCGGGGAATCTGCTGGGTAAGGTTAATATCACTCTTTCAACGTTTTGTATTTTCCTGAAATTTACTTAAAAATGCACCACCTTGTAACGACTTGAATGGAAAATACCTACTGAAATGAGCTTACGTTAAAGTTATTTCCTGTGAGGAAAAGAAGAAAATAATCAGAATTTGAAAGCAGTCTGCCGGTAAATTTAGGTGCAACTGGAAATAACCAAGGCTGTCTAAAATATTTTTTGGTTACTGACTGATGATTCTAACTTTCCAAATTAAAAATAAACTTAATTAAGTTAGCTAAAAATAAACAAATGAAATAAATAAACCTTGGGTTGTTAAAAAAATTATCGTACATTAAACAAATCGTTTCAAAATTGAGTGAAACGAAAACAAGTGAAAGCTCTCTGAAATGCAGTTGAAAGAGTAAAAAGAAGTATCTGATGTTTGAAAACTTTTTAAAATAATTACAGTGTCGACAATGTCAGATACGTTGATATTTGATAAACGTCAGATAGAATAGTATTTGTATTTTTTCAAATTGAGTTTCTTTTTTGGTTTCTTTCAATTCGAATTACGTCAGTATCGGTTTCAGAAATTGTTCAAAGTGTTTTCCGTAGTGATAAGGAAAATATGCGGCATGGAGTGCTCCTGGTTTTGAAGGAATTACTGGCGTCCGGTCATCTGCTGGAAGGAAAACGCACCACTTCGTTCACGACACTATTAGCCCCGATGTATCGTCTGGATGCGGGAGCGCTTCCAACACGATCATTATTACTAGAAGTATCACGAGAATTTGTGCGGAAATACCGAGGACGCACGGACGAGTTCCTGGAAGAATATCTCGACTGGCTGCAAGCATTATCCCGTTCGGAGACGGGCCATCATCCCGGCATTTCCGTGTACGTTGAGGCGTATTTCGACCTGCCGCCCCGGGGTGTCACCGTGCGTTTCGCCAACGAGCACACCTATTTCTGCAACGAGGTCGCCGAATTTATTGAGAAATCCTGCATTGTGCCGTCGCGCTCCAGAGAATACGATTTACGAGCGGTTTTATGGAATAAATCCGCCGATAAAGATGGCATAGTGCAGTGGCTTCGATTTCTACGGAAATCCGAAGAAAAAGGTCCGGTTTATATTGCGCATCTGGTTAATTTGGTTGTGCCGTTGCTGGATTATCATTTTGAAAAATCACTGGTGTACGTCCGCTTGTCGGAAGCGGTGCTGGAAGGGATGGAAGGAAACGGCAGTGCGGATGTTTTTTCGGCCGGGTTGCAGGCTGTGGCACACCTTCAACGGGATATGGATTTGGGGGGAAAATATTGGGAGCGTTTTATAGATTGTGTGGAGAAGGTGGTGGATGGTGGGAATTCGGAGACGCGGTTGACGTGCGCCGGGATGTTGCCGTGTTTGACGGAGAAAGTTGGGATTGGGTTGGTTGGGCGGTATTGGATTATGGTGCTGAAACTGCTGCGTGATGACGTTATGAAGGTGCTTTCCTTTTTTCCCTGTATTTTTTACCGTTTATTCGACGGCGGAAAGTTTTTGTTTGGTTAAATAAAATAGATAATTTATTAAAATATAATATAAAAATTCGGTTGGACTTAATTGCGTATTTTTTTAAAACATACATATATGGCATGTATGACTTAATTTTGTTGGCTGGTAGTTCCAACCAGCATAGTTTGATAGAAAACTTAGCAATAAAATAAAATAAGCACTAAAAATATGTACCAACTTGGTGCGTTTTTTTATTGCTTCGATCGGGTATTCTGTTTTCTAGCTGGTTCGGTTAAAAATAATTTTAAAAAATTCATCTTGGGTTAAATTTCTCCGTAATGTTTCCAGTACTGTACTGTAATTGTGATGATTGATTTTTTCTGGATAAGTTTTATCTTGTGGTTTGGTTAGGCACTTAAAACATTAAAATATTTGCTGAAAATTTGGTTCAACCTTAATTTCGCCGTAATTTGTACATTAATTTATTTAACTTATTTTTTTGTTGCGATCAGTTCAGTTTTATGGCTGTTTTGGTTAGATGATTTTGTAAAGGTTCCCTGTAGGCTCATTGTCAACTGTATTATCGGATGTTTTGCATTGAATTTTGTTGTGTACATATTTCATATATTATTTGTTTCGACCAGTGTTATAACTGGTTGATGGAACGTAGTGCTGTGGAACGTAGTGCAGTGGAACTGGGAGTAGGAAAGTTTCTTCTTTGGCAGTTGCCAGTCCCTCTAAGAAAAAACTTGCGACGCCTGTAATACTAATATTTAATTAAACTATGATATAGGTTTAAAGTTTTACACTGCTAAACAATAGTAATACCGTTTTTCTATTTTTCCAGATTCGGACAACGATGGCGAACCAGCTGACGACTTTCGGACTGACACCGCACCCGTGTATACCTAACCACGCCGTACAACTCGTCATTGACCATCTCGTGGACTGTTCCGTGGAGAAAAACCAACTTCCCATCATGATCGCCATGCTGACGTCGGAATACATCAATGACGACGACCGAATCGTCCAGAGCGTCGACACCGATACGACCATCTTCGAGAACTGCGACCGGCACGAGTATCACGAGAATCTGCGCGTATTCCGTCTGCTGCATCAGTCCGTCGTGCGCGTCTCACAGAATATCATGTTCATCCCGTCTGATGCGAAGGAAAGCGGTGTCTTGAAGTGGATGGATGCGGTGCGGTTGGAGATTGACGATTGTTTGAAGTATTTGAGGGAAGGGTCGTTTTTGACGGATTTCATCGTGTATAATCGACTGGTCTTCCGGTTGTATTGCTCATTGTTGGTAAAAGATTGTTTACAGCGCAGTGGTGTGGTGTTCGATGGTTGGCCGGATTTGCCGAATAGTGATAGGGAAGTTTTTGCTTCTGATTTACTACTCAGCCACATTTCTGACTGGAAGTGATAATTTGTTGTTCATCAGAGTAAGCACCGACTGTTACCGTACTGTGATGTTTTACGCCAATATTAAAGTCTCCGACGTGACAATTCATTAATATCACCTTTACGGGAGGTACCTAATTTTACTGCATCAAACGTACATAATACAGTACTTACCTGATATTTGGCACCGTATAAATTACCGCCATTGGTAGCTCGCAGCAGTTTACTATGCGGAATTTCCCAATCCATTGGTACTTTATCGTTTATTCGAATTTATTCTGCACCTATATTTTCGGTTAGTAAGTACCTATACTTGGATAATGGATAGATGACCGCTTGGGAACAACGGCTGTTGTAGACTTTTTGGCTTCCTAATAAGACTGTTATTTCGCCTGTTAAAGTCAAAATATAAATTATAAACTTGTAGTACTTGAAGTATTTATATTTGTTAATTATTCAGGCTTTTTATTTTAAATTTATAATGACATTTTCATAACTGCGTTGATTGGGCATCACAACCGGCGTTACAAATATTTGAGCATTTGTCTACGACCATACCACGTAGAAAACTCCCGTTCGATCTCGGAAGATAACCTACGTCGGGCCCGGTTAGTACTTGGATGGGTGACCGCTTGGGAACACCGGGTGTTGTAGACTTTTTGCTTTTTAATTAGACAGCTTTTTGGACTGTTAATTGTACCTACTATAACTATATTTATTTTATTTCTATTTTGTTGATCGTTCAGACAACGTATTTATTTAAAATGGCTCTTTAGTAATACAATGTTTGGTCATGATTCGGCATCACAACCGGCGCTATAAATCTCTAAGCATTCGTCTACGACCATTCCACGTAGAAAACTCCCGTATTATCCCGTTCGATCTCGGAAGATAACCTACGTCGGGCCCGGTTAGTACTTGGATGGGTGACCGCTTGGGAATAAAAAAGCTGATAAATGTTCTGATGAACCAAATACTGACGAATGAAAGTCAGAAAACGTAAAGTGATGAACTAATTAATGTGCGATTCATACTCGTACTGTACATTGATGCGACTTCAAAGTGTGCTGGCGCCGCCGCCGAACTGGTTTGCCGGGAGAAGATTGGAAAATACAAGTCGCTTACTGATCGCTGCAATTTTGTCCCCTTTGCATGTGAGACTTTTGGCACTTGGTGCGAGACCGGCATTGTTACGTTAAAGGAGATTGGAAAGCAGGACGGGCGAGAGCCGCTCTACTTGTTTTTTGTTTCAGCGTTTAGGTTTGGAAAGGCCCACGCTCAAGCTCTGACTCTGACTCTGACCGCTCAAGCTCTGACTCTGACCGCTCAAACTCTGACTCTGACCGCTCAAAGTCCGACTCTGACTGTACAAACCTAAGAAAAACCTAAGAAACCCAAGAGACCTAAGGAAAACCTAAGAAACCTAAGAAACCTAAAAAACCTAAGAAACCTAAGAAACCTAAGAAACCTAAGAATCCTAAGAAACCTAAGAAACCTAAGAAAACCTAGGAGAACCCCTAAGAAAAACCCTAAGAAACCTAAGAAACCGTCAGAATCAGGGTCAGACTTTTAGTAGTCAGAGTCAGACTTTGAGCGGTCAGAGTCAGACTTTGAGTAGTCAGAATCAGAGTCAGAGTCAGAGTTTGAGTCTGGGCCGTTTGGAAATAATGCGTGGGAATGCCATGAGTGTGTTATGTACGGTCCCTTCTCGTGCCAACTGGGACAAATTTTTCATTTGAATGTAGTTCTGTGAGCGATGCTCGTCTCCGTACATATTGCAAATAAAGTATAACTAATTAAACTCAGATACAAATTAAATTTCTTAAATAGAAAGAGCAATACTGCAATAGAATACTTTTTGAAAACCGGAAGCAGTGAAAACGACGCCGCGTAGCGGATGCGCTCTGGTAATGCTGCGCTTGTGGCATCCGCCCTTTTCCGGCGTTGGCACAGCATTCGCCGATTCCTGTTGTCGCACGACTGCACACAAAAACCAAAAAAATCGCAGATACGATCTTGTGAATCTTGCCACAACTTTCTTCGCTTTTGACTTGTGCACATCATTTTTTTGCATTCGTTTTCACACAGCCATTTGCGACTGGATACTTGTAATATTTTCCAGTTTATGGCGTTCGGATACATTTGATTCAGCTGACTTGGCGTGATACCACCAGGTAGACGTGTGCTGCGGTTACGAATTATGGAGTCAACAGACTCAACGCTGGACAGCAGCCTCCTCACTCCTGCACATCTTCGCCATCTTCCCCGGTGTTCATCACGCGCCTGGGCGCTGCTGTGTCCGAGCACTGGCCGCAATGTGACGCCAGGGTCCGGCTGCATCTGTTGCGCATGTTGACGAGGTGTGCGACCGGGAGGAACGTGCTGCGCGATGAAAAGTATCGCGTTGCCGAAGAGTTTGTGGATGGCGACCTGTTGCGCTGTCTGGAGGAATGGCGGATAAGCGCCGCCTCGGATCCGCGTAAGACAATGGCGAAAACCGTTCGACGTGCGGAGTTTATTGTGGAAAGTTTGGAGATGGTTGAGAGCATCATCCGAGCGGAGCAACGGGAAGAATGCCGTCAACTGTAAGAGATATACTTGCATGGTGATGTAGCATGCATTTATATTCTTTAAAAAATTTTCGAATTTAGTGATGCATATAGATCGTCCGGCTTTGCAGTTTTTGGTCAATATGGGTTTTCGTATTTCAATGTATTTTCTGTGCTTTTCTTTCCGATTTTCGAGGGTGATTTAAGTTCACGATTTTCATTTATGGCTTGCTAACAGAACGATGAGATTCGTAGTGTAGTGGATTTACTGTACTGTCTTATTGTAATCGTTCTGTAAATGAGTATGAAAAACTGGAAATTTACGTATTTGACAAATTTGAGAGTTTTTTAAAGCACAAAAAAAGTTTCCGCATTTTTCCTTGTTTTACACGTTAACCGGCTTGAATTAATTTTTTGAATTTGACGCTTAAGACTTTGGTTGAATTCCTTAATGAATAATTCGCCGTTGAGTTGCGTGCGTGTATCTTTTTTCTTGTTAGTCGTATAAGTCGGCTTAATTGATACATATACGTAACTGCCGTAATTGCTTCAGTAATTTTTCTCTCCCTAAAATTAAGATCTGCGAATGCTACTGTTCCCTGTCAGATCTGCGATGCATTCCACGAATTCTCCAAGTTGCTAAGTTTTTTTCATATATACATATTTTTATTCTACTTCATATTTTTTTGTGATTTATTTATCTCCTCAATTCGTTGCATATTGCAGAATAATGTCCAAAGAAATCCTCAGTCGTCTCCATAATTATTTTCATCAATAATCTTTGCCAGCACACCGATCTCTCTCAACTCAGCCTGACCATCGCGTTGGTTCGGGCCGCGTTCTGTCTGGCGGAATCTTTTCCCACGATCTCCGCTTTACAGAACACCAGTCTGGACGCATTAAATAAAAACAGTATTCCATGCATGGGGATCAGTTGGATTCTTGATAGCCTGGATCGATACGATGCCCGCCGAAGAATTAACGCAGAATTATCAGCGCATTTTATCCCCATTTGTTAACTGCCTTCCGAATCAAACGCAAGCCCCGCTTTCCACACATGTGATTTTATCGTTTGTGAAACGACTGAATGATCTCGAAATGATGCCGGAATTATCGGAAATGGTCGGGAAAATGTGGAGCGCCGTCTTCCGCTCGACTCACGAATCAAAAATTGTTGATTTTATTCGGCATTTGGTCCCAGTGTGTACCGGAACCTACCGGAAGCTGTTGGAAATGATATTTCCAATAATTTATGCAGTTTATCATGGAAATCTGTGTACAAATTGAAATGCTACGTTCTGCTCAGTCTTGATCGTTCAGCTTTCTTCAAAGAAGCCCGGTTACATCCGATTTATATATTAAAAATGATCCCGGATAAATATTTCAAAATCCCGTTATCGGATTTGCTCGTACAGATCGCCAATGCCGAAGATATAGCCGATATTTTGGTGAAAACCACGGATTACAATGCGTTTTTAATGCGGGATGTTTTGCCGTGATTGGCCAAGAAGGAGAAGAGTTTTATCCCGGATTTGTTACGGATGTTGAAGGAGATCAAAGGATGTGGCGTCGGATACGGGCCGGTGTTTTATACCATCCGCGTGGGGAAGATCCCGGTGGATGCTGGAATGATGCTGCGGGAGTATATTTGCGGGAATGTGGATTTGGCGGTGTTTGCCGATGATATGGTGCGGGTGGAAGGCTTTGCGTTCTTCTGCGAATACGCCGATCCGGTTACATATTCCACCAGTGAGTGCAGGGAAATTTTTCTGACGTTTGGCGGTGTATGCGTATTTTTGGATTTTTTTTTAATTTCAGTTTTTTATTATTTTTGGTTGTGCTAATGCTGTATAACGAAAGACGAGTTTTGTAGTGATGCGGATGGATGCATTACGAAAAAGCATATGCGTCAAGCGAGTATGATGTAGCATCGAACCATACAAAGACATCGATCGTTTCTTTATTTTTCTTTTTTATACCGACTTTTATCGGTTTTTTTTCAGTTTCGTTTATTTTTGATTTTCCGCCATTAATTATTGTTGGGATACGAATTTTTATCGTTCGCCAACTTCATCTTATGCAAGGTGAGAAGTGGACAGTATTTGATGAATTTTTGTTTGTCATCGCTCTACGATGTCACGTTAATACCATTATTATATAAGGACCACTACGTTGGCTCGGTTTAATGCGTGAAATTCTGTCTTCCTGATTTTATATGTTGATTCACCGCCAGCCAGTTAACAACCAACTCACACAACAAGAAAACGGCTCTGATAAAATAGAAAATAAAACTTAGAGAAAAAATTACCAATAAAAAGATTATTTAAAAATCCAAATAAAAGATTAAAAAATCCTTACTGAGAGGAGGTAGTAGGTACTAATAGAAAATATTGTTAAAACTACTAAAAAAATTGTATTAAAAATACTAATAAGGATATACCTACTACTCTAGAAAAAATACTAATAAAAGATGAAAAAACTATGAAAAAAAAGGAAACGTTGAATTTTGATGGCTATAGACGAAGCAGCGCCCTACAACTGACGAAAGCCATCCTGTCGTCATCATACAAACCCACTCTTCTAACTTCACCCTTCACATCCACCGTCCGGCATTCCCTCCTCCAGCAACTGTTCTGGGAATCTTTCCCCGACAACCAACTCCTCATCGTCGACATCCTCTCCCTCCTCCCCTCATCCCCCTTTCCTTCCGGGGAGTTCTCCCGGGAAAATCTATCCCAGATCGCCGATCAACAAGCCGACAGTTGTGGCTCCAACGCGGCGCGCCTCAGCGCCCACCTGGACGCGCTGCTCCACGCGGGACGCCCGGCGCCGGGGATGGTGGAGGAGTTGTTGCGGAAATTGGAGAAAAATGTGGAGAGGGCGACGGAGAAGGGCGTGCAGTGGACGGCGCGGTATGCGCCGTTGTACGGGCAGATTGCGCGGTTGCGCAGCGCCATGGAGCGGTGGACGGGTGCAAAGGTCACGGGGGAATGGGTGGAGAGGGCCGTGGGGGCGTGTTGGACGGTGTCGAGGCTGGTCAACGAGGTGTTCGCCGATCATACGCAGGATTTATCCATGGATCGCAGTGTCTTGATTGAAGGTACATCCGTTGGTTTGTTTTTATTTCGTTTTTCGATCTGTTTTCTACTATGAAAGGATGCTAGCTAGGGATGGATGTATAAAGGAAGGTTGTGGTTGTTTTCTGGTCCGGTGGTTCTTTGGTAGACTCCATTTATCCCGTATGCGGAACTACTGCGATAAGAACAACAGATTATACATTTACTGTAATGATAACTTTTTTTTATATAATCATTGCTGTACCATTTACCTAATCTGCCTTTTTCGAATTTTACTTACTTTACCTTAAGTTACCTTATTTGAAATATTAAGTGGTAAAAATCAGTGAATGAATGAGATGTTTGGCGATCATATGCGGGATGTATCCATGGATCACAGTCTTTGTTGAAGGTATGTTTAGGTTCTGATCTCTTTGTTTTGACTTAGTTGTCTTATAACATTTTTTTATTTTTATTGTTCTTATTTATATTTACTTGTTATTCTGTTTATTTATTTAATATCTGTTTTCTAATTTTTTATTTGTTCTTCTGTTACTATTTATTTTCTAATATTTCTTCTAGGTTTCTTTTAGTTATTTTCAGTTTGCTTTTTTACCTACTGATTGGTGTGTTGGAAGCGACGGTCAACTTGGAACCAGGAATGGAGATGTGTCAGCGTAAATGCATAATTGTAAATACACAAGATATTAACTGTGATGGTTTCGTAGTGCAGGGGTTTTACTGTGTGGACTATGTCGCGTTCATCATGGAGCTATGTCCAACAGAAATAAAAAAAAATTGCAAGATTTCTGTGCAAAAATATTTTTTCGCAGTATTTTTTCGCAGCATTTACCGTAGACAATTTGCTGTTGTGGAATATCAATATTTCTCATGAGATTTTAAATAAAATGTTTTTATGTCATCTATGTGCGGATAGTCCTGGCTGTGAGTTGCCACCTAGAAACTGAATTTGTACTGTATAAATGTCATACAATTATGTTATAGGAATGGGTTTTGCCTGTGATTTTTTCTCACTTCGATGCCCACGCATTTGTTTATATCAAAATATATTTGTCGGTTCGCAGATATGTATAAGCGCGCAAAATTATTTTACTTTATATCTAGTTTGCAGCTATAAAAAAAATTGTTTGCAGATGATGCGGCTCCGACGGCGCAGATGCTGTACGTCTGCTGTTGGCGCTGTATCCGCGAAGTATCTCTCTTTCTAACCGAACTCCTGACCGGGCGACTCGTCCCGTCCGCCTCCCTCTCCCGCATCCAGGAAGTGTTTTTATGGAGCATCAGCCAACTGTTTATGACCCGTCACACCGGGACGTTCGAGACGCTGGCGGAGCAGATCCACAAATTGTCAGTTCTTCTCGTGGAGAAACACGGGGAAGCCGGGAAAGCGGTGGTCGTGTCCAGTCTGGGTGATATCGTGGAGGAAGTCACCGGGGCGTGGTCGTCACCGCTCCAACCGGAAAATACGCGCCGCAGCGCCGGTGTACCGCGGTTGTGGTGTATTTTGTACAGGTGAAAATGCTGGCATGCCCATACACGTTAAAATCAGATTATTTTGCAAATTACGCTGAAATTTGAAAAAATTAAATCAAATTAGTTTAGATTTTTAATTGATTTAGATATTAATTCATTTAATTGCGCGCTACATGAATTTATATTATATTTTTTTCTAGCGGATGATGCAGGAAAATTTAACCAACGAAAAATGGTAGAGACAATTCCCATCTGGAATCTCTTTCTTTCGAATGCCAATTTGAGACTGAACAACTGATGATTGAAAGTTATCAAGTTAAAAAATGCTTAAAAATGTATAAATTTTTCGCGCACATCTTCGTCTAACATTTTTACTGCCTAGGGTCAGCTAGCTGCGACTTACTGCGGATTTAGCAGCGGGCTTGGTTGCCTTTACACTACGAAACTTCTACTGCATTCGATTTTTGTGTCTCTAAGTGATTTAGTGAATTAAATAAACTGCACTATTGCAAGAAGAGTAATCGTTTCAAAAATGCGAAGAAAAAAATTTTAATTTAATAAAATATTATGATTTTAATTTCGATTTAGTACTTTTTTTGAAAGTTAAAGTTCGTTAAGGTAATAAAAGAGTTATTGCTACACCCTGGTCACGCCAAGTTGGCGGCATGACATTTTATTTTTCTGCCGAATCGTGTTGCGCATGGATATCCATTATTTTTACAGTTTCCAGTGCAGTATTTTCTTGCGCATTTGCTGAGTATAAATTTACTCGAATTTTTGTTGCCATCAGTTGTTCAGCTTTATGGCTGCTGTGATTATATGATTTTGCAGAGGTTTCGTTTAGGCAAGTTGTCAACTGCATTATCAGAATTTTTACATCGAATTTTTTAGTGTACATATTTTTGTTTCGATCGGTATTATAACTGGTTAATGAAACGTAGTGTGATGGAACGTAGTGAAGTGGAACTGGAAGACGTAAAATGTCGTCATCGCCGGTTGCCAATCCCGCTAAGAAAAAGTTTGCGCCGGCCTACAATGAATACTCTTATACAAAGTATAATTAAAACATTTTTTCCCAGATTCGGACAACTATGGCGAGCCGGCTGACCGCATTCGGACTGACATCACATCCTTGCACACCCAGCCACGCCCTACAAGTCGTCATTGACCATTTGGGGGACCTTTCCACAGAGAAAAACCAACTTCCCATCATGATCGCCATGCTGACGTCCGAATACATCAATGACGACGACCGGATCGTCCAGAGCGTCGACACCGATACGACCATCTTCGAGAACTGCGACCGGCACGAGTATCACGAGAATCTGCGCGTATTCCGACTGCTCCATCAGTCCGTCGTTCGCCTCACGCAGAATATCATGTTCATCCCGTCTGATGCGAAGGAAAGCGGTGTCTTGAAGTGGATGGATGCGGTGCGGTTGGAGATTGACGATTGTTTGAAGTATTTGAGGGAAGGGTCGTTTTTGACGGATTTCATCGTGTATAATCGACTGGTCTTCCGGTTGTATTGCTCATTGTTGGTAAAAGATTGTTTACAGCGCAGTGGTGTGGTGTTCGATGGTTGGCCGGATTTGCCGAATAGTGATAGGGAAGTTTTTGCTTCTGATTCACTACTCAGCCAAATTTCTGACTGGAAGTGATAATTTGTTGTTCATCAGAATAAGCGCCGACTGTTACCGTACTGTGATGTTTTACGCCAATATTAAAGTCTCCGACGTGACAATTCATTAATATCACCTTTACGGGAGGTACCTAATTTTACTGCATCAAACGTACATAATACATTACTTACCTGATATTTGGCACCGTATAAATTACCGCCATTGGTAGCTCGCAGCAGTTTACTATGCGGAATTTTCCAAATTCATAGGTATCATTGATTTTATTTGAGTTCATTTTGCAATTATATTTCCGGTTAGTGCTTGGATAATGGATAGGTGGCCGCTTAGGAACATCGGATGTTGTAGACTTTTTTTGTGTTCTAATAAGACTGCTATTTGACATTTTAAATTCATGTGCTTATTTATAATTGTGAATTAGGCACATGTATTCCGAATGACTGTATAATAACTGCGCCGACTTGATCCGGCATTACAACCGGCGCAATAAATACCTAAGCATTCGTCTACGACCATACCACGTAGAAAACTCCCGTTCATCCCGTTCGATCTCGGAAGATAACCTACGTCGGGCCCGGTTAGTACTTGGATGGGTGACCGCTTGGGAACACCGGGTGTTGTAGTCGTTTTTGCTTTTTTAACTAAGCTGCTTTTTGGTCTGTTAGGCAACTATAGTGGTTTTATTTATATTTCGTTATTTATTCACGAAAATGTACCGTATTTAAATAAATCAAAAAGAGCCTTTTAAAAGGCTTCTTAACGCTCGTAATGTTGCCGGGTTGATTCGGCATCACTACCATCGCTATAAATATGTTTATTTAGTCCTGCAAGATACGGATGGACAATAGCCTCGTTATAAAGCGATATTCTTCGAACTTCACTGCAAAATGCGCATAAATACTGCCGCGGCTATAATCAGCAAAATATTCTGGCAAATGATGATAGAACACATGATATAAGTCAAAAAAGCGAAAATCACAATGGAAAGCCAAGGCAAAATACGGCACATGCATGCGTAAAATGCTTCAACTTCCAAGCAAAATAGTGAAAATACCGTATGTACAAAAGATTCATTTCATAGGTGATTCAGCAGAAGGAAAGAATATTTACGGACTTTCGCGCTACATCCGTTTCCTTGGAAGACACTATCCACGTCTAACGAAAAAATACAGTTCGTGCTGGCGGACATTTACGATGCTAAAAAACTGGCAAATTCTTTAAATTCCTCGCCCGTGACCTTTACGCCGCTGCCGCCAGTCGTACATCCACCACGATATCGGTCTTGTGCGCGGTGCCCATCACGCCGGTTATCGTCACACCGTTATTCGCATACAGCACGGGATCGACCAACCTATCATAATATGTTTTTTTAGAACGGCTTTTCCAAAACACGGCTACCTTTTCTTGGCACCAAATGATTGGTACCGATAGAAGTCTTTCCGGGAAAAATATGTCTCCTCTCCGTAGTACATTTCCTGGAATGTCTCCGCTGAATGGCGGCCGCGCTCGCCGACACCGACACCCAGCCAGTTGCTATGATGATTCTGATTGTACGGCACTGACCACATCAAGATCACGGAGGTAGGCCGGCCTTCCAGGCGCCAGGCGATGGTCCCCGATGTCCCTAAAATTGAAATTTTATTGACACCTATTTTTTATCTGCTTAAAGCCAATAATCGGAATTTCTGTAACAATTTTTTTACAAACGATAGAAAAGAGGCATAGAGTATGGTGCACTACAAAATTTCACTGCCTTGATGTATGCAGTTTACTTTTTAAATTTCTAACATTTTTATTTATTTTTAAATGCGGAATAGAATTTATTTACAAGCGATAATAAAGGCGTGCACGTTACACTGAAAAATATCGATCACAGTACAGTATTTCTAACAACTCTCATACATTTGATTCATTGAAGTCTTGAACTATCCATAATTTACTATTTTTTATTCACAGCAAATAAAAATTAAGACGTAAAAGAATTTTTATTTGATCGAAAAATGCAGTAATACAAACTTGTCATGCTAAAGTACGACGAGGATTCGTACCAGATGTTGAGCCGCCGGTTTTATGCATGGCCATTATGCTGTACGCTCCCGGTCTGACGGTGTGGATGACGGACTCGGTTTGACCATAGTTCAGATGGCAGCTCTCCAGCTGGAGATGCCACGGCGTGTAATTGTTCAGGCGGAGGGTGGCGGCTACGCAGTACGCAGACTGGCTAGCACTCGCCAACGGACAAGTGCATCCAACATCTGCAAAACCACCAAATTATTATTATCACAGCTCCGAAGTCGCAGCTCTCATACAAGTACACCAATCAGTAGCCACTCGTGAATATCGCAGAATTATAAATCAATAAAGCAAGAATTTACAATACTTTGAAAAGGAATCGTAATGCCGCGATACGTAATGCTTACCGCGGTCGAGTTCGAAATCGTCGATTGGTTCCATATGAGGACTACTGATACTGGTCGTTTCAGTTTGGATGTCGGACTTGTCCGAGGACTGCGCGAAGAAGGACTGAGTGAAAGTTTTCATTGGACAGTCTATCACTTCAACCGAGGCAAACGTAAAACGAGAAGCAAAGTTCGACAATATTTGGCAACTTTGGGCAGCTACTGATTACACCGTTACAGGTAGATTAGTCGACTACTAAAAAATTAAATACTCCCTGTTATCATGTGTTATATATGTATTGTCGACAAAAAATGAAAATCAGAAGCTGAGAAGCAGTTAAAAATGTGCGTGTTTCGCACGCTGTCAGCCGGGCGGTATACCCGGTTCGATACCACCCGATCCATCACGTACAGTTGGTGTAATGGCACCGCTACCCACGAACTGGGACCGGCTCGTAACCGGCCAAAAAGTGGTGAATGAATTTCCTGTACGAGTGTGCAGTCTGTCTGTATCGTACACTGTACTGACGATTGAATAAATACTACTGAGTGTACTCCGTACTTCGTACTCCACTGTCTGGCAGATTTTCATTTCTTTGATTTCTTGTGGCTCGCAGTTTTCTGTTTTTCGACTTTTCATCCTAGTTAGAACGCAGCGATAGATTTCATAATATTTCATTTCCTTCAAAAATCTTACTCCGTAAACATTTCTTCCTAAACTTTCTTCAACAGCGCGTGTTCTTCAATCTGCCAGGAAACACTTGGCGTGCAGTTTCCTCGAGTGTTGTCACTGTTGTGGATCCAGGCGGGCCACGCGCGTTTCATACCTGTCTCCAGCCAGCACGCAGCATATTTCCGCTGACGGGGCCACTTTGCCATTCCGGACGATCGGTGGTGTTGATTATTTATAAATAAATCTCCCCCACGTGATGACAGCGTAGTCGTGTGGGCCGATTAGCATCTCATCTGTATCCCCGAGCAGATTCGTGTTCATTCACGTTTGTGGCGACATTGGGGGTTCGTACCTGCGTGCCTTCGTGAAGTGTAATGGGGGATACGACAGCCTCCACCAGTAAGGTGCCGGAATTCGCGCCCGGACTGACCGGGAAGCCGCAGACGGCCGGGGAGCGGGATGGGGCCGCGGGGGTGCCCGCCTGGCCGACCGGGCCCAAGCACTACGAACTGAAGAACGTCATTGGCATGGGAGCTACGGCGCAGGTTCGTGCATCCAGTTTTCGTCAGTTTCCTGATTTCGTAGGCATTAGGAGTCTTAGGTTTTGTTGGGGGTACGAGGTATTCCAAGTTTCCCGAGTAGTATCGTCACTATCGTGCTTACATCCTGATGGTGAAATATTTTTGATTTTAATTTTGGTAAAACTATTTTTTATTTCAGTTTTGTGCGTAATTTTCGTGAATCATGGGGGATGAATGTTTTGGATTTTGGTTCGTTTTTATTTTGATTTTTAATTTTTGCATGATTAATTTTCTCGAAATTTAATTTGTGTTGAATTTTTAATTTGATTTTTTTGGGAGGATTTTAAGGATTTTTTTAATGTTCTTAATGTTATTAAACAGAGATTTTTCTTCTTGGTACGCTTTATTTGGGGATTACGTTTTTGCGAAGTTTTAGGGCCGTTTTCGTACTGAAATTCCTTGTTAACTCGTATAGCATTTGGCGAAATCTTTGGTATCCTTATAAATACTTTCAAGGAATTTCTGGATTTGGTCCATGCTATGAAAAATTAATATTAAGAGGATTTCATCGTTTCTGACGTAATTTTTGGATGCACTTGCAACTACTGTGTACATAATCTGTTGCATTGTACTGCTATATTTAATCGAGATTTTTTCTTAATTTGTCACTATTGGGTTCTGGACTTTGTTGCCTGCAGTTGCACCAGGCACTAATGATAATTAGAATTCTTTGTGAACTGGTGTAAATAATGCCGTCGTTTCAAGGCTGGAGCGTTTAAGGCGGGTAGACATACGCCTTGAAATGTCTGTACAATTTGCTCTGTGATGATTTCGCGACTTGCGGATGTGCTCACAACGTCTACGATTTTTTATCGCTTTATAATTATTTACAATCGCCTTTGGCTGATTATTATTTTTATTTTTTTCCCATGACGTCATACCACCGCCATGTGTTTATGCTTGCGGTTCAGTGTGTCGGTTTTATTTTTTGTGACCTTTTGTTGTCTTTGTCTGCTCAAGCAGAAATTTAAATTTTGCTCCACATATTGTTAGTACTGTTTTTATTGATTTAATGCGTAATGCCACTATTGCAGCGACCTGGCTCGTTGTAGAAAGTATAATTTCCTTTAGCTAATATTTGCTGTACAGTTTGTATTTATGGCTGTTTACATGTTTCGCTTTCACGGTTGGCAGTGTATTTCTAACTGTTTCAGAATGTATCCCCGATTATGCTGTTTTTAACTAAAATTTCCTGTAATATTTCATGGGATTTAGTTTTTTGACAAAATTTAGTGGAGTAATTTTTCTTCGTTGTCAGTGTTGGCGTTTTATCGATCGATTTCCGATGTAACTGAAAACTTGAATACGAGTATACCGTGCTTTTTATTTCTAGAAGAAGGCACAAATTTCCAAATTATTTTGTTAAATCCGATAAATGTTTTTGAAGAAATGTAAATAAATTTAAGATTTTTACATTAATTTTAAAGGAATTAAAAGCAAGCGGAAGCTCGAGAAACTGCCGAAAAGGAATCATAAAATATTTTGTACAAATTGTCTTATTAATTTTACTGTATTTTACAGGTGTACGCGGCCATGTGTGTGCCGCGCAATCAGAAGTGTGCCATTAAGCGTATCAACCTGGAGAAGGTGTCGACGAACATGGAGGAGCTGTGCAAGGAGATCCAGGCCATGTCGCTATGCAACCACGAGAACGTGGTCACCTACCACACCTCCTTCGTCGTCGACGAGGAACTGTGGCTGGTCATTAAGCTGCTGTCGGGCGGCTCGCTGCACGACATCATCAAGTACCGGCTGGAGAATGAGGACTGCCGACACGGGGTCTTCGACGAAGTCACCATCGCCACCGTCCTCAAGGAGGTACGTCATTCTATGCATAATTTGCTGTGTTTTTCTTGGTTTAATGCTGTAGTGGTTTTTTTTGTTCATGCTGTAATTATGTTCGCGTTTTCTTGCATTTATTTCTGTTGATGAAACTAATGAAAAGTCTGCTGGATAATAGTAAGCATTTGATAAACCGGAAACCGATAAGCATAGCAGGATTCTGTCTCTGGTTAAGCGTGCAAACGATGTTAATTTAAATAAACGGCAGTGAAGCGTAGTTTATGGGCGCTTTAATCGTTTGCCCGTGTATCCTGCATTCCACGCAAAAATAGAGGCTACTTGTCTTAATAATAATTATAATTTGTATTAAAAATGTCAGTTTCGCTGAGTTTCAAATTTTTTTTATTTTTTTATACTTTCTGTTTAAGGTTGATATCACTGATGCAGCAGTGGTAACTTTCCAGAAATTTTAAATAGCCGTTTATCTAATCGTTTTGAATTTAATTTTTAATTTATTGTAAAAATTTGAATGACAGTTTTTTAATCGTTTTGGCTTTGTTTTTGAATTTATTGTAAAAATTTTAAATGGCAGTTTTTGTAATCGTTTGAAACTTAATTTTGAATTTATTGTCAACATTGTAATCGTAATCGTTGTGCCTTTATTTTTGAATTTCTTGTGACGTTACAGGTGTTAAAAGGTCTAGAGTACTTCCACAATAACGGCCAGATCCACCGCGACATCAAAGCCGGCAACATCCTCCTGGGCGAGGACGGGTCGGTGCAGATTGCGGATTTCGGGGTCAGTGCCTTCATCGCCAACTACGGCGGGGGATTGCGGGAGAACTGCCGGCATACGTTCGTGGGCACGCCGTGCTTCATGGCACCCGAGGTGTGTGCAGTGTTGTGTTTATACGGGGTTCTATTTTTAGCTCGCATTCTAAGTATGTCACGGATGTTGTCAGTGTTTATTGACTCGTGTGTGTGCAGGTGATGGAGCAAGTGGTGGGGTATGATTATAAAGCGGATATCTGGAGTTTCGGCATTACCGCCATTGAGCTGGCCACCGGACGGGCGCCGTATCACAAATTCCCGGCGATGAAGGTCCTCATGCTCACGCTGCAGAATGATCCGCCCACGTTGGACACGGCGGCGGAGATTAAGGAGCAGTATAAGCATTACAGCAAGAATTTCCGGTGAGAATGATACAAATATTCGCTGAAAATGCGAAAAAATTATGCAGTATTTATTGTCAAACTATAAATTATAGTTGAACCACAGAAAAAGAAAATACTTTTCCTTTTCTATGGTTCAAGTATGATTTTGTTATAGTTCAACTAGGGTTATTTTCGGTTTTTTGGGTAGGAATTAGGAAAAGTTTCTGCAGTAAATGCAGTACTTAAATTTTGCCGTTTTCTCTGCAAATACTGCAAGTCAACGTCGTACCGATAGTGTAATTGAAAACGTAGTGTATGGGCGTAATAAATCAAGAAACTCGTATGAAGCTATTTAGCATTTATAGTACCTTAATGTGTAGATATTATTATCATTTAACGAAATTAACTCTTTTTTATTAGGAGTAACTATTTTTTTCGATATTTCATGAATAAAAAGGAGTAAATTTTGTCACTTACGGTGAGTACGATCGGTTTTACCGTATGCATTGTAAAGAGAAAACTCCAGTTCATACCAGATAACATATCTTTCCGTTTCTTCGCCATAACGAATTAAATTGCACAACACATCAGCAGCGGAAGCAGAGCTGCTGGCGCGTGCCTGTGAAGTAGCGACGTTTGGCCTGAATAAACATATCTGTACTGTCGGTAGCAAAAGGAATATTTTATGTGAACTTCAGTAACTCGAATATGACATTATTCTGGTGCACTGTTTTTTTTTTAAAAAATTGTTACCCTGTGTTTATTTTACTCCATTTTGATCCGCTTTCGTTTCTTCGCCATAACGAATTTAATTTTGTAAGAAATAACGTTTTTCGTATTTTATATAAAGAATTTCGAATAACGAATCAAAGTTTTGTTCTTATAAAATTGTCATGTGCTTAAAGAACGCCGTGTAACGAATTCAGTGAAATTGTGTGGAAGCGGATGTTTTACCAATAATGATGTCTTTAACAGCAAATTAATATCGGATTGTCTGCAAAAAGACCCCAGTAAGCGTCCCACCGCCACGGAACTCCTCAAGCATCCGTTCTTCAAGAAATCCAAAGACCGCAAGTATCTCAAGGAGACCCTGCTTGACCACGGGCCGGGCATGTTCGTCAAGCCCTACGATGACCACGCCGGAGGGGAGAAGGGTCATCTGCACGGAAGTGGCCGTTTCTTCCGCACCACGAGCGGAGACTGGACCTTTTCGGAGGATGACGAGTATTTTCCTCCGCCCGGCGACGCGGTGGATGGCGGGGAACTGGCCGCCAGTCCGCCGGGGCTGGGTGCGCTGGGCGATCATGCGGGAGCGGCGCTGACCAACGGGACGGCGGATAGCATAGGTATCTGACGAAAATGCAAATATTCAGATAGTTTGATTATTTACTCAGTCATTTAAAATATTTCAGTATTAGGATATTAAATTTTTTTTAAGGTAGTTTGTAAATATAAAAATTATGTATTTATTTCAGTGTGCTTAGTTATTTTGCAATAATCCACTAAATAAATATGCTTTTGCCTCATTATTAAAATTCGGATAAACAGATAAGGCAATTTCGTAGTGCAGCGGCCGCGGCAGCGTGTGGCAAGACAGTCCATGTGCTGGCATATTTAAAATATTTAGATATTTTAAATTTGAACACTCAGATACAGTATGTATTTAGAAATTTAAGTGTTTGGGATATTACTTTTTGATTTTTACAAACAGTGGAATAAATTTTTTAATAAAGTAGCGCGGGTGGTAGGAGTAGTCGTAGGACTGGAAAGCGGAAAAGATTGTTGCGTATTTACCGATGAATGGGATTGCGGTTTTTTTGCGGTGATTTTTTTTATGGCTGGCCATTCAGTGTTGTGTGTTGGTATCTTTTTGCAGCATGGAAACCTGGACAGATGATTGGGCTGGTACTGCGGGTGCGCAATCAGAACCGGGAGCTGAACGATATCCGCTTCGAGTACACCATCGGGGTGGACAGTGCGGAGGCCATTGCGTCGGAACTGGTCGGAGCTGGCTTAGGTAATGGTAATCTTTACGCCATGGTAATGTCTGCATTACGTACTTTCGTAATCGTAATCACCGTACTCTGTTTTTCTCGTTCTCTACTGGTACGCACATTATCAGCCAGCACAGTGTGTGCTTGTGTAGTGTAGTGGCAGTCTGCAGGATCGATTCGCTACGCCATTTACTGCTTCGATTTAAGAACAACTGAATTTATAGTTGTTAGCCCTACTTTTTGCAAGATAATTCGTACGTGCTCCCTACTTTCTTGTGTTTTTGTTTTATTTTGACTAGTGTTTTGTTGTTGTGGTTATACGATGTCTAGTTTTGCTGTTCCCACTACAGTTGTACTGAAGTTACTACACATTACATTACACAATTACATTTACACAGTGACTTCTTTAGAGCAGTTTCGTAGTGTATGGGCGACGGTTTTCGTTTATCTCAACAATCGCTAGAAGCTGCGGATTGTTAAATTTAGCACCGAGTATTCCGATGCCTCAAAATTTAACGACGAAATTTTGGATTGGTTCATTTAGAAGGTTTTCAGTTGCTTTTTTCTCGAGTGGCTTTCATGTAATCGTCGGGAATCCGGGATATCATAAAATCAAACCAAAAAACGTAATAAATTGTCTAAATTAACCAGATCAAAATTTCCCAGTAGTTATTTATTTATTATATATTTATTTAATGTATTTAATTTGCAGTATGTTTTTACAGTTTACTTATGTATGTGTTTATTTATTTATCTTGCATTTATGATTAATTTTATTTTGAGTATGTATTTATTTTGCAGTGGACAGTCGGGACGGTGAGCAGGTCACCGCCAATCTGGAGCGCGCCATCCGCGTGCCGACGCCCAACCACTCGGTGGTCTTCCCCTTGAGCTCCGGCGTCCTGCCCAGCGAAGTGGCCGACGAGGCCTCCTTACTGGGATTCGCCCAGCTGACGGTGCTGGGCCTCTTCGCCCCGGCTGAGGACGGCGCCCCGCCCCCTGCCCCGCCCCCCATGGAGTCCACGGTCTTGTAGAGACTGCACCGGCGACGACGCTTCCTTTCTAACTCTCTTCTCCATCCGGTCCCCCACTTCGGGTCTAGTCTGGGCGGGGCTCTTCTCTCTCGCTCTCCCCTGCACGCGCGCGTTGTTGGAAGAAAATATTTTGGTTTTTTTTTTAATTAATAACATTTATTGGTTTTTTTGTTTGCTTGGCGAAAGAAAATAAGGAGGGCGGTGTGATTTTTGGGAGGGTTTCTTTTGCGGACCGGTTGCGGCGCTGTTTTTGGTTTTGTTTTTTCCTTGATTATCTAACGCTTGCTCATTTGTGATAATTAATCGTAACGGGAATTTATTAATTGTGGCAGTTTGTGGCATGGCGGAGTAGATTAAAACCCTGTTAACACGCGGTATCAAGTTATCGCAGTAGCGAGAAATCACAACTTGCGATGTATTTTAGAATATACTTAGCGTATACGATGAATTCCTGGTAGACTGCGCCTTACAACGGAGCACATGGTACAGGGAAATTCTCAGCGCAAATAGTTACTAACCCGTCAAAGGTTGAAATTGCATCGTATTAAAATTTAAAAAACGCCTTCCCTGCATTTTTGTGGTTTTGGTCCTTTTGGATTTCCCAGCGTGATTACATATTTCCGTGATTTTGTAGTAGGCTGAACGTTTTGGTTTATTTTCTCATTTTTCTGATAAGGTAATTAATTTTTATCTGGGCCTTGTTAGCTGTTATCCGCAGCACGTGGCGAGAGCAGTGGATGGTGATTTCCGTGTCAGTGAAATTCGTGTTGCAGCGTGCATGATCATCTGATTCCCTTCGTCATCGTTGTGTGTGTGTTTCTGTGAATGGGAAGTATTCGTGATTACGGCACGGGAAGTGGTGTATCCTGTAAGTACTACTGCCAGCGGGCGGATTGGCCCGATCTGGAGCAGGTTTCTCCCCTTCTCTTGCAGAGGACTGTTCATCGGGAATGTTAGCACAGTAACAGAGTAACTGCAAAATGACTATAACTTTTTCCTGGTTCCTCAGTGTTTCATATCATCAGTCACTGTTTTGACATTTTCTTCGTTATCTCAGTTTTGGGGTTAGTGAGGTTAATTAATTTTGAATTACGCATAATTTTATTGCGTTTCATGTGCAGCTGATAGGTTTGGTGTAGGTTTTCTGTGAATTTATTGGAAATCGTGGTAGTGAAGGAATTTCGAGCAGTGTGAAATCAGGTTGTGTTGGCCCGTGGGGCTTGTTGTGTTGGCCCGTGGGGCTTGTTCGTAACCGTGACTGTCGTGTTTACCACACCAATTATTTTTTGAAAGGATCTAAGAGCAAGTGTACAAATTAGTGTTTTCCCGTTTCACACTTACCTTGAAGTAAAATTTACAGAGTGCTGTATAAATGAAAAAATCTTCAGAATTTTATTTTTGTGTTCTTTTATAAGTTTTATTTTTCTATTTGTTACTTGTACCTGGAATTTTCTTTAGGATTTTTTATTGTTGTCTATTTTTAAAATAATTCAATAATGCACGACAGATCGAGTCAAAAATTAAGGAAAAATAATTAAAAATTAATTCAATTAATTAAAAATTAATTTAGGGTTTTTTCCCCTGATTTTCTCGCAGTTTATGATGCTGTTTATCATTTCGATGGATTTGCGATTAACAAATTTTGACAATTTTTATTTCTTCACAGTTCACACCTAATAAGGGCTTAATCTGGGGAGTCAGAGACATTAAAAATTTCGTAAAATTGTTTTTTGGAATTTAATCTTTGGATAAATAAAGGGCGAAAGAAACGCCGTATTTTCTGCTTTTACAGTTTTGCCACATTTTTTATATGGTCGATTTTGCAGGATTTTTGAACCATTTTAAATGTGATATAAAATATGCGTTATTTATTAGTTGTTGTAATTTGTTTTGCAGCAAGCGCAGCCTTCAGAATGGATTTCTCACGGCTTTCCCAGACGGTGGGCTCCAACATCCAGAAGATGTCGTCGCAAGGTCAGCGGAAGAGCCTTCAAAAAGTCACACATATGGAGCATTTTAATTCTGCCATTGACGCACGGATTTTCATCTGTTGGGTGTCTTGTTACAGTGAGCGACGTGGAGCGGATGGTGCGCCAGATTGGCACCGCCAGCGACTCCACCGATATGCGCGAACGACTGTAAGCCAGCATTTATTTTTTCGATAATTTAATTTTAAAAAAAAACGTTAAGAAAATTCGTAATTTTCCATTTGCACTAATATCGGTGGAGACCATAATGGTTTTTCATTTTTAGAAACGTGTTAACCAAGTGTTTTACCATTTTTCGCATTTTGTGTTTATTTTATCATGATTTGGTTGTCTGTTTCTACAAAAATTACTGGACGGTTCTCTTTTCTTTATTTTTATGGAATTTCTGTCTTTCTATTTGTTGCATTTTATCGCCGCTGAACTTTAGGAACAGTGATTGCCGTCGTTCTGCCATTTTTCTCTGCAGTTTCAGTTTGTTGAATAATGATTTGTTGATTTTTCTAATTTCTGTTAATGTTCTTGTTGAATATTCCGTATACGAAATTTCGTAATTCTTCAATGACAGAAAATTATTGTTTTTGTGACTAAATTTGGTCATTATTTTTCCTGAATTGTATAACTGTAATAATAATAAGTGGACTTGTTTGTGTGATCAATAAATGTCTGAGTATCGTCCACCGCTTGCTGTATTGATTGCTGTCTGACGATTAATTTCCGATTTATTACGGATATTAAAGAGGAATTAGGTTATTAAATTGTATCGATTTTATTATGTCATATTTAATGTGGGATTTTATATCCGCTGATTGGCATTAATGGATGCGCTGTTACACAGGCACAACCAGACCCACCTGATCCACAATATCGCCCAGGACACCGGGGATAAACTGAAGGAGATGAGTAATCTGCCGCCGGCCATGGGGCAGAGTGAGCAGCGCCAGCAGAAGCTGATCAAGGAGAAGCTCGTGCAGCAGTTCACCGACGCCCTCAACCGCTTCCAGACCGCCCAGCGGCAGGCCGCCGAGAAGGAGCGCCAGAGCTTCGTGCGTGCCCGCGCCCACTCCAACAACGCCGCATCACAATGGGTATGAATTATGAAATATAACAGTTATGTAATAAAATATATATTTTTAATTTATATTTAAAAAGTATGAAGTATACCTGATTTTTAACTATTTAATGTGTTAGTTAAAAGTTAACTATTTAATGTTTAATGTGTGCTAAAGTGTTAATTATATTTAATAAATAGGTAGGCGTTAGGATGCGGAAAGGGATAGTACACTAAGCGTAGTGCAGTGGCTTTCTAGGACAGTCATGTCTTCCCGTGATGAAAAGTACACCAGTTTATTACAATTTCAATCTGAAATAATCCTCGCATTTGACCGAATTGGTTTGAATTTTTCATTTATAGTTATATTTATTTAATATTCAATAAAATAGTGACAAAACCGTTTGTGCGGCGGTTGCGGAGGATATTTTTATTTGGATGCGGTAATTTATTATGTTTCTGTTTCGTTGTAGCATCCGTTTGAAGATGACTCGCAGCGTGGATACGGCCAGCAGTCGGCAGTGTAAGTTGGCTGAAATGTGTGGCAGTTTGGTAGGTTTTCTTAATATCATTTCAATTTTTCAGACTTTTCAAGAGTTTTAGTTTTTTTGAAATTTATTGATGAACTGTTGCTTTCACCAGGGATTAATGGACTGTTATTCAGTTTAGAATTTGCATTTTTCTGACAAATTTTATGGTACAATTGTGCTAAATGTTGGTAAAATTGGTTTTCGCCGTATTTTTCGTGATTGTCCATGTGTTTATGGGATAGGCCGCAGTCGCAGACGACGGTGCAGGTGGAGCAGGAAGTGGATCTGCAGGGACTGCGGGAGCGCGAGGATGCCATTCGGAAACTGGAGGCAAGTCGGCACTATTCTGGCTTCGCGTCTTCGTGTGGAATTATCCGTGTTATGTGAAATTAGTGGGCGCTGCAATTGAATGCTGAATGAGGCTGTCGATGCCGGTACTCACACGATTCTGTGTTTTCCTTTACAGGCCGATATTTCCGATGTCAATCAGATTTTCAAGGATTTGGCCATCATGGTGCATGAGCAGGGAGAAATTATCGGTAAGGGGACAATTAATTTCCTGCTTTTTATGGATGCTCTGTGTTGATGTGAATGGGATGTGTGTTCGTGCAGATAATATTGAAGCCCATGTGGACAGCGCCACCGTCAATGTGCAGCATGCCACGCAGGAGCTCAATACGGCCCGCAAATATCAGGTACATCTATTGCAATTCCATGCAGTTAGAAAATGAACGAAAATCAGTAGCGCGAAAATGCGTGAATAAATCAGTAGTTTTCGTTGTGTGTGTGGATACTAGTGCAGAGATAACAGTGTGGACTAGATGTAGATGTAGTGTGATGGCTTAAAAAGTGGTCTTTTCTTTCCGGATAGTGAAGTGTAAATCAGCAAGCGTCTAATTCAGGGATTATGGGGCATCATTGTCCGCACAATTAATTAATTTGATCTGAAATTTTTTTTTAGTGTTGAACTTAATAATTAAAAAACATTTTGTATTTGATCCGTATATAATGTAATTAAATGTATTATTGGATATTTTAAGTGTATTGCATACACGTGCTTTTAACAGACGTGTAATTAAAATTAAAACAAAAAATTAGAAATTTAAAAATACAAATTTTGAAAGTGAGCCTGCATTATGTTTTCAATGGGTAAATGTTTTAAAGATAAGAATTTTTTAAGGATAATAATTTTCTTGCATATTATGGCCGATTTGCTGTATGTGCTTTCGCGATTTCGATGCTGTTATGTTTCGCGATGCCGTTAGACGTTTGTGCGTTTTTTTTCTTATGAGACGCACACAGGAATATTCGCATTCTGGCAGGGTTTTCCGTTTTCCTTACTAAATTTTTCTGTTTATTTTGTTCTTTTATTTTTCTGTGTATTTTGTTCTTTTATTTTTCTGTTTATATTGTATTCAGTTTGCCAGTTATTACTGCATGCATTCTGTTATTTTCTTTATTTTTCTAGAGCAAAGCACGCAAAAAGATGATCTGCATTATCGGCCTCGGCGTCGTCGTGGCTGTTATTATCGCTCTGATTATCTACTTTTCCATACCTAAGAAATGATGGCCAGATTTTCAGTGCGGTTGTGACCAATGTTGCTGATTTTTGTCGGTTTATTTTCTTCCCTTTTTGCACCCTTTCCCGTTGGCTGGTCCGTTTTGATGATGCACAGGATAAAGTTCTGGCGATTCCCTCTTTTTATCATGGTTTATTTATTTGTTCTCTTTTTATTCGTCTGGATGAAAGCATGACGAGCCAGATTTCTCCCGTATTGCGCGATGCATTCTGATTTTTTTAATGAGAATTATTTTCGTCTTTGTTTTAATCGTACGTTTTTCCGGTCGGATTTTGTGATCTTTCTTGATATGACAGTTTGAACGCGAATAAATTCTCTAGAATACCGGTAATTCTTTTCTAATAAATGCTTGGTTTATTGCACAATCCGCGCTTTTTCATCGTAGTATATTATTACGGTTACTATGCATTTCTATGATAAATATTTATTTTAATCATTTCAGTGTTTGAGTAGGAAGTTTTTGTAATTTGAGCAAGGTGAATGAAATATTTAAAATTTGTTATTTTTTTATAGAAATATGTGCAGAAAAAGAGTGCGTCCACTAAATACAATTTTTACCAAAATAAAAAGTTTCTTTTTGCCAAGAGCCTTATTTTTTGTATGATCGGTAGCAAAAAGACGGTTTACTCGTACATCAAAAATCTATTTCGGAAATTTATTTTAGTAGCCTTAGATGGAGCTGAATGCAGAAATATCTCTGAGATACCGAGCCGAGAAAACCCATTGACTACGAACTATTATTTCTCGTTAATATTTTCACAGAGCAAATCCCGGCGAAAAACGGCTATCCTGGTAATCATCCTCATCGTGATCGTCCTGATCATTATTCTCAGTGTATCGCTTTCGAGATGAAAAGACCTTCCCCAACACGTAGGCGCTTTCACCGACCAGCGAATTCAAAGATAAATCGCCATAACTCCATTTATTTATTGCCTACGATGCTGTGTTGTGCGTGCTTTTATTCTCTTTACATTCTTTTTTCACTGCATATTGCCGATACTTGCATGGATATCATGTAGATTAATTTCTGGCATTGCCATTCCATCTTTGTATCGTCAGTGATTTTATGTACCGGTCAATTCGCAAAAATATACATTCATGTAAGTTTTCGGTGAAATTCGAGTATTTTCGCTGTTGTGCAGGGAAACTTGTACCACAACAACAACAAAATAATGATGTCAGATTTTACACTTTAATGGCAAGAACTTGAGAGAAATACAACGAATCAGAACCGTATCGCGCGCATGCAAATATTTTAGATAAGGACTATTATCCACCAACCAGTATTACTTAACGAAATTCGTCAAGGATTTAAGCAAACAATTAAATGAGCACACATTTGTCAATACCGAGAAGAAAGAAACTGTACAGCAACTCCATCGTGGCATCGGATTTGAAAAAATTCTCTACAATAAACTTTTTTTTAAATTAAAATAAATTAACATCAACTTCTTGACGGAATTTCTAGCAGGCAGGAATATCGAAGCGAACATAAGCATAAACTTCCAATAAAACTGTTAAAGGCGCAGCGATGCAACAAATTACTTTCCTGAGTCCCGCGTAACCAGCCAAGCGTGACCTTTACGTCATTATAACGCAAAAACCGGCCACCGTTTTGTATCAGAATAATGCATGACCTTTTGGTGGCCTTTTCATCAGGATATATACGAAAATCTTTTGGTGACCTTTTCGTCAGAATATATATGCATATATATATATATATATATATGCATACCTTTTGGTGACCCCTGCGTTAATTGACATCATGCAGGCTCTTGATCTCGTCTTCGTTGATCTCGTGATATCCCGCGCTGTACACCGGCGTCTTTTTCTTGACCGTTGTCTCGGTGGGTGGCGCGACGGTGGCGCCGCCCCGGCGTCCGCTGTCGGGGATGTTGAGTCCGGCGTACAGGCTGTAGATCCCGGCGGCCGTCGTTCCGGTGCCCGTCCCGGTGGTGGTGCGCGGGTGGTTCATATAGGGGACGGTGTTGGTGTAGGGGTAGATCGGGGCGGCGCCACAGGGCGTGCCGGCGCTGCCGTTGCTGCTGGTGCTGTGCAGATATCGCCGGGTTCGTCCGCCGCTGGTGTGCCCGTGACTGTGTCCTCCGGAGGCGGTGTGGTTGCTGATGCCGCCGGTGAGAGCGGCCATATTGTGGGAGATTGAGCTGGAGCGCTGGAATAGATGGTAGGTGTCGTGGTGAGCGGTTTGCGACTGCAGTTATACAAGAAACGAGAGAAGTTAGTAAGGATAACGCAAAGCGGGTTGTAGCAAAATGTAGTGCAGTGGCAACAGATATCGCGCGACGAATCGCTTATATGCGGTGGCGCCCATTCTGCTGACAGTTAGTTTTAACGGTACCCGATTGATTTAACGGTACCTTCGAATCTTTGTTCGCAAACTATTTTTTACCGTTTATTTTTTAGCGGTCTAGATACGTAGATAATGCTCTTTCGTAAAACAGTAAAAGAATATAACAATATTAGTTTTCGAAACGTAATTGAGAAGTTAACTAAGGCCTTGGCTCAAATTCGAACCGTATCTCGCTACGGTACGGTGGCTCCACTGCAAACAGCTACCTCGTGCGGTGGAGCTACCGTACCGTAGCGAGATACGGTTTGAATTTGAGCCAAGGCCTAACCTAATTATTAACTTAAACAGTGACTTTGGTTGTTTTGTTCAAATTTTAGCTATCTGCAATCTTAGTTAATTAAAAACTATAATAAAAAAATCATTATAATCTTTTGTTTGGTTAGTAATTGTAGCACAATTGACCTACGTTGAAATGAAGACAGCTAGGAGCCTATTTTCTTTGGCATCAATGAATTGATAACAAATAACTGCAGTAAACTTATAATGGCTTCTACTGCATCATGAATGCAATACTATTTCTGTATTCATATTGAAGTATACTGCAGTATGTATATGAGGAATCGGTAGCATGGGTTTCATCGCACTTGCATCGATCACCAGTCGTGCCCGCTAACAACGAATTTGTGACCTTTCTACACGCATATACCGGCACGGAGTCACGGTCGGCCCGTCCCTCTAGGCGTTTTAGCTACACCGGCACGTACACCCACTTACGCTGTGATGATGAGCATGCTTCCCGGCCTTCTCCTCGGCATACTCCCGCTGCCGGAACTCCGGGGCGGGCGCCACCGGCCGGTGGACGAACAGCGGGATCTTCTGCGGCCGATGCGCCCCGTCCATGGTGTTATGGCACAAAATGTCCAGACTGAACACCGAGCCCTCGTGGGCGGTCAGACTGCGCAGTTCCTCGTAGGAGGAGTCGACGAAACCGTCGTCGTACGTCTCCACGTAGCCGTCCTGTTTGGCGTGCGAGTAGCCGCAACTCTGGCAGAGGACCGGCGCGGTCAGTTCGCTGTCGTCGAACACGTTTTCGTCGTCCTCTTCTCCTTCCCCGAGGTCACCGGAAAGGTCATCGTTTTGCGGTTTGACGATGATGTCCGGCGGCAGACGCGGGCGGCTGCGGTGCCGGCTGGCCGCCTCCATATCGCTGTCACCTGGTAAACAAGCGGTTTAACATTTATACCAGTACAATTACAATTTAAGCGGATTGGCGTGGTTTATTTAATAATTACGAAGATTAAACTAATAATTTTTCAGTTTTTCAAGGAATTTCTTTTTATTAGTGGATCAGGGCGGTTTATTTTTCCGCTCTTGTGAAAGGAATTAAGGGAAGTGATCACGTGGGATTTAGCATACTGTATATATAGCATTAATACGACGAGTACTATTAAAATTTAATCGGTTTATTTAATGGCGGATTTATTTCCTTAATATAAAGATTATACTATCAATTTTTTCAAGTTTTCGAGGAAATTTATTTTATTAGTGGATTAGGGTGGTTTATTTTTCCGCGCTGGTGAATGGGAATTAAGGAAAGTGATCACGTGGATTTAGCATATTTTTTCTTTTAATGATCGCCTTGACCCAATTCAGTGGGGAGGGCGCCGCTTTCACTGTCATGTGCGACATGACAGGAGCATGAAAAGACAGGTGACGCGCATTTCCGAGATGCATTTATCTTCTTATTTGGATAACGTGACCACGTTGACCTTTTTCCGCTTAGTGTTATTCTTGTAGAATAATCTGGTTGTTTGCCACACATTTCGGGAAATTCACCAAAACGCCGTAAGATACAGCGGACCTGCTAATTTTACTCAAATTCTACTCAACAATGCAAAATATAAATTCCGTAACGATTGACGGTTTACCAAATTTCAACCACAAACTGTGCCAGCCATTTTTATTTATAATACGGATATATTTGGAAATAAAACGTCGATAAAGCTATTATGTCGTAATTATTAAGAAGTCGGACAAATATAAGAAAAATGAAATAAAATAAGACAATTGGAATACCACAATTTTATATGTACATGTTGTAACTTACTAGTATATTCGGGTGCGGAGCTCTCAGCATCATCCTTATACCCGGAATCCTGATCACTGAAGCTCTTGACCGACACCCGCGACACGTAAACGTCTTTTCCGGCGCCCGGCTTTCCAACCACCACCGGCACGATTACCGTCGTCTCCAGGCTGCTTCGACGCGCTACTGTCTCGCCGGCGTCCAGTGCGCCCAACGGGGCGGTCAGTGCCGGATCCGGTGGGGTACTGGATGTCGCGGTCAGCCCCGGGAAGAGGGCGGCCGCGGCAGACGGTGTGGCGGAGGGGGGCGGGGCTTTGTGCGCTGCGTTGTGCTGGGAATGAAGGGCCGCACGGATGCGCGGGATACGAGGACGGACGAGGGGCGCCGGTGGGGCAGCGGCGGTAGTTGGACTGTATAAGAAACTTATGAAGATAGTCTTGCATACATAAATTACATATCCAGATTAATTAACATTTTAAACATAGTATTATAAATGCATTTAATGCAGTTTATCGCGTATTATTGTGCCGGTTAACTTAATTAAAGCGTTCCAGGTGACTACATTAATTTGTAATTTAATTAAAAATTTACATACATCGATTACATAACTGAGTCATAACATACACAGACCTGTACATGTAAAATAAAAATGCAATTAATTTTAAAAGGTACGTTAATAATTTAATTACAAAAACTACTAATTAGTTAAACTGACAGTTTGATTTGGCAAAACTGCCGGTAAGGTTTCTCTTTGCTGCTAAAATGTTTCAACACGAAATCGTTTTGATTTACAATTGAATTCATTAGTGTTATGTTGACGAATCCCGTCCGGCATTGTCAAGTACGCTGAGTACACGTTGAAGTGCATTAGCAGAAAGAATTCAATGGAAATGCCGAGCGATGTAAACATTTCGCAACAGCCTTTGCGCTGCCGCACACCGGCTTATGGCTTGATAATCGCGTTTGCAAGCCGAAAATGCGCATGTTTATGTGTACAGTACTTCTATATTAGGTAACGTGAAATTTGACGTTTTTCGCTTTCCGGACATTTTTACAATACGAATTCGCGTGCTGGACACCAAAGACAGAGTATTTTCTGCGTTGTTCCACATCAGGAAACTAGATCTTTTGTACGTTAAGCTTGTAAAAAAACTCTAATAATCACGTAATCAATTTTTTTAAAGTTTTTGTCATGTGGAAGTGGAAGTTGGAACAACGTGGAGAATACCTCGTCTCTGGCGTCCGGTACGCGAATTCGCACTGTGGAAATGTCCGGAAAGAGAAAAACATCAAAGTACCTATCTGTAAATACCAACGGCCATCCCTACCGGCGCGAATTTAGCTTTAGTTAATTTATTCTAAATTTTTTATTCTATAAATTCATTATGTAGTATTCATATATTCGTGATACTGATCATATTCATTAAATAAATTTTAAATTCAAGATGTTTATATATGTTATAAATTCATTATACTATCAAAAATCTTATACAGCTAGGCTATATGGCTATTGGCTCTTAACAAGCGGAGCGACTCATACACACCGGCAAAGATGTATTTCTTAACCATTACTGGTTGATTCTTTTTTTAACCTGCATCACGCGATCAGCGGCCGCCCTTTCCCTGGCCGATATTACAGCCATTAACCGGCGGGTAATCACAATTTACTTTTGTTCCAGCCACACGGCGCCGTACCGGGTACATGCTCCGACACAATGCCCAAACTGTAATTACTGTCATCGGCAACACCGTGTGCGGGCGCAACACGCCGGAATGATGGAACACCAAGGTTGGTGCGTGACCTTATCAGCACCGGTAATGAAGGTATATTACGCCGGCCGGAGCACGCACGAGCGCCGCGCTCCTCGCAACAACATGCCTGGTTAAGAAAATCATTAGCGTTGATGGGGGAATTTGCGCCGTAGCTGAGTTTTATATTAGTATACACTGTATGTCGCCGGTAACGCGAGTTTGCGTGTAATTTGTACAAAATCCCTGTTGACAAAATAGTCGTCTAGGTGCGCGCGCTCGCCGGTGTCCGATTACCGGTGTAGTATATGCGGGACAATATTATTGGGAAAGGCGGTGAAATGCCGGTGTGTTGAGGAAATTGTACCGCGGCAGCGGATGGACAACACGTTGAAATAATAACTGTTTTCCAATGGAATGTTGCGCTTACACTTTCTTCGATAGGTTATGTCACATCTCGTCAATAAGCGTTATGCAATTTTTAACCAAGCAATTTCGGTCCTTTCGTGCTTCATTAAAAATTGACTTCCTTCTAGTTCGTTTAATCGGAAAATTGCGCATAAACCTCGTCAATAAGCGTTATACAGTTTTTACCATATTTAGAACAATTTCTGCTATTTTTTAAATTTAGACCGGCTCGTTTAATTGGAAAATTGCGCATAAATCTTTCCAATAAGCGTTATGTAATTTTAAAAGCAAAAACAGCTGCAGCTAACCTTTACTCGGCTCCTTATAATTATTTATAAATTTTTAATTTATAAATAAATAAAATGAATATGTTCATAAAACCGCGCCACGATTTTATAGCAAACTTATGCAGTCTTTTCTGGCGATTGTTTATAAAGAGAAACCACGGAAATGAAACGCACGCCGTATATTCTTTCCTCTCGGTTCTCTCTCAACATCCCGACCGGGATTATAAATTAATCGTAAGCCCGTTAAGTGCACCGGTAAACAGACGGAGCGGCGTCCACGGATCGATATGACGCTACTTGTAACAGCGCGGCGCGCTGCACCTGCATATGCCGCTTACGCATATACGCAGACTGCGGTAGCACATCAAGAGTCCGCTGGTTTCCGCGCTGATCTAGATAGTTCAAGGTTGATCTACATAATTAACGCAAGGTTTCCGTGTTAAGAATTTTATGTACTGTAGAAAAACACGACAGCGTGGCGAAATCATATATCAGAAATCAGCCAATCAGAAAGTGTCAACTAATACAGGTGAACGATGACAAATTACGCCTATTTACAGTGTTAAAAATGCAGCGAATGAGCTGGTTAAGAAAATCGTAAAACAGATTTAACTGAGTTATAGTTAGTTCTGCAGTTAATAAGACAGGATCGGTTACTAAGATTATGTAACAGTATCGTAAAATAACACGTAGTAAAGTCGCTGGTGTCATTGTCAAATATGTGTATAACACTCTTGTCGAGTGGGAAAGAGGAAAAAGTAAGTGAAGTGATGCAAGAACCATGGGAAACAGGCCAGGATTATGTGATATCCATGGCTCGATACGTCCTCGACGTAACACGCTTACCTAACAATTTTCCGCCGACCATTGACCGGCATACTGGCGGCCTCCGTTGAGCCAGCCACCGGGGCCGTCGTTTCCCCGTTGACCCGGCTGGCTGTATCCAGAACCTTAATCCGGTGGACGCGATTCAGTTGGCTCAGACCGCAGCCCATGACGCCAGTGTCCACGTCGACCAATCCGATACTGGCATTTCCCTCCCAAACGGAAAACTCTTGGCAAGATTATGATAAACTCTAAAGAAACTTCAGGCAGCCGTGTTGTCCAAGAAATCTAAGAAACCTAAGAAAAATAATGGCTGGGATCTTGAGAGTGTCGTCTGCGTGAAAGAATTATTACTAAACAGGATTGATATCTGGCCTCGAACACTCTGGAATGGCGGAAGTGAGCGCCTGATCGGGGAAGAGAGTGCGAGAAAGCGAATATTGATCGAGATCGAGGAAATATGGATATATGGAGTTATACAGTGTATGACTGGCATCTACCGGCAAATAGATCGATATATCGGCGCAGGTACGGTTGCACTAGGCTGTACAGATCGGCCGGATAATTGCTGGCTGCGTGTTAGGTAATGACGTGCCGGCTGCACTGCACGCGGGAAAATGTGGCTAATAGCGTCCTGTATGTGCCGGTGTGGTGGAGGACGAAACGGGGATATATTGTTTAATTGAATGTGGGGGTGCACGATGCAGCGCTGTGCCGATCAGGATGTGCTTACGGCGACTGGCTTTGTTCGTGCGGGGCATGTCATGCACCCGGCGCGCGCTTAATTGCGCGCGCTGGAATTATTTACCGGGAGGATGGGATTGTTCGGGGAATATGATGCTTTTTCGGTTAAATTGCGCACTGTCTATCATAATCTGTAGGCAATTATGGAGCTGACATTCACCGATAAAATAGCACCTTTTGCGTACAAAATGTAGGACGAAACAGGCGGGGAAAGTGATGGGGCTGTCGACTATGGAAATCCGGTTAATGCGTCTTCTTGATAAAATTCTTACTGTTAACCGTGAAAATCTAGATGCCGGTTCTCTACCTGCCTTCAAATTTCTACTCTCACTCTTATGTGTTTTATTAGCACAAAACGGTTTTTGTTCGACCATACTTGGACCGTTGGGGTTATCCGCTTGTGCGCCGTAATGATGATAATAAAAATGGAATTCAAAAAACAAAATTCTGCTTTAAAACTTTAATAATGAATTTGAAAAACAGCGTGCAACAGGGACGCATTCAAATGCGCTTAAATCGCCAGCCCAGGATGCGAACAGAGAAGCGCTTGCTTGCGCAACATACTTTACAACGCTACTGAACCACCCACCTTCTCTAGCCATACATCCCATATATGTCAAAAATGTCGAAACTTTTCATAATATTGTAATTTTGTGTTTCTATGTCATCAATCCGAAGACGCTTTATTTTTCTTCATGCGCTATATTTTTCGTTTAATGCAAAATATTTAAGGACGTGTGACCTCGATAAGCCAGCCGGTCCAACCCAGATGATCACCGAAAAACTCCAAAATCCTCAATTGACGACTAATAAGGATGTCTTGAATATGTTTAACGGTGCACTGGCATTGAATTCGGTCCATTTAATGGCTTACGTATCTGTGCATCGCAAATCCCGATTCGATTCAATAAGCCGTTACAGTGAAGTAACCAGCATTCATTTCCTGATCTGCCGGTGCATAAATTGATCCGGCACCCACATCTCTTCCCCGACCGTACAGATCGACGGATCGGCGTTCGATAATACTTGTATGCGTAACACGTATTGATCGGCATTGAGGGTAGAGATGCGTCTCATTCTCTCTCTTTCTCCTTAGCGGTGCAGGACGTCCGTTGGGATTTATCCTTGAAAATATAGCGATGTATGTGCCCACGCTGTACCGTCATTCTTCCGCTGATGGCGGGGTCATGTGAGTGAGAGCTGCCGGTGGAAGTGTGTCACGTACATGATTGCGAACACACGGCGCATGTGTTCAAGTTCGCAGAGCCGGGATTGTGTCAGACACCTGGCGCGCGTTGTCCGTTGGTCCGATGACATTTACTCGGGAAGAGGGTGGTTATTTTTTATGGTGAATTGCTGTGTTACATTTTGTTTTGTATTGCAGCACTACTGAGTAACAAAACTCACTCTGGATAACGTTCTTCCTGGCGTTTTTACATTTTAAACAAGCAATCGATAAAACGAGTATTCAAGTCACACACCATATCAAGGGAAGTGTGCCGGTACAGATACATGCCTGTCCCGTCATTTCCTACGCATGAAAAGTACAATTGACGGATTATGCCCAAACTACAAACGAAAAAATACAAATACAAACGAAAACGAAACGAAAAATACAATACCACGAGAAATGCAAATTGACGGATAACGCCAAACTCCACACTTCGGCGCGCCAGAAAACGGTTGGTGCAGTAAGGGATAATCTAACTGACGCCAGTGCGATAATGGCGAAGTGGCCATCGTTTTAATCGCAAACTTCGCTCTAGCTACATTTACGTAGAAAATTATTTACGGGACATGCTTGTACATGGTACCAAATTCGGGTGAATGCACAGCAGCTTTCGGTTTTATACCCCGTCACGGATCCAAGTTTTTTTCGAGTTTAGATAAAATGTTTCGTAACTTTCGTTCCATGATGAGACTATTGGTCGAAGTATACCTGTTTGCGACCAATTTTGGAACCTATAATTTCACCCATCCTTCTCCAATCGAAAGAGCAAAACGACTGCAAAAGCATGTTTGGAAGCGAGCGAAGAGAAGAAAAGTTCGCGTGCATGTGCAATTGTGCACGAATTTGGTGTTACAGTATGTATCAGCACACTTCCCTTATACTTCGTTTATGACCAATTATGGGTGCCGAGATTGGTGAATCGTGCAACGAAGATCACTATCTGTAGCCTGTAGAACCGGCTTTACTTCCACTTGGTATCTTCAACGGTTTTACCAAAAATTTGCATAGTTACTGTACAAAATTGAGGGATTTACAGTAACAGCCACAGCCGCTGCTCATCGAGCAACGAAATGATAGCACAAAAATAATAAACAGATTAGGCAACAAACACCACGTGGTGTTTGTATCCGTGAATTTGTGTAGCATTGGACAGAAGCTACGAGTTACATACAGCTTAGGACGAAATGGTCGCATACCCAACATCTCCACATTCAGTACGAATGCAGCGCAGTGCACTGTACCACTGAGTTCAAAATAGCCGTTTCGTACAAGTGCACTGCACCGCTTGCGTACAGAATGCTGGGTATGGGGCTATGCGACCATTTCGTCCTACATTTGTACATGTGCTTTGATAATTAATGACACAAATCTCACTGCTCTAACCATGTATTTTTTTGCGCTGCGCTTATGCAGAACTTGCCCTTTCCGAGTTACCTATGTCCCGTCAACGATTTACACGAACGAACGGCTTAAAGATGTGGCTCAAGACATTAACCGGTGTACAACAGCAGAAACGTCATACAAAAAACCTGGCACGTTGGCGACGATAAATGCCTCCCGGAAGTCGCAGCACGGGTTAAAGCAATTTTCAATGCAAATCTGACTACACTACCAAAGTATAAGGTTACATAAGATGTGCTAGGCATGTATCGTTCCCCACAGTAATGTTATGTTTATAGGATGTGAAGTGGCGAGATTACCGTAAAACTTGCCAAATATAACGCTTTTTATGATGTCGCATGACAGTATCAACTAACCAAGCGTTGGCGGTGCGATTGTAAGTATTTGTTTATGCAGAATAAGGATTAAAGTAACGGCCACTAACCTCGTTCAACCGTAATAAAGGAAATTGCAACATTTCTGCAAGGAATATTTAAAACCGGGTGCAGCGACTAAGATGTCGCATACCGTGGACGCGGTTTTTACTGGCGATATTGTCGCATTATTTCCGAAACTTTCTTTCATAGTTTCTTTCTTTCATGTATCCTTTCATAGTTTTCTTTGCCATATCATTGGTGCTCCCTCTGGTATCAATGGAAATCCATGAAGAGCACCGCGACAATATTCGGTTAGCAGTATTCGGTACGCGCTGCCCACCATTTATACAACGGTATTTTTTCGCAGGAAAGTTCGGAAATATTTCGCCAGAAAAGCCAGATTCCACGGGGCGGGAGCGACTTGGCAAGCCGGAGAAAACCACCTGACGGAAACGGCTCCCAGCGAACTGGGAGCGCTGTGCGGAACAATACCGATGAGCCGAAAGGAAGCTCGCATGGACTACCATCCGCCTCCACCCATACCCAATGCAATGCAGCGGATTGACATCGACCCGGAATTCGATGCAGCTGTTAAATGGCCGGAGTGTCCGTCCATCAAGCTGATTCGCGACCAGGGACGATGCGGATCATGTTGGGTACGCTTCGGGCTTATGGTCTTATCCATATTGCATTTACCTCTACAACCATTTTGCTTTCTTTGCCTAACCAATCCCTCGCTGTCCCGTTAATCATTACCTAACAGTGCATGGTTTATACAGGCTTTCGCCGGCGCCGAGACCCTTTCCGATCGCTATTGCATCGCTAGCGGCGGAAAACAGACCAAAATCTTCTCGCCACAGGATATTCTTGTATGCAGCGGTGGTCAGAATCGGAATCACTGGTAAGTGGCAGGCTGCTACAGACAGCCAACAAAATACAAAAAAAATTAAAATTATTACCAGGAACGAAATACGCTTGGTTGTTTTCAGCCAAGGAAATCGAGCTCGTGCTCCGTACGTTATGGCGGTTAGCGATGGAATCGTGTCGGGCGGAGACTATCAGAGCGGATCGGGCTGTCTACCGTACACAGCCTACACGGCCGCAGCTGTTGCCAGTACGTCCACCAGTCAGTGCCAGTCGAAGTGTACTACAGATCTGGATTACTTGCAAGACCGATCCTACGGTAAGCCAGTTATATTTCAATGAGAATTCCGAACGCATAGCAGTTAGATTCGATATACTGCCTAGAATGACCTTTCCAGACAGTACCGTAAAATCCTGAGTTTTGTTTGTTTGTTTGTTTAATGGGCTTATAATGTCTGCGACGATCAGGTGTAACCTGCGCGAGGCCGAAGACTGCTCTCATCGGAAAAGGCGTTCGCCTAGCGAAAGCCTTGCACAAAAGAAAAAAAACCGTAAACACTAACAATTCAGAGTACTCTGTAGTTCAGAGGTAGCAGCGATTATCAAAATGAATAAAACGTTTAGTCCATTTTGAGTCCATCCATTTTACGGCAGTTAGTGATGTATCAAAGCAACGGATCGTTGCGTACGACTCTTCCGAGAGTAGTGTTAGCACACTTTGACGATCTTTGCATTCCGGACATTTTTACACAATTTAATCATATTAAATTTTGTAAAAATGTCCGGAATGCAAAGATCGTCAAAGTCTGCTAACTACTCAGGATTTTACGGGTCCATATTATGGATTCGCGTACCTACACCAGAGGCACGGTATTCTCCGCGTTGTTCCACATGACAAAACTTTTCAAAATTGATTTTGCGATAATTAGCGCTGTATACGAAGTTGCACTCGAGATTACTGAAAAAGATATCAGGTTTTTTTAATGCGGAGCAACGCAGATACCTGGTGTCCGGTACGCGATACCGTATTGAGAAAGTGTACGGCATGCGATAAGCGTCGAGGTATTACGCGTACTGAAACGCTGCTGCCCGAGCTGGAATCACTCATTCAGCTCTTCGATTAATTTAATAATTTTTAGCGTGTCTTATAACAGTAATTTGGCAATAGGGTCCTCGTGGTACGAAATGGGAAACATTTTTAACAATTACTATAACGTGGTCGGAGGCGGCGCTGCGGCCTCCGTCAACAACGAAACGGTGGTCCGGCAGATACAGTACGAGCTGATGACACGCGGGCCGCTGACAGTGCAGATGAAGATCTACAACGACTTCTTCGCTTACAGCTCAGGTGAACCAGTCGATCAGTGTGGCACTTCATTTCGCGTAAAACCGTTCGTCCTTTGTAGGAGTATATCAACACGTTACCGGCGGCTTTGCGGGAAACCACGCTATGAAGCTGATTGGCTGGGGAACGGAGAACAGCACCGATTACTGGCTGATCGTCAATTCCTGGGGTCCGAACTGGGGCATGAACGGTATGGTCAAGATCCTGCGCGGTGTGAATCATCTGGACATTGAGGAATACCTGGTCACCGGGATGGTGGATCCCGGTTTAACCGCGACAGTGGACACCTCTACGTGCAGCTTGACCCAGTGCCAAGGACGGCTAGATTTTGCCTTGGCGGCCAGCAATGTTTGCTCCACCAGCTATTGTGCCTGCTACCGTTTCACATGGAAGTGGAACGAAACAAACAATAACTGGGACAAAACACAGACTCCGCAAGTGGTCAGCTGCGAGGAGGGGCAAGCTTTTGATGCGTCGGGTACGGTTTTGGAATGTGTCGATAAAAATTTGTTACCGGCTTGCCACACACCAACGCTGGCTCCAACAACCAGCGAAGTGCCATCAACAACAACAACGACGACGACAGAAGAGCCAACGAGGACAACCTCTTCGTCAACCACCACAACGACGACGACAGAAGAGCCAATGACGACAACAACCACGACGACGACGACTACTACAACACCGACCACCACAACACCAACAACTGTACGCACGTCCACACCCAGCACAACCGTAACGCCGGATACAACAAGTTCCACAGCCGCCCCGACGAAATCCATTACAACGAAGACGACTACAAGCGTATCCACTAGGAAACCCACCACAACTGTCACGACGAGAAAACCCACAACGAAAGCTAAGACCACTACCAAACTTCCGACTACCAGACGAAAAGCAAAAGGGTCTCTACAACGCCGGTAAATTCCTTACTGTAGCGACTGGTATTCAACGTTGGTGTAATACTATCATTACTATACACCTACTGCTTTACCGTGAACTTGAAATTTTTGCTTAAAGGGTGTCCTATAATGTATTCAATCTCAACGCTGTTGCATAGAATGATTATGCGATGTGAACTCTTGGATATTGAACGATTCCACTGTCATTCACATAAAATAATCAATTAAAATTTAGAAAGTTCTGCAATACGCTACTGCGAGTAAATGTATTGGAAACGTGCACGTGCAATGTATGCATTGTGTTGTCACCATGTGAATAAAGTGACATACACAGTACCATTCCAATTCCCCAAAAATAAATTTTAATTTCACTTCTCAAAACCCTTCCCATTCCATGGTTGCACACACTGATTTTAACATGACAATTATCCTCAGTGTTTCTCATTTTGTCCGTTAGCAAGTTCCCTTCCACCACTTTTCGTACAGGGCGGCAATGGAACCATCGGCTTTCAGCTCCTCAATCAGGCGAGATAATGTCAATTTCCACGGAGACGACAGCGGAAGAGCCAGGCTGCTACCTAAACAGTTTACCGCACTCGATTTTATTCTGTTAGTTTCTTAGTGGAATTGAGTACACAAGAATAACCAATAGGGCGGAAGCAAACTGCCACTGTCGAAAGCATAACCAAGCAAGTATGGGTTTAGTCAAATATTAGAAATAGTATTCAATAATCCATTTATAAATAATTTAGCCACATCCGGAATAAAGAATAGGCTTAGTTTTTGTGGAAATCACAGTGCCCCATCGGTAATTTATCTTGTATTTTAAAAGGGCAAAGTCGATGAACAAGTAAAGCTGCCGCTAGTACTATCGGCACAGTACAATTTGTAGATCCTAATGCATTCACAGAAAAATTCCTACAGTGTTATTACTGCGATTATTGCTAGCAGTGTACCTTTCACGGTGGAATTCCAGCGTTCACCAAAACCGATAACCATAGTATCGCAGGCACGGCCCATGACCTTTACAGATGCAATGAAAAAGCAAGAGAAATTAACAAACTATGCAAGCAGATAGCAGATTCGTTTTCCGTACAATTATTCGAAATAGCAACGACGTACGAGATGCTCTTTTGTAGCCATTTCGAATACAATAACTACTTTTTAACCAAAACGTTTTATGTTTTATAAGTGCCATATGATGTGCTTCAGATACTACGTACTGCGTAGTTTGTGTACGACAGTACGAGCACAATCGTACAGTACGATACGAGTATTTAATTTACTGCTTAAAAATATATAATCCCTACGTCTATAAAATGCAATGCTCGTTCCCAAAAACGACAATGATGTGTCTAACAAATGATGATGATGGATAACTATGATGTGGATAACTATTAATTCTACATATAAGACTTCCGTACGTAATTTTAGTATGTAATAATTACAACCTTTGAAGTGGCACTGTGATGCCGTTAACTTACATATTCCGCCGCTAGCTTCTCCATGATAAAAGCGAACGTCCCATTGTAATTCTGAACGCGCTCGATGCCTTTCTCGTAATCATTCACAAACGACTGCTCTGGATGGGCTTCCATGAATGCCCACATTCTTTTGAAAGGTTCAGCTTGGCTGTTTTTGAAGAAATGGCTTGTTGAGCCACCGGCGACGATCCCATATTGTATGGCCGTTTGTCTCGACAGTTCGTACACGTTTGCGAAAGGAACTGCCGCCACAAACACAGTACTCATTATTTAATCGTCTTAAATAACACCTTGTAACAAGAGCTCGGTCGGAGGAAATTTCATCTGTTTCATTTTTTTTACATTTTAACCATTGCTAACTCTAAGTTACCTTATATGGTTCTAGTGTGTTTATAATCATATACAAGTTCCCTTCCACCACTTTTCGTACAGGGCGGCAATGAAACCATGCACTCGTATGCATTTACTTAGTAATTTTCCTTCCGCGTCTACTTGTGGTTTCTTGTAGAGAATGGCGAGGCCATGATCAAAAAGCGGCGGAGTAAAATCAACAACTTCGGTTCGTTCTTTCGTTACAGGAAAAGACGCCAAAGCAAGGTCTGCTTTCTGTTAATCAGCGATCATTAATTGTTTATAGTTGTAGTCCATCTTTTGTTTTTGCTAGTATTGACGGAAATTTTCTTACCTCCTTTATCAGTTCGCCGATCATTCCCGTCCACCCACCTACTGAAAGTAGAATACAGAGCTTTAACTTGCAGCCGGTCAGATGAAATTAGCTTTTTCGTTTAAAGATCACTATGTCGATAATATCAATGTGTAAATTATAGCACTATTCTAAGCTGTTTTGAATTTTCCAGTTTTAGACATTGGTGGCGATTGTCCAAACCTTCATCTTTCTGAAAAAAAGCAAAACTAGGTAGTGTCAGAAAAGCAAACGCGTATACACACTACGTCGCATATCCAAATTTCAATTTGCATTGACTAATAATCCAGATTAATTCATAAAAGTTATTCTTTTGAATATTTCTAATTAATTATCAGTATGAAGGTATCCTTTTTTAAGCATTTAATTCAAGTTACACTGGCTGACGTACGATGCCGTATTGGTTGTCGTAGATTAAATGAAGTTCATAGCGGAAATTTCCCTTTTCCGCCAGTGCTTTCAGCAGATCCACAAGAAAACCTTGAACTTGAGTATTTTTGTACGAGTACGAATTTGGAGTGCTGTCTTCCGTCTCGTTAACTGGAATGCAGCTGCTAAGAAGTGAATGGTCGCCGCAACGAAACAAATACGGTTTTTCCTGTAACACAACTAGATTACGCATTCCCCAAATTTTGCAGCATCTGGGAATTTTAAATTCTTTAATCAGCTCAAAATCATTAGAAAGGCATACTTCTATATGTGAAACGTAATCGTGAAGTGCGTAAAATAACACCTAAAGCGCTTACGCTTTACCGGTTTATCGGGAACGGTAAACTGAAATTTTACTATATTTTGTACTTGCCAAAATGGTCGTAATAACAAGAGGTTTGTCGTTTGCTGGTGATCCCTGGCTACTCTCTGCATGGACCCCGGCTGTGTATATACAGAAAGCGATCCACAGTAATCGAGAAAAAACAAGGCAAGCGGACATTTTCTTGCTTAAAATGGTTAGCAATACTATAATTATGCTGTTGCCTTCTTCTGTTTATGCAGAAATACGCATATTTACATCCATATCACACATCACATTCACATCGCCGCAACCCTGACCGCAGCTTTTGTATAATTGTAATTATTGCCAGAGACTGCTGTACATGAACGTACGTAGTGTTTGCAATTTCTTTATCGTCGGAATCAAATTTTCTTCGATTTTGATCGCATGATTCCCATCTGATCATCAACATACCGGCAATTCTTCGAAAATCAATTTGTACAACTTGTGCTGTCTTACTTGTGCAATTTCGCCGGTTATGAGGAACGACAACCGTGTTCTTACAGTTGCAGCTGTATTAGTTGCTATGTAAAGGTCAACCCAGTGGAGAAACCCATTCAGAAGCAATCAAACACAATTAACCAAAATTCGGATCTTGCATTGGCCGCTTCAAACTCCGTCCGGCATTCGAAAGCGGTTTCTTTCGTCGCTCCGGTTCGACTTCCTTTGTCAGTAGCTCCAAAAATTCCGTTTTCGTTGATTCCTTTGTCTTTTAGTTCATTTGTCTTTAATCCCTTCGTCGGCGACTGTGTCTCGCTTTCACCTGCAGCTGTAAATCCAAGGTGGAACCCATTTTCCGTCGGACGAATTGCTCAGCTGGGGATGCTCTGGTCGATGCGCGTGGGAAACGCCCATAGCGTCCTAGGAAATGGCGAAGAGCAACTCGAAGCGACTTTTCGTCCTCTGGCCGTTTGGCGATACCGCCCTTACCGAATTTGCACGGACCGTTCTGCTGCGACTGTGGCTGTCCAGGAACCACCGTAAGCGAGACTTAGCGAGTGCATTTTCCTAGTTATGCCCTACAGATCGATTAACAAAATGAACGGCTAAGATGGATGCAGCTCTAGGGTAGGCATTTTTGCCGGTGAACAACAACAGATGCCTGAAACGACACAAACTGGCACCCTAACGATGATAAATGCCTAACGAAATTCGCATCACGGCCGCGTTAAAGCAATCTGCAATCCAAACTGGACGACGTTACCGAAGCATAATGTTGCATAAGACCTGCTTAAACTTCTCCACGGTAATGCTGTTGTCATAGGTAGTGCTACCTATATCCTATAGATCTACAATATGGGGAAACATGGGGTGTCCCTAAATAATACCTTTTATTCATAAATGGGAGAAAATACATAAAAATGGATAATTCAAGATCAAAGACACTGATATTCCAGTAGAAAATCCATTAACAGGGGCACTTCCATAGCTAATCGCCATCATGGGCGGTTACAGTATACACCGTGACACATGCCCCTCCTCCCAACAAGGGCTGCCCTCAGCCCGTGAGAAAACAAAGCACAAAGAGTATCAGATGCTCTTAACAAAAACTGATCAAAAAAAGGGTATCGCTTCTTTCGGGCAAGTATGTGCGTCCTACTGGCATCCTACTAGGACGATGGTGGCTGGTAGCAGGACGGTGTCAAGGGCCTCTTGTGGCCCTTTTACAGTGCCGCTGACAGACGGCACCTTATCCGGATCCTTCCACACCCTGCACCACGCAGGCGCAGTTTCCACGTCCGCCATGGGCGTTGCAGGAATATTCCGCATCGTGGTCGAGCTTCCGAGGAGGAGGCGGTTCCACTCCGCCTTGGCCTCCTCCGAAATCGGAGGGATTTGGCTTCCGTAAGCAGCAGTAAATCTCCGGGTTACTGCTGCAGGGCGTTTTTTGTCACAGTCGCCCCTCGAGCAACAGTCGGTGTTGCCCTCGCATGGGGGCGGATATAAGGTTGGAAACGTACTGACCTGCCAGCAGCTGTCCGTTGAAGCTCCGCTGCCAAATCAAGCGTCCGGAAATCCGTGAATGGTACACTGACAGGTACCATTTTCAATCCAGGTGAATGGATGATGCAGTCGGTTCTGGCTATGACACTGTCAGAAATGTCATCTGTTTCAGCCGGAGGCCAGGCAGAAATGGCTTCCTCTGACATTGTTGCCGGCAAGATAATCAGACGGCCCTGACTACCGCGGCTCTCCGGCACCACAGGTTGCTTTGGGCCGGTCTGCTGCAGTAAACCTGCGCGGTAAATGGCACCAGATGCCATTGCAGACACAACTGTGCTCTGCAGGGGCTGGGGTGGAGATGTGCGCTTAGCACGTTGTGGCGAAACAGGGAAATACCCTGTTGTTACTTGCTTCGCGCAATGAGTGGAAACAGGACTTGAAGGGGTTGCGCTAGTCTGCATTTCCTGAAGAAGCGCTCGACTTCTTTCAGCCACCCTTTTATAGAAATTCCGTTCTCGCTCGAATTGAGTTGCGGCCGCCTTGTAGTGCTCTTTCTCTTTTCCAAGAGCTGCCAGCTCTTTTTTCCTGCGTCCATCCACAGGCAGAATAACCATCATATGCGGCCGCATGCCGCTTCGTTGCTTCAGGAACCGACTGAAACCCTGTCGGCGTCGGCGACCCAAATTCGGCTGGGGCAAAACCACAGCCACCGTCAGGTTGGCACATTGTTCTGACCAGGAGCGCCATTTGTCATAGGTAGTGCTACCTATATCCTATACCTATAGTCCACGGAGAAGACAGCGGAAGGGCCAGGCTGCTACCTACACAATGTACAGCAATCGACTTATTTATCGCGATTTTTTTTTGAGTGCTAAGGACTGTCCTAAACAAAAGTAATCATTGTTGCGAAAACCAATAAAGCTAGACCGATAGCATAACAAAGTGCATACGGGCTTGATCAAACATTGCCATTACACTCCTTTCATAATTATTTAATAACCTTCACAAATAATGGATAGGCCTAGTTTTCGTGGAACTCGAAGCACTTCTCGATAACTCATCTTATAAAAGGGCAAATTGGTAATCAAGCTAAGTTGCCACTAGTTGTGCATTGTATGAGTACCGTACATACTGCTGGTAACTGCTACTGCATTATACTGTACAGTACATTAGTAAAGTGTTAATACTTCGATTATTGTTAGCAATGTACCTTTTATGATGGAATTCCAGTTTTCACCAAACCCGATAACCATAGTATCGCATGCGCGGCCCGTAGTCTTTACCGATGCATTAAAAAGAAAGAGAAAAAACAAAATTTAGGAGCTGGTAAATAACGTATAGAAGTATTTACAGTATATCAAATAACATTTTTATAATCAGTAAGTTTTATCTGTGCCGTTACATGATGATCGTAAAGTCGTAAATATTAAGTATCTGTACGTTGTGCAAACACAGGAACAGAAAAAGTACTGACACATAAAATTCATGCACCATACTTCTGTAGCAGAGTGAAATTTCCTTACTCAAAATACGACAATGTTTCTAGTTACTATTAATTATAATATAAGCGTAATATAATTTTAATATGTGTAAGTACACGTCACCACTATTACAACGTTACGATGATGCTGTTGACTTACATGTTCCGCCGCTAGCTTATCCATGATAAAAGCGAAACTCCCATTCCGAACCTGAACTCGCCGAATGCCCTGCTCGTATTCATCCAAAAATGACTGCCCTGGATGGGCATTCATGGATGTCCACATTCTTTTGTATGGTTCAGCTTGGCTGTTATTGAAAAAATTCCATGTTGCGCCACCTTCAGTGATCCCATATGTGATGGCCGTTTGTTTCGACAGTTCGTCCGCGTTGGCGAAAGGAACTGCCGCCGCCGATTATCAACAAGCGCAATATTGGTTAATAATCCGTGCTTAGAACAGTGCATTATAGCACTGATCGCAAGATAGGATCGAAAATAATTAATTAATTATACAACATCTCGTTAGTTAAGCCTACAGGAGAGTCTTATTTTCAGGGTTGCTATTCAAAATTTTCCAAACAATTTAAAAAAAAAACTTACTTATTAATTTTTAAAAATGTTTTAACTTAGGTTAGCCAGTAATTCGGATACGCTTAGGTATATGAACTTACGTAGTAATTTCCCTTCCGCATTTACTGTTGGTTTCTTGTAGAGAATGGCGAGGCCATTATCCAAAAATGGTGAGGTAAAATCAACAACTTCGGTTCTTTCTTCCGTTACAGTAAAAGGCGCCAAAGCAAGGTCAGCTTTCTAGAAATCGGAGATCAATACTTTTTATCGTTGCAGTTCATCTTCTTTGGTGATATCGTGGGGCATTTTCTTACCTTCCTTATCAGTTCACTTATCAATCCCGTCTATCCCACTGAAAGTGCAATTTCAGTTGCAGTTGGCCGGAAACTCGCTATTTAGATTTTCCGGTATTTATATCGATAATTTAACTGTGTAAAAGATATAGAAGATATAGCACTATTAGTGCTGTTCTTGTACGAGTGTTTTCCAGTTCAGTAAATGCAGGCGGTAGTCCGTACCTCCATGTTTCTGTAAAAAGCAAACCTTGATAGTATCAGCATGAAAAATGCAATATATGTGGCATAAATAAATTACATTATGTATGTCAGTATGTGTAGGTTTAGGGTGTGTGCGCATACCCTAATAATAATGTCTCTAATACTTGGCAATATTTACTAATTTTATACGCAAGCAGAAGCCGCGACCAATTGATTTCTTAAGCATTTAATTTGCAATTGCTTTACTCGGTAAAGTGAAATCGCTGACGTACGATGCCGTAGGCAAAATGCCGTTTGAGACCTCTGTCGTTGACTAAACGGATCGCATAGCGGAAATTTCCTTTGTCGGCAAGCGCTTTCAGCAGATCCACAAGAAAGCCTTGAATATACTTAAGTATTTGGACTCCCTCTTTCGGTTTCATTAACTGGAATATAGTTACTGGGAATCGAATAGTCGTCGCACTCTATCACGTACGGCGTTTCCTGTAAGCAACATTTTATCACATATTCTAAAATTGTTTGTACTTTTATTGGTCAAATCATACTTGGGGGCAAAGTAAAGAAAGAAACATGCAAACTACAACAAGAAAATCTCATTTAATTTATCCAGCCCTTCCATCGTGCCAAGCACTGACGCCGCGTTACCCCGCTGAATCTCTATCGACAAGCGCTGTCTTAAAAATTCATGCGAGCGTGCTTCGCCAGTTTGCTGCTGAAGTCTCTTCCCCAGTTCTTTGATAAATGCGATTGCTGACGGTCCCCATGGGCCCATGGTTTCAAAGGCTATTGGAACGAATAGGTAACGGCCAGCTAGGTAAATATAGAGTCTGGATTTCTTATCCTCAGCTTGCACGGCGGCCGCTCCCACTGTGGTCGAAGTTGCTTTGACATGTGACAGCGCAACCGTGTCTACACATGTCACGTCCCATGCGAGACACAGCCCGCGTTTCCATGCAAATGTCGTGCAACCGTCCGGGCGGCGTTCCGTAGTGTGAGAGGTTCCACGCGGCTCCAGTTTTGCGGGCACACCGGCGGACACGCAGATGATGCTGTTAAGCCCGCCGTGGCGAGGATGCCTTCCGGCGGAGAAAACACATGACAGCCCGTGGTGACCGTAACCATCCACGGGTTTGAGACATTTGACGCAGTCGTGAGGTTCACAGATCGTGGCGCCGAGGCGGAGACCAACGCTGATCTTCAATTCGTCGTCGCCCAGCAGGTTACCAATGTGAGCGGATGGCAGGGCGTTCAACCAGATCCCGGATTCAGGTCTGGACTGAGCAAGCAGGCGCGCTGTACTTATCTCGTCACCCTGAAACACCTCGAGCAGGGAGGAGAGGGAAACATTGCATAATGGCAAGTCCCAAGCCTTTTGGGACTTCCGGTATGCTAACTCAGGAATCTCAGGCTGGCGGGCTTTCAGTTTCCATGACTCCACTGCACCAGAAACATCGACAACACCGTGGTCAGGCAGTAATGAAGAGAGCAAGCCGGATACGGAATGAATCGAAGCCAAGAAGGCTGGTAAAGATAATTCTTCCGACCGACGAATGCCAATTCCACCTCTGCTAACCGGGAGGGTTGCCTGACGCCAAGGCGGGTAGTCGTTGTGGTTGGTTCGTACGTTTGACAGATTCTGGAAACAATCGCGCATCGTTTCATCCAGCTGATATAGCAGGGCGGGATATTTCCATGCATTACAGCACCGCAACATATAAATGATTTTCGGGGCGCCGAGACAGTTCTGCAGTAGGAACAGTGCTTGGTGGCTGGAAAGCAGCTGGAGCCGTTCGCACACCACCTTCAAGGTGCTGGCTTTCTCAATGAGTAGCGGGCCAATTGCTTCATCCAGAACAGGCGCGCCAAGCAGGGACAGGGTAGACGCCGACAAAATGCGCAATCGCGGGAAACGGTCAATGAATTCCGCTGTGACATTTCGCTGCGAATCAAGTGTTCCACCAAAAACAAATAGTTCACATTTGGCTTCATTGACCTGCAGTCCGATAGCACGAGCGCGTTCAGTTATCCGGCTGAAACAATCCGCCACTGTCGCCGGAGCTCCGCCCATGGTCCCGTCGTCCAAGAACCATGCGTTGAGTTCGGTGTTCAACGAGGATACCAGTGGGTGCAATGCGAGGCTGAACAGCAGCGGGCCTAGTGGGTCGCCCTGTTGGACACCGGATTCCGACGATAATGTCAGGTCGTCCACGAAGAGGGTTGAGTGATGGCCGTAGGCGGCGGTGAGAAAATCGCTATACTCTGGAAAGCGCTCTTTCGCTGCGGTCAAAACGGCTTCACGAGACAAGGTGTTGAAAGCGTTTTTTAAATCCACCTTGAGAACAACCTTGGTCGTGTCGCCAGTGGATTCGAGAAATTTCCTGGTCGCGTGAACAATCGCTTCTGCTCCACCGCGCACGTTCACTCCCAATTGTTGCGGAGACAAAATGGCTGCTGAACGGTCTTTTAGTCGGGTGCAAATTATCTTAGCTGTCAACCGGCGGAGGATCATCCCAATCGCGATGGGGCGCAACCCGCCTTCCTTCTTTCTTAAGGCGATCAGTTTGCCACCAAAAAATGCAGGGCGTATTTCAGCGGGAATGTTTCCGTCGACGGCGATGCTCATGACGGTCGCCAGAGCGTCGCACAGGGGGGCGGAGTGGGCATCCAGCTTGGCTCCGACCAAATCTGCAAGGTGCTGCGGTCTTAACCCATCCGGCCCCGCGGCAGATCCCTTTGGGAAGCTGTGAACGGCAGCGAAGACTTCTTCCCGAGTAATGCGGGCGGCCTCTTGAGGGGGCGGATCGGAGCGAACTACAAGGGGTGGGTCGCTCTCGGGGTGCTTTTCACGGAGTTCTGCTAGAACGTCGGGAGTCGGTCGAAGGACAGCGTCAGTCGACATAACGATTCTCATTGCCCCCGAAATTGAGCCGTCGTCAATTTTTTGCCCAACCCTGCGCACAAGATCGTCCTGGTCTGTACGCTTCTTCCTGGCGGGCGGCGAAGGTGTAGGAGGGACTGCGGCTCCGCTATCAAAAATCCCGATGTTCTGCTTGACCGTGGACGCTAGGGACGCTGAATGTCCGGACTTGCTCTTTACGGGCTGGCGGAGAGAGTTGCTGTCATTATTGGTGGCGACCTGCTGGAGAGCTTTCAACAGCGACGCCCTGGCGGCAGGCCTTGCTCCATGTGGGATTCGCCGCATGATTCGTTCCTTCGATGGACGAAAGGGTTCTGCTGGGGGCGTGGGTGCAGGTACGGAGGAATTGTCGGTCGTGGAAAGTGTGACGGGGATTTTCTCCATAGTCGTGGACAGCGTTTTTGGGCAAGCGTTCTTGTGGTTTCCCATCCTCGTAGCTGCTTGCCACAACCAGAGCAAGAAAACAACTGCGACGGCATGTGGACGCTACAAAATTGAAGCACACAGGCAGAACAAGAGCTCTAGGGAACATAAGAACGAGACCGTTCAACGAGGAAACGACGTACCCACATTACTTGGGGTTCATATAAATTCCCCCCAAGTAACATTGTCGAAGGCCCAATTTGTATCACATGGCGATTCACATAAAACAACTTCGCTTATCAGGCTCGGATTGCTAGGATCACTCCAAGAGTAGAATATTCAGAATCCAGATTAAGAACTAAAAAGTTGCTAGTTGACGGGTAGTCGCAGTAGGACCCCCCAAAACCCTTATCCAAAACAGCTAGATAAGCCTTAATTGACCCATTTTTTAAAGCACAGAATGCACAGCAGCCATCTTGGATGAATCCAGCCTTGAGTTCATATTTTTCATGGATGGGACCTAGGTCACATCAGATGATTTTAACATTCCGACCGATGTCTATGACATTGGTCGGAAGTTGCAAGTGCGACAAGATATGAACAAATTAATCATATTAGTAGTTTAAACGTGAATTGTTTGAAAGATGCTAAATAAGGATGCAGAAACTATTTATTATGTGTATGCAATAATTTAATAATACTGACCAATTTAATAGTAATGATAAGCGGTCTGTCGTTGGCTGGTGATCCCTGGCTACTCTCTACATGGATGTAAATAAAGAAAGCTAGCCATAGCGATCGAGAAAAAACAAGGCGAGCGGACATTTTGCTGATTAAATTGGTAGTAGTACCATGTAGTGCACAGGTTGGAAGTTTTCCTGTCATTTTCTTATACCTTTTCGGAAGTACAACGTACATCGAGGTAAAACCCTGGTCGCAGTTTCTTAAATTATGAATATCAGAAACCGTACACTGTACAGTTTACATACAACACATAGGTGTGTTTTTGCACTTTCTTTATCTTCTGTAGCAAGGTTGTTAGATTTCGATCGCATCTGATCATCCACGGTACCCGCAATACTTCGAAATATGTTGTGCAGCTTGCACTGTATAACTTGTATATGCCCGCCCGCCCGTTGCGAGGAACGGTAACAAATACCACGCCGGTCAATGTCCTTGCTGCAAGTTGCTAACAACAAAAACAGCGTTTTAAAACCGTATAAGATGGACCGAACTTTCTTGCATCGGCGTAACTCGAATAATATTCTCGAGAATCCACATGGTGCTGCATTTTCCTTAATTTTCGCCTTAAGCTTTCTTGCCGTGCAAATGCGCATAGGCTTCTGCTTAGGTTATGGCAGAAATTGTGCATGTCTCGAGTTGGACTGTGATAGCGTTACGGGCACATTATGGTGATCGATAGAGGTCCTCGTAATCGTTTAAACAGTGGTTGCATTTTCGGTCGCATTTAGCGGGCATTCCCGCGCAGTTTCACACTCTATATCTGGGTTCGCCGGTAAGGAAGATACACTAGATCCGTTAAAAAAGGCATAGTCTAAAGGATCGGGGATGAATCGTCCATCGGCTTGTTCTCTATCTAAGATCCATTCAACAGCCTCGAGGCCTTTTGGTTGTAAATTAAATTTTAGTGGACTGGAACGCGCTGCACCGTTTGGTTTCAGCACGCAATTTTTTCCACACGAGGAATGCGCGTTCCTGACCGCTTCGACTTCTGCCATATAAAGGTCATGATCCTCAAGAGCTGTGATTTTTCTGTCGTACAGTTCTGACTTGAAAAACAGCTGCCGCGGGAGTTCCTTGTTCAAGAGCTTATCGGAATATAATTCTCTTAAGAATAAATGCAATTCAGAGAGACGCGTTCGGAATGTGTGCCGGGGATTTGTGACGGACAATTCGAGCGTCCTATCGTTGCTCTCTGTATTAACAGCATTGACGGTTATACCGGCCATGGTAACTGTCTCTGTAAAATTATTCTGTTCTGCTCTTCTGTGCGTAACTTCTGCTGCATGGTTGCTGCACAACAGCCAGTCACCCGTGGTTGTATCGGCGAATCCAACAAGCAGTTTTATCAGATTGGTTGCATTATCGTTATGCTGAGTTTCCTCTAAAAACGGTACCGGTTTACAACCCCGGAGCAATTCATGGTTTTCAGGCGCAGTTTTCAGTCTATGAGACGAATCATAAGTGTCGCACCATATCCATTCGCAGAGCCAACAAGGTCGTCGATTGCAATAACGCTTCTGAAAAGCTGTAGAAGAACTTAATGTTCAAAAAAAACTTGATGTTCATTTGCTAATCGTTGGACAAGAACTCACAAAAGTTGTGATTAAACAAGATTCAAACTTTTTAAGTACAAGTACCTGAACATTTCTCGCATCTCCGACGATGACGCCAACTGACATATGCCGGCAATTCAAGCACGGAGAGCACCATGTTGGAAAACCTGAAATACTGGCGTAAGCGTTCCGCTTTCTTATTTAGGCGTCGCCAAGCAGTTCGAGACAAAATCGAAATGCTGTTGCCGAGAACAACGGCCAAGCACAACAACGCTATAATCCCGGGCCACGCGGTAAACCAGAGTATCGTATCGGACAACGCAGTGGGCTTCGTAGACGAGTTGGGACATCGCAGCTCCCTCTTCCATTCCACATCCCGTTTTGCGTAATAGGTCGCAAGAAAAATAAAAAATCCCACTATCAAGAACATGAACAGTATCAGCATTCCCAGAAGTGTTAACGTGGTCCCCATTTGCACCAACAGAAAATAGCCAATCAAAATGCAGACTTCACTGCACTGCGTGCAGAATGAGCTCAGTCGGTACTTCCAGCCTTTTTGTCCCTCGTGAGCAGCGGTATACTTACGGATGTTCATGTAAGTGTAGCAGATAATTAAAGCAGCCAGAAGTATACACGACTGCATTACCGCCCATCCCAGCGAAATGTGCCAGTTGTAGATAGTCAAGTACGTTATGAACACCGGAAAGAAAAACATAAAAACCGTATTAACAGCGACCCCATGCGCGATTACAATATTTGACAAGAGCAACTTATGTGCCTCTTGTTCACTGATGCACTGCTTTTCCAAAAAGATCTGCGTGTTAAATGCACATTTCCCCGGTAGTTTGGCATATGAACAAAATCCCAGAATAATGGACAGCACCGATGACGTCAGTGCAATGTATGCTGCTGTCGGCGGCGAGGTCACTCCCAACACGGTCAGCAACAGCAGAATTTTTGCCTGCAAGCAGACTTCGTATTTGATCTCCGTTAAATGGATTCGTTGCAGATGCAGATCTTGAAATTCGATGTCGCTAGCGCTGGAATAATTTTCGATAAACGTTTTCCGTCCGTTTTGCATGCTTTCAGCTGTCTGCATTCCGGTTTTCCAGGCTTGCCAAAACAGAATACCACTACAGAATAAATTACTTTCTAATACGTCTGTATGAGGAAATTTTGTTCAAACAGCACAAAAAAATATGCGTTGGCGTTGGCAACACCTGAGAGATGCCAGATACAATATGGTATACCACGTTTCCAATAAGGAGCGTATCAACACCAACAAAAGCAACAGAGCGAGCGAGCGGATAGACGAATCATATATACAGTAGGAATAACAGCAAAGGAAGCCCGTATAAAATCTCACCGTCGCACAAAATTTATGGGAAAAACTTCCAGTAGCCAACATACGCCCTTATTACGACAGGGCAGAGGCTCTTCAATAGCAAATCTTTCCCCGTCTTTGGTAGCCAGTACGCCCAGTTCGCTTTTTACCAGCAACTGTCGAGCGAGCCGCCAATTCAAAGAAGAAGCCGGTGCCCACTGGTGATGCCACGCGAAACTCTGTTTAATCAAGGATGCCACAATGGGAAGCAACGGAACCGATGATATCGCAAGCAATAACGGCACGGCTAAGCCACATTTCTGATCCAGCCATAAGTTGACTATAAATATGACATCAGTGACTATGTCAAATACAGCCAAGAAGATCGTGCAGAATATGAATTTGATCAATCGTATTCTTCTCCAGCATAGTGTGTCGTTACAGAACAGCTCTGGATAGCCGTACAGAGCGTGTGCAATATCCATAATTGTAAAGCTGGTTCTAGTTATCAAAACAATAAAAATAATTGTCGAAAATCTAACGGTCGACAGGATACTGAGGATAGATTGTGCCACGTGCGTATAACGATCAGTGAATTAGGCATTTCCGGGGAAAAACTGCCGTTACAGATCAAATTATTAACAACTTAAGAACATTAAGATATAGCACAAAGTATGGCATTTTCGATACTTCAGCTTGAAGTCGGTTTCTAGCTAATATCTTGCCTCTATCGACTGACAGATATTTTATGTTTGCCTGTTTTCGGTTATCTCTACAAAATGTTTAAGTTTTGTTTGATTTTAAGACTTCTCACTGTTGCACTCGAACAGCAACCGCATACCATAAGGTATCACGCTGCGACAATTTGAAGACTTTTCTTTGCTATCTTATCGCTAATGGTCGTCGATCGGAAATTTCACCGGTATGTAGTCAACTGAACATTGCGCAATAGCTGGAGTCTATTACAGACAGAATTCCCGTGTGCGGTCGACATCCCACATCTGCAGTCTGCATGCATCCTATTCGTGCGACCAAACGAAACAGTAAAACGAAAATCGCTTTAGTACTCTAAAGGCCGCGCTACCATTTCCGGTAGAGTAGTACAGTCATCATCTGAATAACTGCCACTTTCTACACCAGGCTGTTAATTTTTTTGGAAGATGGTTGAAATTAGCTGCACCGTAATACTCGAGCCGAGCATTGTCTTATCTATCATCAATACGATGAGCAGGTGTTGGTCACGAGGCTCTCACTTATGCATCCCTTTAATAAAGCTATGTGTAATCTAAATTCGAAAATCCTTGTTCGAGTTCGAGTACATCATATTATAAACCGATCAAATCAAGTCAACTCGAACACCATCATTTGAGAAGTCACAGTATTTGTTTAGAGAACGCTCTGGATCAATGACCTTTGGGTATTCCGTAGTTCCGCATCTGGTTTACGTGCTTGCACGTGTGATTTTTTTCATGCATTGGTTGTTACTGATGTTAACAGGAGTGCTCAGAAGTCGCAAGGTCTGCCTGAAACTTATGGTTAGGTAATTCGATTTTACCGCTACCATCTCGTGCTCTTGAGTTTTACTTTGGCACACTAGGATCACTCTTGGATTTGCTTTTTGCTAGCTGGCTAACCTTGCTTTTTGCATTTTTGCTCAGTTTACTTGCTAATAAGAATCTTGCCGTGTGACTGCCATGTCTTGCGTTGTTGTTTATAATAACGTTGGGATGAATTGTCTCATCCCATTCAGTGTAGTTGTGTAATTGCCACCTTACTTCCGGTCAGCATCTTGCCGACCGTGCCACCCTTTTGGCTGTTAGTTAGCCGTTACAGCCGCTACATCGTGGTGCGGTGGACCAACCATCCCACTAGAACAGCAGCTTAACCGGCTGCTGTTGCAAATACACTGTATCGGTTGACACTACGATATCTGCGCCGATGTACATGCAACAAAGATTCAAACAGAGTTTGATGCACTAGTTCACGCAAAATATGACATAATTATATGCGCAGTGCCTATATCGGAGAAATTATAAAGTTGGCGCCAATAAGACAATAAACTTTTGCAACCACATCATTATTGACCACTAAATGCTTAGTAAATAAGAAGTGCAAATAATTCCCGCCACAAAGCCCAACAAAGTCAAGATCGGGTCGCTTGACGCTCTTCCGCTCACGTGATTTTATAGGCCATTTCTTTATTAGGCAGGGAAACCATTTCTCGAGAATCAGTATTTTTGGCATACCACAGGTCTTCTGTGACGCTTGATTTTATAGTATAAGCATGTCATCAAATCGCGTGAGCTTGTTACATAAAATCGCCCGACAAACCACTGTGACGCTTTTAATAGACAACTGAATTTTACGGTTAAATGTTGAGAATGGAATTTCAAATGTGGTTTTTATGAATGTGGACAACGAGCGCAATGTAATATATAAGGCGGGTTATTCTTGGTGAAAGTTATATCAGCAAAATTCCGTTCCAGTTCCTTCTTGGTTCCAATCTCGTTTCATTTGTTTACAATGCAACGTTTTCTTCCAGTTGTTGCGTTGCTGTCGGCTGCCTTGGTATCGACAGCGGTTCATCCGGACCACAAAGACAACATTGAGTAAGCTTTGGTCTTTTTGACTCAAAAAAGCGTTAACATTACTTATTCAACGAGCTTGCTTGCAGAAAGGTCAAGAGGTACTTCGCCAACCAAGCCCGATCCGGTGCGGGCGGTGCCCGCTGGGAAGCCGGTGAGAACCACCTGACCGAGAAGGATCCTGAGGACCTGAAAGATCTGTGCGGGACGGTAAAACCCACTCGGTCACAGGCCAGGAGCAACTATCATCCCCCGGCACGCGTCCCGAATTTCTCCAAGCAGCGCATCCAGATTGACACGACGTTTGATGCGGCTTCGCGGTGGCAGAACTGCCCTTCCATCAAGCAGGTCCGCGATCAAGGAGGCTGCGGATCGTGCTGGGTGCGTTGATACTTTTGCGAAGGCAGATACTTCGTAGTGATTTCCCCTTAGTTTATCGAAGCCTCCTAAGAACATTTTATAAGCCCAAATGCAAAATTAGAGAATCTTAAAGTACCAAAAACTGTGCGTTTATTTCTAAAATTTTGTCGAGATTTTCGAAACCGTTTGCGTTTTCTTCAGGCTTTTGCTGGCGCTGAGACGCTGAGTGACCGTTACTGCATCGCCAGTGGACAGACGAAAACGAAGACCTTCTCCGTCCAGGATATGCTTATATGCAGCGGAGGCCAAAATGTTAACTACTGGTAGGTACTAATGATAATATTCTCATAGATGTATCACAATTTATTTCTGGCGCTTTTATACTGACCACATTGTCCGCGTTTACACTTTTCCTGGGTGTGATCGCAGGTGCCAGTGTCTAAAAAATGGCACGGATGGTCCAGCTGCAGTGGTCATTAGCGCCAAATCAGATATTAGTGGTCACTAGCACGCCGTTGCTGGCGGTAAAAAAATTTTAACGGACTTATTATTGTTGTAGTGGAGGCAATCTGGCTCGCGCTGCGTACACCATGGCAGTTAGCACGGGCGTGGTGTCGGGTGGCGATTATAATAGCGGTGTGGGTTGTCTGCCCTATACGTCCTATTCCGGTGCCGCAGTCACCGCCACGTCCACTGCTCAGTGCGCCAACGCGACTTGTATCAGTGGATATGGAAAGACTTATGCACAAGATAAGTCTTATGGTAAGCGTATATATCTAGTTCATTGATGCCATGTGGGCAACCAATTAACCATACCTGATACTGGTAGAAAAAAGAAAAAAATAAGAAGAAAAGAAAAAAAATAGCCGGTAGAAAAAAATAAGAAGGTCATGCCATCGTTAGTCTGTTCCTAACACCGGAAAACGGTTTCCTTTGTAATACTGCCCAAATTTGTGTTGACGCTTTGTACAAACATGCGCGCTGATTTTTAGCTACCGTTTGGTACGAACTGGGCAGCTATTACGCCAACAATAATTTGTCCGCTGGTGGTGCCGCAGCCAGCATCAAAAACGAGTCTGTCGTCCGGCAGATCCAGTACGAACTAATGACCAACGGCCCACTGACAGTGCAGATTAAAGTCTACAACGACTTCTTTACATACAAATCAGGTATTCTTAATTAAAAAATGCAGAGGTTTTTTCGGGTCCATTGCCAACCAACGTAATTTACAGGCGTCTACCAACACATAACCGGAGACTATGCTGGCGGTCACGGAATGAAACTGATTGGTTGGGGAACGGAGGGCGGTGTCGACTACTGGCTGGTGGTCAATTCTTGGGGGTATGGCTGGGGCTTAAACGGCACCGTGAAGATCCTGCGTGGCGTCAATCATCTGGGCATCGAGGACTACCTGGTCACCGCTTTGGTGGACCCCAATTTGACCCAACCCGTGGCCAGTGCGGCGTGCAATCTGGCGGGTTGCGCCGGGCGATCGCAATACGCGATGGCACCGGCCAATGTATGCTCTACCAATTTCTGCGCCTGCTACTACTACACCGGCGTGTGGAATGCCGCCAAGAACGGATATGACTGGCAGCAGAGCCCACAGGTTATTTCCTGCCCGGCTACACCTACTGCGCAAGCCTTTGACGCATCGGGAAGTGTGCAGGCGTGTGTTGACAAGACCAAGATTCCGGCTTGTGCTGCAAGCGGATAAGAGATGCTGATGACAGAATCTGGCAACCCGATTTCAGCAGTGTAGAACATTCTGGGATTGTCGTTTGAGTTGTTGCTGTGTGTTATGAATATATATAATTTCCTACCATGTAGAAAGCAGTATGCATTCTTTCTAACGATAAATACCCTAAATTACTTCGAAATGTGACTTCTGTAAACCTTGTCACACGTACTCGGGCAACAATTATTTTCATCGGCTGGCAGGCTTGTGCTGCGTGCGCAACAATTTAAACATGCAAGCACCATTACTTACAATACTTGCATGAAATAAGGATTCTTACTATGCTGGAATACAAACCTCACAGTTACAAAAAAACTGCAAACTACGACCGTGATTTGTGTTAAAGACAGATCCACTAGTATGGTGTCATAGTGGTGACAAACTCTTCGGCTCTAGTTTGAACTGCGCATTAAAAGCGTAAAAAGCGTATAAAGTGGTTTTCTCACAATGACCGGAAAAGACCAAATTCCAACGGAAACTTTGCCAAACCTTGATCGCTAATGCGATAAGCAGTGAAATGTGTGAAAGAAATGAATCGATGTGAAAAGGAATGTGTACAAGAAATAAGAAGAAACGAACAGAAAGTGTATAAAAAAGTGTGCGTATAAGAAACGAAAACAGGGCACGGGCTATCTTGATAAGCCTTGTTTTCGCGATCCTGCGAGATGATTCGCTTGGGTTTCCTTTCAAGCCTTGCTGTTGCAACAAAGAGACAATTTAAAGGCGACATAGTTGAGACTTCAGATATTCGCAACTTCCGCTGGCAGGTTTGATTCATGACGCATGCACCATTCAGTGAGTGGGAGCGGAAAGCTGACTATTACACTTGAGCGCCAATCCTATGTTCGCGCAAGTACGTATATATATACCATACTTGCAAATAAGTCGTACACATACTGAATGGAAATATAACACAGAAGATTGGCTCATCTGTCAATTTTGCGTAGCGTATTTCGAAAGCCTAGAATGGGCGTAGCAGCGTCGTTACTTGCCCCCGCCGCATTCGCAGTTTTTAGTAGTTTAGCTGCCATTATGGGTGGCAGCAGTTCTCAACCCGGTGCACCTGTCGATGTCGATGCACTGGTGCAGAGTGCCCTGGAAGCCCAGGAAAAGGCGCATGAGGAGCAGCGCCGAGTGGAGCAAGAGGAACTGCAGCGACAAAAAGCCAGTGCCAATGCCGACCGCGAGCTGTTATCGCAGTTGCGCACGCAGCAGCAGCAAGGGGAACAAAACCGTCAACGGGAGCGAGAGGATTACGAAGCCCGAATTCGCGATCTGACCGCCAATGTCCGGGGAACGGAGGAGAAGCTGCGCAACATGCTGGATGAAATGCAGAGACCAGTGCGGGACCTCGCTGCCAAGATGGCCTTTGTCAACGAACTGAAGTTGAAGATTCGCCAGACCGAGTCGCTGTTGCTGCTGGGTCCCAAGGGCACGGGTAAGAGTACGTTTCTGTGGCTGTTGAAGAAAGGTCACAAGCCGGCCAAGGCGTACGACGACGGGAACGCGCAGTTTATCCACGGTGAAGGTTTCGTGGATTCCATTGGTCTGCGTGGATGGACGCCGGAAGAAGTGCTGAAACTCTTTGTTATCATGGTCTACGAAGGAATTCCCAAGGATCTGATTGTGTTTGGGAATGACCGCGTCCAGCAAGCGTTCGCCGCGTTGGCATCATGGGGTATTATGGTGCCGATGCTGGTTATTATGTCCGGGGAGTTTTGGCGGAAAGTCGAGCCATCCCGGGGCCGGCCGCCGACGGTTACTCTGGTGGATAATGGGGTCATACGACGCGTTTCACCGGAAAGTGATCTGGATCTAGTGTATGATCTGACGGCGTACCAAGAAATCAGGGACATTAAACTAGCTGAGCCCGTTACGCATCACGACGACATTGCGGCCTTGGTCAGGAAACGTCAGCGAGGGGGCGTGTTTCCGTTCAGAAACCTTACAAGCGCCTTGGGAAGTCAGTTCGTGGTTACTGCGGAGCAGAGGTCACCAATTGTGGATGCACTGTTTCGGCTGATTTACGTTTACGAAAAGAAATATCAACGTAATACAATAGCCTTCATGAATCATGGCACTATTCAAGAGTTTTCTTAACGAAGATATCCCATGCTACTGACCTGCCAGGCAAATCCGACTGTCTAGTTCCACTTAACAACCTATCGCGCGGCCGTACAACAATGCGCGTTTCGGCTCTTAGCAGTCACGATCACTCACGATTCACGAATGATGTTTCTTTCTTTGGCTCTGCTGTTAATTTAGGCTTAGGTATACTGTTCTGGTTCATACTGTTTTCAGTGGGCAAATACGTAGTAACTGAACCCGTTCTTTGTTATTATTTTAACCGACGATTAAGTGGCAAGTACTACTGTACATCTGTAGATGCCATCCTTTATGATCAGTACGTTAGACCCATGCAGTGCAAAAATAATTATATCAATGTGGACGCAATATTGCTTGACGCACTTTTCTTAATCAAATGTATGAGTACATATCCTGCCAATCAACGCTTTGTGACTGTCAATGGCTTCAGAAAGCTAAATCAGGCGCGGTACATAAGCGCCATGTTTAGCCATAACGTAAATTTCCCGCCCGGTGACGGCAGCAGATACAGTGATTGCTTGCCTAAGCCACTGACAGCACCTTATTTATACAGATACTGTATGTAACAGCGTCCTGCTAAACTGGCCTTCAGACAGTAACAGTGACATATACATGTTTAACGAAAATTATCAAGGTCTTTGCTAACTGCCTAATTAACCGAGTTCTTTCCACGTAACTTGCACGATGGTTTAATTATTCTTCAAACTGCACAGTTTAAGTGCCTTCTAAACTGTTGTTCAACAATTAGCGTCAAACAGTGCATAACGGAGGGAGAACAAAAAGAGAATCGGCAAAGCGAGGATTGTAGGCATAATACGAGTATTATCCCATATGGATGAACTTTTTAACTGGCCCTAAGGGAACAGAGTAGCCGCGTACGTTATCGCGGTCTGCTGTATTCCAGTTGTACAGTTGTCGCCGGCTAGAAAAGACTTCGCTTATAGCCAGCAAAAATTCCAGACCCATCAGACCTTACCTTACGAAGGCCTTTTGCATCCTTATTCCTTTTACAAAGTACCGACCCGGAGGGTAATTTGTATGTCGAATCACAATCCGTCTCCGACTAAGGGACATCCCGGCGTCGCAAGTGAAAACGCGACCCTGACGAGCGGTATAACAATGTTGCAGGAGCACTGCAACAGAGAACACGATCCGTTCAATGTGTAAAGCGCAGTCCCTTCACTACTAGCAGGGAAAGCAAAAACTGATGCTGCAGGAACTTGTATTACGAATGGAATTAGACATTGTCCATGTCGACGGCATGATGACGAGTGACGACGTATTTTCAAAGTTCGATGAAAGCCTGTTTTTTTTTATTTTTGAGTTTTTTAAGTTTACAAATTCCTGGAGTAATGACACCGTGTAACATATAGATCAGCTTCATGAAAACTAATCTGTATGCCCGTAAAAATTCCGGGTATTTGCGTTGAAAAGTGAAAATGTATTTGGTAGCGTGGTAGTTTATGCATACATATGCCTTGTTTATGCGGGACATTGAGTGCAGAGTAGAGACTACTCAGCACAAACAGTGTATGTGGAACTTCCCGGTGTTTCTTGCCGACAAGGTTTATCTCAACAAATTAAAATATGCTCTTAACAAGCAATGGTTATCCAAATCAATAAAAGTGTAAGCGCTGTTACACTACCCATGAATTAGTAAAATTACCAGCAATTGTTAGAATCTTTACTGTATTTTATGTTTTGTCTCTTGTATTGATGGTACAAATGTAGTGGTAAGTTTGTAACGTGCATTTGTTTTACAAAATGCGTAGTGTGTACGCCACAAAGTGACACTATATTTTGTAAACGATTAATAAAACCTAATGGATACGTGTAATGCGCAATAACGCCAACACTATTATTTTCTCAAATAGCTTACACTGGTAAACATATAATATAAAATTGTGATCAATTATACAGCACCGTCATAACGTTCCCAGCAGTACACTCACATGTACGCCTGGATGATTGATCCGCGTCGGTTTATACCGCGCACACTCAGCCCATCGGGGAACGGTTAAACGCGGGCCCCGGCGCTATTGACGCGGCCAGTCACGCAACCGTCATCCCAGCGACAGGAAGATGTATGAAACGCATTCCGCACGCCATGCAGCAAGTGCCAGCACGTACACCACTCTCCATTACGTCTACAGTAGAAACCATACGCTCGCCCGATGCGGCAACGCGGGGATACCGGGAGAATTAATGCACTGCCCGTGGTCGATCGGGGGATAATCGCGTACATACACGCCCCGTGTCGATCATGCCGACACCGTTGAAATCTACCCACATTTACGTACATGTACGCCCGTCCAAACCGGAAGTGCGTAGTTGACTCCGGTGTACACAGCGCGCGGCACTGTTCAGTCTGCAATGTTCTACCTGTACTAAGGAGCTTTTTTGTTCCCTGTCTGTGTGTGTGGAGCGGCCGGATAATCATCCGCTATCCAGTAACCGATCGACACTTTCAACCTGATGCTAATCGTTTAATAGTTACTAGAGCGGATGCTGCCAGTGCGCCGGGGTTTTTGTTATGCTAACGCAACGCGGAAATATTATGCACTGGGAGAAGGGTCTGTGTGGCCGGCTGACTATCTGTGTGGTGAGCGCGGCGGGTGGCCAATGAGACGGGGGAATTTTTTCCGAGGAATCCGAGGAGTGTTGGCATAACAGGAAGCGGTTTTTGCTGTCACAGGTGCGTTTGATTGTTAATTTTTTCCTGGCCGGTATTTAGCTGTAAATCAACAGGGCTTTGATTGATTTATTTTCGTTCCGGCGTAATTGCGCTTCAACATATCGTGCAATTTGCAAACTTTGAGGGTATCACTATTTACATTAGTACTGTACCGTTTAGCCGCGCCGTATATGTAGAGATTTTAAGGTTTATTAATCAGCTGCTTGATTTGAGGTTTTGTACAATGCTTTGGGTGAGATATTTATATGAATGGTATTTTATTTAATGCAATGTTTACAAGCGCAGATAGAGATGCACAGGTTCTGTAATTTATTTTAAGTTGCTAACATTACTCTGGCTTTATTACATGGTGCTTCTGGACAAGCTCTGCATAACTGGGCTGTTATTTAATTAAACACTCGTAAAGAGAAAATATCGTATGTACAAATTAACAGCGTTTTCATCTGCACGCATGCACACTATGATTACCACTGATGAATAAGTGATTAAGCGCAGCAGTATTCCCGTAAATAATAGTCAATACCGTCCGAATTTGCCGGGTACATTTCCGGTGCACATATCACGTTGTAGCGTTGTTGATGTCCCGTCCCTCTCTGTCACCCATATGGAAATTAATCAGCGCTCGTTAACCGCTGACATATCCACGATCATCAAACTCCCGGTAACGATCGCGTTATTAACTGTTAAACAGGTGAATATACACGGGACACGCCGGTAAATTCTGTCTCTACATGGTGGGACGCATCGGTATGCGGAAATCCAGTGTCATATCCGGTATGCAGCCGACGCCGCCCCGTGACGGTAGTGTGGGGAGTCCCCGCGGGGCGCTGACGTTTCGGGGATCGCGGGGGGATATCAGCGGCACGTTGGGGCTGGATACGGCGCTCAACTGTCTCGTCCAGTGTCCGGCGCTGGCGCACGGCGTGGAAGCCGGGGAATTCATCGGCACGTTCGGGCCGGAGTGTGTGTGGCGGATCTATGATGTGACGCGGAGGAGTGACAAGGAGGTAATTTTGTGACAAGGGATAATTAACTCTAGTGCCGGGAAACAGAGTGTTTTGAAAGTGTCTCGGCGAATAAGCGTTCAATAGAATTATAAACGCAATTAGAATAGTTTGTGGTCGAATAATAAACCGTGCTAATCGCTTAGAATGCCATAAAAATTATAAAACTGCATCAAATTAAAATCTAAAAACAGTAAAAAATGCTAAAAAGGTGGCACAGATACCAAAAACCTTTAAAATTCAAATCCAGCTCCAATCAAAACATTAAAATAAGCCATGATAGATAAAAAGTTATACTGTATATGTAAAAAAAATATATGGACAAATAAATAATCAAAAAAGATATAAAAATTTGTAACCATAATATGTCAGCAAAACTGGCTTACGCTTTCATAATATGTACCATTTCTGTAATGATCACAAAATAATACCATCACGCCCCCAATTAAAGATCATTCTGCCGGAAACCGTGGGAAAGATAATTACATAAACACTGTACAAACCGCGCGCTAAGTATTTCTGCATACAGAAATTAATAGGCAGGCATATGTGTGTTTTACTGCGTTTTCAAAGCCCTGTTTCATTTCGATTAACTTGTCTGATAAAGTACAAGGCTGCGTCGCGTAATGACGCGCATTTCCCCAACGCAAGACAGCAGCCAGCACCGGCGCAAAAGATCATTAAAAACCCGGCCCGTCTGACAAACTGATGAATATGGACGATGATAACGCCGGCGGTGCTGTGTTGATGGCATTTTCATTTTTCTCCGCACCCGCAACAAACAACATTACGTTATCCCCGCGCCGCTACGTCCGGGATGCCGCGGCACGCATCCGGACATATAGATTCACTCTGGTTACGTCGGCGGCGGACGGACAAAGCGGCGCCTCGCTTTTGGTGCCGGTGCGTGTTACGTAAGCCGGCGCGTTGTTAATCAGTAAGCCCCTATCTCTCTCGGCCGCAAAATGGCCGCATTTAGGATATAATCAATCGGTGAATTATGGAGGAGGGAGAGGGTTTATTATGGCTGGGTCTATATACGCGATATTACATGGGAGCGGGGTTATTATTGGGGTGAGCCTCCCCAATCTTTATTTAGCCTGATTAGACGCTGGTGCGGCTGCGCGGAACAATTGCCCGGGATTCCGGCCCGCTTTCCGCGCATCGTCAAGGTGGAGTGCCGCAGAGAATATATGCAGATCAATGCACCCACAAAAATGGCCGTTGAAATGTGTATCGACGTGTATTAATAGCTAAACATACAACTCAATTTCCGCTCAATCGATGCTGTTAGATGACGCTGTTTTCCAAATGGCTAATATCTACTAACATAGCAACTATACGGTTCAAACGTTTTCTTTATTTTTACCGTACCAATATTTACTACAATTTTTTCAAATCAGTAAAAGTTTTTTTTAAATATGTAATTACCGTGCCAATGACTATTATTACCGTACTCTAGAAAAATTAAATGGACGTTTTTAGCCATAAGCTGTCATTTTTTAAATTTGCTTAACCTTTTCTAAATTTTTGTAATTTAAAACTTTTTCGAGTATTTGAATTAAGCTTCTAGAACTTCTTGGTATATTTAAAAAATTCTTCAAGTGATTCTTTTTAATAGATTATTTACGAGATTTTCACGGGTCTCTCTTTTACACAAAAAAACATCTTAAATAATTTCTGCGTGTGCGGTCAGATCCCTGATCGTTTTCCGGCGACGGCCTCGAACATCCGCAGCACGCGGGCCCATTTTCTCTTGAGCCAAAAGGGAAATTACAGAGTGGCAGTGCCGGCGTAATTTGCATGTTGACTGCACTGGAAATGGCTGTTTGATTTGTGGGAAACTCCCCTTTTGTAGCGTGTGCCGGTAATCCGGCATTCCCTTCCTGTGTGAGTTGTGTGTATGTGTGTGCTGATTTGGCCGAGAATATATACTGGCCAAGGCGGTGATACGGAACGCCAGTTGACTGATTGTTTGTTCGACTGACACCAATTGTTGGGATGCCGGCACCAGATGTCTCCTTAATGTTGGCCCCAAAAAGTCACTGCCACTTGATACGCACTGCACATACACACACATTCACCACAGCGACACATCGGTTGCACAATACCCGTCCCGTTGATTGATCGATCGCTTGTACTCGTTTAAATTTTTTGACAAAAAACTGCAGATTTCTTTGAAACTAACAATTACTATTTGCATTTAAATTCTTTATCATCAGATAAATAAAAAATTTCACAATGTTCTGCCAGAATTTCAATGCCGGAAAAATGTATAATAATTTTAATATCTTCGGCTAATCGTCAGAACTGGCTAACGTTAAATTGAAAATGTTTGTTTTGCTTTAACTTTTTTACCAATAAATAAATATAAATTTTGTAGGTCAGTTTTTGCCAAAAATTACTGCAAAAATGTTTAATAATTTTAAGTTTTCTGCTACCTATCAAAACTGCCTTGCAATAATTTAGAAATTTCGTAAACTATTCCGGGTGACTTAATTTTTAACCGGGGCCAACAGCATTTAGCACATGCACTACGATTGCGCAATATAATCAGAAATCCATAGAGCGGAGATATGTTCGTCATTTTCCGCATCGATTAATCAGCGACGGCATTGATTTCCCTTCCCCAGCTATCGCCGTTTCCCAGCCAGCCGATATCGATGTCCCTCTTTGAAAACCCTTACATAAGATCTACTTAGTCGCAGCCGGAGTGCTATTCCACGCGCCCTTCTGCTGGTAGAAAGAAAGATTTATTTGTCCAGACGCTTTTTCCTGTAATTCATTTACTGCATCTAAGAAGCGGGAAGCCGGTTCTTTCCCGTGGCCGTTTTTTTCGCTTGTCAATAATTCAGGGTCCGCTGCAATAACAAGGCACACTTGATTGGGGATGTGTACACAGCATGTACACATGTCAGCCGTCGTGTGTGTTATGCGTTGTGCTGGATGCGGCCATCCCGACGGGATACTTTGGCAGCGATATCGATCGATGACCTCTGGAGATATCGGAATGATGTATATATGTGTGTTGTGTGTACATGGAGAAGCCCGGCATAAGCAGAGGGACTGTGCAGCCGTGGCAGTGGCTTAAACGATTACGCCACACCACAGACCGGCATTAATCACACGATCGGATTGCAGTCAATCCGCGCCAACACAGCTACCAATTCATTTGCATACGGGCAAAACATCAACACGCGCTTGAAAAAGATACAAACAGCATGTTAAAGGGGAGAATCCGATACAGAATGCGATGTGCTAAAAAACCAGAAAAAAAACGGTTTTTCATGAACAGCAGAACTTTGGAAAATATGTTATAAATCTCGGAAAAATAAATTAACACAAAATCAATGTATATGTAAATGGCAGTTCTAGGAATTTTATTTTCAGAAAACAGATAATAAGTTAAAGAAAAAACAGGAAAAACATTTGCAGATGACAAAATATAGAGTAACAATGTCTGTTAATATATATCAGACTTATTACGTCGATCGACGTTACAACCAATTACGCGGATTAAACAGCAGAAAATGTTTGGACACCGTAAACAATTTTTTTTAAACTACGTTTTAAATATTAAAAGTTATTGTAATAAAGTAAAAATATTTATTTTAAAGCGCAAAAGGTAAAATACCTTGTATCAGACTTGTTACGTCGATCGTAACTTTTTATATCAGACTTGTTACGTCGATCGACGTTACAATCAATTACGCGGATAAAACAGCAGAAAATGTTTGGACACCGTAACCAATTTTTTAAACTACGTTTTAAATATTAAAATTTATTATAATAAAGTAAAAATATTTCTTTTAAAGCGCAAAAGGTAAAATGCCTTATACCTAGATTTGCGTTAGCGGATATTGATTTTTCCAGGATGTTTGTTAAATAACTATCAACGCAGGTGGTTTGAAACTTCGCCGAAGCAATCAGTTTATTACAGCGTGAACGTACTAACAAATTGCCAGTTCTCTTTTAAATGCGCATGGTTGACCGGCGCTGAAAGAGATTTTCTATCCCGACTTCACCAGGAAGCGATTTGCCGTACATTGCGCGAGGCGGTCGTTAAACACTGGTAAAATGGCTAAAAACTGTGCGATAATTGCAGGCGTTATCGGTCTTCATCTTCGAGAAGCGCATAGCGGAAAAGCTGCACAAGCCCAAACGGAAGGGGACAATTACGGAATTATACAAGCGTGGCTGCAGCCATTTAGAGCGTATGCAGCACATCCGCTTCCTCAAACTGATGCAGGCCACCGAGGAGACCGCGTAAGTTACCGTAAAGGTCACCGGTAATCGTAGCTGCACTTGTTCGCTGAAAGCAGGCGGCGATTAATCAATCAGGCGACCAATTACCGTCATTTCCCGGCGTAAAGGTCGCGCCGGGGTCACACGGCGCAGCCATGTGCGGTGGCGCGTGAACGGGCCGTGTAATCGTTATTGTCGTGGACCCAGTTACGAGACGCGCGTCGCCTACTATGTGGTTATTTTTGCAGGGATGCCCTTTTGTTCGTCAGTGAAGCGGTGGTGGGGAGTTTGTTCGATGTCATCAGTAAGGACAGGGGGCGGAAAATCTTCGGTCAACCGGATAATTTACTGGTAAGCTTCTACTGCGGTAATGTGCAGATTTATAAATTAAATTGTTTTTCCCTTAAAGAATTGGCAGATTTTGACTTAAAATTACTTATATAAAAAAATTACTAAATATAACAAAACAAATAACTTTATATTAAAAAACTTCAGGTTTAATCTTTGAGCTCCCTTTAGATAAGTATGTAAATTGCTGATAAAGTTCTTTAGAACAAAGATTTGTGATCACAGAACAAAGCCACTTCGCTACGAAATTATTCAATATTACGTGTATATTAACTGGAAACGGTGTCATTGCAAAACAATGATGACATGTTGCATTTATGCATTACGAAAACGAAATCCATCACGAAAAACGAAGAGTTTTGATTAAATAATATAATTATTACATTAAGATAGAATGAAGCTTGCGCGAATCACAAAGTTGCTGACATTTATTCTCCGTTTTTTCCAGGAATGCCCATTACTGGATCTGGAGATCAAATGCGGCATCGCTCAAGTACGTAAATAGCCCGGATAAAATAGATGGTTAAGCCTCTTTCGCGACGGCACCGCATGATAAACATAAAGTCACGCAAGCGTAACGTCATCAACAAATTGTTTAGCGGCATGCGCTGGGCTGAATGGCCGGGAACACGCGCGCTCGCAATGCAGCCGCGCAGGGATTAATAGTAAAATAATGGCGTGTAGAAGTAATTTGTGGCAGGCATCGAGACATATGAACAAAATGCTTGATGCGCGTCAGTAGCGCCGGGGATCAATTGCATGCTGAGCTGGTGCCTTGTTGTCAGGCAGCGCTCCGGTTTGCTGGACCGGAAGACAGTGCCCAACGCAAGGGCATAATCGTTTAGTCAAAGGTCGCCAAAGATCAAGCGGTGGGACAAGCAGATGTTTCGCGTGCAATGTCCTTGTAATTGGCGCTTAATATTTTTAACCAGACATTTAACTTTGATCGTTTATCGCATTAATATTTTTTAACATTGATCGCTTATAGTTAACCTAGTTAGTATAAAGATCGCTGAGTTTTTAAAATAATAATAAATTGATTTAAATTGACCCTCAATTTGATCATAGCCGTATGTGTCTATTTCGACTACATACAACTGATGGGCTCCTTTTGAAAGCAGGCATGACAGATCGCTTGACATCTCTTTATTCCGCAAAAACGCTTTCTTTGAACATCTTTTCTTGGCAATCGAAGAAGCTGTCCTTGAAAACAGTTTTGCACGTTGCTACTGGTAGTTTTTGCCGAATCAGTCAATTATCTTTTGGCCTATGTTTGGCAGTTTTAAATATACCGTTTTCGACATATATAAATAAAGGTCGTTTCTTTCGTTATTCGATCAAGAAATCTGTTTAACCGGGGTCGTGGCATATCCCTGTCTTATGTCGTGTTGATCAACTGGCAATCAGTGGCAATCAGTGGCAGTTGATTGTTTTTCCGCGAAGATGCCCCAGCCATTACGGCCGGGGAATCGCGCTGACGGCACAGCGCCGGAAATGAAGGGAACCACGGCGCATGAATGCCGTGATGGGCCACGATGGATATCACCCCGCTCGTCGTCCCTGACAATCGCCGATGAAGACGCACATACGCCGGCCCCGGCAATTTGCCTATCTTGTGCCCTGTGTGTTCTAAGCGTAATCCTATTAGCATGTAATGACGACGGCATCCTGCGCGCTTCCCCCGTCCATTGCCGACACACGCCCCATCAACTCCTTTAGCCCGGTAGCCGCATTGCCGGGCGGCGTATACACTAATCGGATTTTAAAAGGGTTCACTCATTTCCGCCGAATAAATAACTCATTTTCTTTCGTTTTTGGGGCTTTTGTTCTTATACCGATTAAACCGCACCGTGGCAAAAACAGCGCAAATGAAACGGTCGAAAATAGCAGAGCACCCATAGAAAACGCGCTTTATAATTTGTAAGCCAGACGCATCAACAGCATTAAATATCTATGAACATTAAATATTTAAATTAATTTAAAAGTGTTGTCCGAAGACTCGGCACCATATGGAAATAAATGGAATCAAATTTACGGGAAAGCTTTTAAATGATTGCTGGCCTATAAAAACTGCTCATCTTTCGGCATTTAAATAATAACCTTTCTCAAGTTCGCATATTTAAGGCTTTATGACGCAGTTTGCTGTGCCTCTCGTTTACCTGCGAAGTCAACGAAAAATCAATGTACTTATGCAATATCATATCAAGCGAATTTTTTCTTCTCCGTTGACGTATGATAGTCTCTCCAAAATGGCCACATGTAGCGTGTTCGCCCCTTGTATAAAGATGCCCTTGATACCTATATATAGTGCATACACAACGCCGCATGTATTCCTCTGCAGATCACGGAAGCTCTCATTCATCTGCACAGCACGGAGCACTGCATGCACGGCAATGTTTGTCCCGAGACTATTCTCGTCCTGGCTAACGGATCCTGGGAAATTGGCTGGCCTGGAGTTTGCTGAGAAGTCACCGAATCGAGTGGTATGTGGCGGTTGTGTGTGTATTAAGTGTCTATTGTGCGGTCGTGCAAACACTCCTCTTCACCGATACTTCAGCTGCGGTGATAAAGCGTGTCACATGGAGACAAATAAACCACAATGTCATCCGGCAGATATCTAGTGTGTCGGATTAATTTCACTCATATCCGCAAAAATGTATCGCTGCAAAGAAATGAAAGTGAGGTGTCGATATACCCATACACAAAGCCAGCCATGTTACGTACGCGTTGTACTACGCATGTACTGTACGTACAATACCAGTACGAGTAAAGAAGCGCTTCCGGTTCAGTGGTATAACGAGTTGCGCAAGCGGATATCTCCATTTTCGTTTCACAAGCGCTGCGGCGGAGCCGTGACCACTCACTGACCAAAACAGTTGCGCAGTTCAACTAAAATTTGTTGCCGCGCTAGCGAACGATAGTCATTGGCTACTTGTTAACGTACAAATATTTGTACGTAATACGCCATAACCGTAACTGTGCTACCTTAATAATGTGACATGCGAGAAGACGTCTGCGTAAATATACTCCTACATTAACCGATACGATTAAACTTTACACGTATTGCGTGAACTGATTCTTGCCGATTGGAAAAAAAATTTTAAAAAATGCATTGTGGCCCTTTCACAAAAATATTAATTTCCTTCTTTCATAGAAATTATTACGGATAGATACTTATTAGATACTGCGATACCATGTATGCAAATGCCAACAGCGTTGCCCTTCATTTCCTGACATCATCTCCGTAATTGAATCCGTTGTCAGCACTCATCGGGGCCGTGAAGTGGGCTAACTGCGGTTCTTCTCCTGGCTGCCGGCGCACTACTAATCTCATCAACAATCGCAAGCCCCCACACAGCACTCTATGCATATTAAACAGCGCCCTTGCAACCCAACCCAGACAATATGCACTGAATAAAATGCAAACAACGAGGTCATCTAATTTTGATAATTTACAGCGCTCCATTTTTGTGACCTATGCTAGCCTGGAATTTTTATCATTTGGATGCGGATAATACTAATGGTTAAACAAATAAAGAGCAATCAAAATTCTTTGCACGTTTGCGGCAGGGAAAGAAAAGTTGATAAGTAAGCATGTGTCCTTCGTCGCGGGACCTGCTGACATTGATAAGTCGGCCACTAAAGACTAATCGGCGTACATTGGCTAGCGTGGCAGACGTGGTGGAGGCTATCGCGTGTACTGGGTTGTTTATTCATCTGTGCCGCTTTTCATCGGGGATCGCCGTCAATTATTCATGTTTTCACACGTTTCCCTCAGTATCCCGACTGTGACAACATACTCCATCAAATCAACGGTGGTTTGGAGAGACGATCGATTAGTGATTCCTAAATAAACAGCAACTAGTAGACCCCGCGCAAACTGCGCGGAATAAATCGGCGATAAATTGTTATTTATGGAAAGCTACAAAGTACAAACCCATGACTGCAAATTTAGTTTTATTGAGCGGAGCGTATAAGAATATTAATAATAATATAGTTTGATTAGTTTCATTGGCAGAGACAAACGGTATTTGCACAATACCTGTTTGGTTATGCTTATCATAACTAATGTCGTAAATTATTCTTTATTTTGGGCCTTTGACCATAGTTGACTGACAGATTGGTAGCAGTTAGAATGTATCACAGTTTAATAATTAAATGTTTAAGGCCGTTTTGAGAAAACATTGTCGCGTTCCGCTGACTTGACCCGAAATTAGACCCGAAAAATTAGAAAATTTCCAGGAATATGTCCTTTTTGTTTGCAATTATAAAACAAAGTTTTAAGCTTCGCAAATCAATCAGCAGCATATGCCGGTCAGTTATCAAGAACTACAAATAAAAAAAAGCTCCATAATTACTGAAATTTTTGTAGCCGTATTTCAGTACTTCTACTGGTTCAGATACCATTCGGAGCTTCGTTAAATTTTAGTTAGTGCGTCCCGACAAAACAATCCAGTGATGCGACCGTACGACCACCGATGTCAACCTTTAGACCACTTAGAATAAAAATACTTTCCAGTTTCCTCCAACTGTTTACACACAATTTAAACCTGATGAAGACTTCAAAATTTCGTTGTGTTCTTGGTGAACTTTTATTGATTAACGTCGACAACTTAAGCACAGTGTCTTGCTTGACCCCGCTGCAGATAGGCGCCGCCTATGATTCCGCTTTCTGTTACGTGCTTATAAAATTTGTTTCAAGTTTGGCAAAAATCTATGCATTTGTATAGTACATCCCAACGCATTGTCGCCTCCCCAATCCCAACCCCAACCCATCCCAAACCCAACCCATTTAACGCCAACAACATCCCCAACCCATTAAACGCATTGTCGCTTCACGCTTACGTCCTCACAGATGGTTCATTAATGTAGCTTGTCGCACCCAGGCGCACCGGAGAGGGTATTCCCCTAATTTTTTTGTTTTGACCTTTGATGGGAGCTGATCTGACGGAATGCTTTATAGCTGGCGGAAAGATAGATTAGAATGCGGATAAGCTTCGCTTTTTAAATTTTCTGTTTATGTTAAATTGTTGAATGCTAAAAATGCGGTTTTTGTTTTCATAAAACCGTTTTTGTCTACGTTCCTTAGCGGAAAAATATCCCTTCTGAAAATATTTTTACCTTCTCTACCTTCCCTGCTGGAGGCTCGCGCGCTCCTCATTTAGGTCGCCGTGAAAAGATTTGCCTTGGGCCGCTTTCTCCCCCGGGCGGCGGTTAGACTCGAATCGTAGTGCGTACGCCCGGTGGGACTGGGACTCGCTGTTTTGCTCGAGTAGTCCACATCATTTCCAGTCGAACACCAAAATTCTCAAAATCGACTTTCAGTCTCTCACAAAATGATGTTTATTTGAGATTTGAAAAAAGGATAAAATATTCCACTTTATTGGCACGGCAGCAAAAGCCAACCGCCCTTTGGAAGCAGTTTTAAATTTTAATTAATACATCTAATCAACCCGTTGCGAAAGGCAACTACTTTATCTTTGGAATTTGGGTCGCTCCCACTTTCCAGGAGATTCTGCATGTTCAGTCTTTAAGAAACATCACTTTCCGAGCCTACATATTTTAAAACTAACTCTTAATAAAATCTTATGAACTAAAGGCAGTCCGATAACTAACGGACACCAAAGTTCCATCAAGTGTAGATGTCTTTTCTGTGCTGTTCGTGCCAGTGGTGGCTTGGGTGGGTTTGCAGTGGTGGGTTCTGCACTTTTCCCGTAGACTTTGTATGTTAAGTTCTTTTAAGATTTTCTCTAAAACTTCACATACTTTCAAAAAACTAACTGGTTTCTGCAAATCTGCAAACTCGCGGCTATTGAATGACATATAGACATCAAAGTTTGGTTCAGTGGATCGCTCAAAAAAGGGTGACAGAAATGGAATTCGCTAAGGCTTATTTTATTAATATATAGGATGATACTGCAATCCTGCTTTCTACATAGTGTCGTTCAATCGGATACAAATAAATGAAGCAAAAAAATCGAAAATCTGATTGAACGCGAGTTTTGCATAAAAAGGTCAAAAAAATTTACAGCAAAGCACAAATGCAACAAACTAATAAAAATTACTTGAGCTGAAAAAGCATATCTACTGTATCAACGGACAGAAAAGGTTATGAACGCTTTAAAATAATTATTTTAGTAGTTTATATAAATATTATATTTTCTTATTTTTTATTTATAGGCCGACACGTTTCCCAGCATCCGATGGAGCTCAAAGCTACCGAAACTCGGCCAACCCAAATCAATTTGCAGCTGCTCGGAAGTTTTACGACAGTCACTGCAGTTTTAAAGGTCCTTTACATGAAAATCCTTTCAGCTTTTTTCAAATTTTCAAATGAATTGCAAAAGTGTAAAAATTAATTCGCCGTTTGAAAAATGGAGAAAGCTGGTGTGTACCAAAACGCAGCTTAACTAATGTGGGTTTTAAGGTTTACGATTTCCGCTGCGCCTTTACCGATAATTCCATAAATAGTTGTTGACGTTTTTTATCCAGCTGGGCGTACGTCTGCGGGAGTTTATGGTGCAGATGCCTAATTACTTACAAGAAGCGGTGGAGAATTTGCTGCACCGCGATCCCCGACACCGGCCAACCGCCCAGTTATTCTCCATGGTGCGTATAATACTGTATGCAGGCCAGGCTGCAGATTTAAGTAATTGTGTTTTTAATTCTCGAGATTCGTTATCATTTGCTGCCTTTAGGCTGTTTATTGCTGACTCCTCTCCTTTCATAGTTTTCGAATTACGTAACACGCCTGCACAAGCTGCACCCTTGTAATGCAGTACACAGTCTTTCTGAAAATTGTATTCGCTTAAGTACAGCTTACAAATTAAGTTCTATTAAAAAAACGTACGAAAAGCTATGTACGTGTTTGCTACGTATAATTGTAAAATTAGGTTGAAATACCGTGCAAAATTAAAACAAAACTCAGAAAATGATCTGTAGAATCCGTAATCATTGTGTTACTGCAGGCCAAGTATTTCAACGATCCAGCGTTAACATGCCTCCGCCGTCTGGATTACCTTGACCAAATGTTTCCGTCGCAAAAAGCCGAATTCTATCCGGCGCTACGAGATGCACTACACAGCGTTCCTCGTGTAAGCTTCTGCACTAACTCTTCAGCACCGGATCATTTAGATGTGACCTTTATGGCCATTTTTATGCAGAAACTCTGGCAGACGCGTGTCCTACCGGCTCTGTCGCGCGATCTAGCCAATCAGGATTTAGGCATGGCTCCCTACGCCATCTATCCGTTAAGTTACATGATCGAACATTCGGATAAATTGGACTATCAAGAGCTGTACAAGCCCAGCGTGCAGTACATCTTTGACTGCCCCGACAAGCCCATCGAGACGCAGATTATTCTGCTGCGCAATCTGTCTAGTTTCGCGAAGCTGGCCACACCCGAGGAGGTTCGAAGTGAGCTCATACCGGTGCTGGATGGGGCGTTGCAGTCGGTTAATTCCGATGTTCTGGTAAGACATCATACAAAAACAAGCTTGGATTCTCAAGTGCCATATACTGCCGAATACGGTATAAATGGTACTTTTTTTGTACAGGAAGCCGGCGTTCAGTGTTTTGCAAGATTTTATCCTATCATCCGTGATGACACTATCAAAGTGGAGCTTTTCCAAACGCTGAAAACGCTTTTCCGCAAAGGAACCGACTATTCCGTTAAGGTAAATGACGCTTTTGCGCTTAAAACTATTATCCAATTCCTGGTTCATCAAAAACTAATCTTATGCAGGTTCAACCCGTCATTATTTCCTCGCTGGATAAGATTCTCGACCATCTGACAAAAAGTTTCGTCTTAGACGAAATGCTTCCCGTCCTGGCTGATGAGCGATTAACATACTCCGTCGACAGTATTAATGCTCTTGTTGGTACGAAGTTTAAGGGATTTGGCCCGGTACATAGCACCAAATTTGTATACATCCACGGCAACTTCGCTGTCTCGCACTCCCAAACACTTTTTTGCATTGCTTTATGATATTTTGTAGCCAAAGGATTCGTATACATAGGCGAAAAAACCGTTTGTGCGCGCAACATCCGGTTCGGGAGATATTAGTGAAATAAAATTCCAAAAGTTTAAGCGCGCGGAGGTGTACCAAAAGTCGTATTATGAACGATGCTCTTCAAATTTTGCACGAAAACGCACATTACTATAAAGATCGTTTTGGTACCGAACCAGCTTTCTACCATTTTTTTCAAATTTTAAAATGAATTTCAAAAGTTTTAAAAATTAATTCAAAATTTGAAAAAATGGTAGAAAACTGGTTCTGTACCAAAACGATCTTCATAGTAATGTGTGTTTTTGTGCAAATTTGAGCATCGGTTCATTATGAGACTTTGGTACACTCCGCGCGTTTGCTCTTGAATTTTATTTCATTAATAACTCCCGAACCGGATGTTGCGCGCGCAAACGGATATCACGCCGGCGTATATAAATCCTCTGCCTACAAAATTTCATAAACCAATGCAAAAAAGTGTTTAGGAGTTCGCGACAGCGAAAGTTCTCGTGTATGTACCCGAATTTGGTACTATGTACCGGGCCAAATCCCTTAAAAATCGCTAAAAAAATTAAAGAAAACGTCCGTACCTTATGTTTGCTTTACTCACCTTTTTGTGTCGAAAAATGCTCGGTTACAAACCGAATTCCCTAAAGGTCAAATAGGTAACAGATAAAACATTCCTGCAAATGCGGCGATTCGTTCTTACAGCGTTGCTGCATTTTAACAATAAAGCACCCAGAACCAGAAATTTACTACTTGTGAATTAACGAAGTATTTTCTTTAACAGATTTATACCGGCACATCTTCAAAGACAGCCGTTTCTCCCTGAGTCCCGAGCAGCTGACCAAATACATCCTTCCGGCCCTCATCCCCTTCCTGACCCATCCCGATCTGTCGAAAGAGCAGTACCTCAACATGGACGCATTCCTCAAAGAGGCCCTATCCCTGGTGGATAAGCGTCAACGCACCCGCTACAAACTGGATGTCTCCCCCAGCACGCCCAGTCCCAGCGCTTTCGCCAGCACCGGGCGTCTGTTGAGCGATGGCCGCGAATACAGCACCACCAGCGCCAACAACTCACGCCGCGGCAGCATGACCGGGGAAGGGCTAAAAGTCATGAACGGGATGGCCGGATTGGGCGGGCCGCATATCGTGTTCACGACGGGCGACGGGTCCAATGCGTCGTCGCGGTCATCGTCCCCTACGCATTCCAGTCGCCGGTCGTCGTATCAGCAGAGTATCAGCCGGGATCGTTCGTCGTCTGTGTATCTGAATGTGGAGGAGACATCGGCAAGTCGGTCACGAACAAGTAAGCGCCATGTTATTTTATTGGTGTTCCTATCGTACTTTATCGGAAGTGCCCCGGGGTCACTAATTTTGTAAAGCCTTTCGGATAGGAACGTTACTTTAGAGAAGAACTTTTTAAAAGCGGAAAAAAGTTTTTTATCCAGGAACGACTTTTCAGTGGTTCTTAATTTTGGGTAGGGTTTTAAATCGGGAAGGGCCACTGCCCGCTAAAATTGGGCTGCAAATCAATCAATTCTCGCCTTTAGCACAAGTTTCATTGAAACTATATATGTAAGTTGTTAATGGTGAGCTGTCTTACAGACTTGTTTTGGGCTGAATTTGCCGTAGCGAACCCTCTGTTTTACCTGTATACAATTGCGGAGCCAGGAATTAGCAGTTAACGGGAACATATTTATTTTATACTGTTTTGTTAGGTCCTACTTCGCCGGAGCGCCGTGGAAGCTTTCTGGGTCTGCAAGGATTCCCAGCTGGATTGAATGCAAATCAGCGCCGGCATTCGGCAGTGAGCATACAAGCAATCAGTTCCCATATGGTCAGTTGGCAAATTCGCCATGCAAACACGTGGGTTTAACGAAATTTTGAAGTTAATGAATGGTTTTTTTGGCAGGTTTCGTTGTTCGCTGGCAGAACTTGATCTACCTCGATATACTCTCCCGGATTGTAGTATTCCGCTACGATGCATAGAGTTTTATATTTGCTACTATGTTGTACATAGCTTCCATGTGGGGTTTCTTTCATTTTTAAACGCAATATATTGTGATGAATGCTGCTGTTCATCAGAGTTTTAACACATCTGATTGTACCTAGATTTTGACCCAATAACCACTACGAGTACTGGTGAGAATCAGATAACACAACATGTTACAAGGCAAACTGTAACATTTCTTCACTCAATAGCAACGTCTTGATGTTTTTGTGTGCATTAATTATTATGGCTCTGTGTGCTGGGTGGATTATTTTGGATCCTAATAACACTGCTTTCTGCGGATGGGCAAGCAGCAGGCCGCATGCTCTTATGATGAAATGCGCAACAACCAGGACTTTGTATACGAGTACTGTGTACTATGCTGTTAGTTTACTATGCTGTAATAATATTATGATCATACTTGTTTACTGCAGAGCATTTAAAGTATTCAGAACAAATCGTATTACCCATCAATGTATTAAATAACAATAAGTACCTAGTCCCGCAGTGCATTAAATTATATTTTAATATAAATATTTATTGAATAATTAATTATAATTACGGGGATATTACATAATTCTGATAGTGCCGAGCTTAACCCGTCTTGCACGAGTTACGGGACATTGCTGTTTACAGGTCATTAAGCTGATCAAACAAACGCACAAAGGATTCTGAAAAGCGTGGGTGCCTTACAGATAACTATTTAAAACTCAACAGCAACTAAAAGTGCGATATGTACTGGCTTTACTTTGTGGCAAGTGGCAACTGCAAGGAAGTGACAGACTGACAGGTATATACCGTAGAGCCTGTACATACACTTGCGAACAAATATTATTTGGGGGGATCCATAAATTACGTACGCAGCGAACCAGGGAGGGACGGGTCCAAAAAACGTGACAAGCTGTGACGGCCCCGGCGAACCCAGGGGGGAGGGGGTGGTCAGCTCCATGTGTTATGATTGAGCGAACCAGGGGGGAGGGGTCAAGCAAACGTGACGGACCGCTACGAAGGGGGAGGGAGGGGTGAAAAAACCATGGTTTTCTGCGTACGTAATTTATGGATGCCCCCTTTAATTTCGCTTCTCAACAAGTGCCTTGTATGTGCCGGGCCGCCGGCACAGTGATGGCATTGGCAGTTTGGCACCCACAACGATAGAATATCTGCCGTTGCTTGTGGAGAATTACTACTACGGTACTACGGTAATTCGGTAATTACTACGGTAATTCTCCACAATGCTCGTTAAACTTTGGAAAAGTCCTCTGACAAGTGGCCACCTTGAACTGTCCGGCCTGAAACTGCGGCAGGGTAGTATAAACATTGATAAATTATCTCGGGTTCCAAGTCCACAAATGCTCTCCACTGGGCACGTGAACAACTTACAGCCGTAGCTGCCCAAGCTAAAAATATAAAAATAAGTACAAATTAGTTAAACCATCAATCAGAAGATACCGCGCGTCATGCACATAGATAGTTGAACTAATCATCATCACTGTACCTGTACGTTCTCTATATCTCACATACCCTATCTTGTGATGCAACTCTTTAATTACTTCAACACTATAATAACAATATTCAGACCTATTTTCGGTTAAACAAAACAACCTTTTCAAAAGTGCCAGTCACGGAGGCGACATTTCGTCGTTGTATCGCTAGAGATACATTCTGTATCTTGGCACTACAACGTATTATTATTATTATTATTATTATCGTACTACAGTAGCCAAACTCCATTACGGAGACTTATTACCCTCAGTATAAAAAGGCGAAATCGCTGTACCAAACCGGCAAACGGCGGAACAGTTAGATTGTGGTGTTTTGTGCTAAGTTATACCAGTAGCGCTGCAGAACGGTTGTCCGTCATCCGCTCGAATACCTGATCAAACAAGACTTTCTCCGGCCAGGTACTTACAGTGTAACGTAAATATTTTCTTTAATATCTATATAGATATTTATAAACAGAGTACAAGTTTATATACCGGGGCAGAATCGTTACCCATGGGTAAACCTGTGTACATTTTTTAGAAAAAATGCCCCAAGAAGGTATTGAGTACAGAGACGGGAAGGTCTTCTGGACTTGCCCAATGTGCCGGCAACGTGCATGGGCGTACACCTACTACAACAACTATGTCGGACGACCGTGTGTGAACTGCAAGCCACCCACTCTGCAGGAATTGCCCGGTGCAGTGTGGAAAACTCTTACCGGCTGGATAGGATAGTTTAATTGAACATCCTTGGTTTTTTGCAAAGCTGGCTTTAGTCGACACGGCTGCTAATATTGGCATTACTAAGAACTGCGTTCTGTGCCACTTTGCGTGCAATTCCAGCATGTAATAGTATCTTTTGAAGGGGAAAAACCAAACGTATCTCACTAATTCCTGTACTAGCTGCCGTTATCCCGCTGGAGAATGACGTTACGGCAGTATGTATGGCTAAACCCGGCGCGTTACATACGTGCCATGTTTGACAAAAACGTTACACAGCAGCAAGTACAGAGACTGGTTTGAGACGTTTGGTTTTCACCCTTCTATTTACCATATCTGCCGTAAACCAACGAATTAAAGCCACTTTAGTGCGCAGACAAAACTTCATTTTGATATGATGAATACGTACCTAAATATCTCGGATATATCTATATACAGTACCTAAAGGACATCAATCTCGACTCGCCACTCGGATCGGCGTCGTTAATTCAGAGTTTTAAAGAGTGCACAGATAACTTTATTCCCGCTGTTTTTTTATTTCTATATTATGCTACTTTATAACAAAATATGATATCCTTAATTAAGTGTGGTGCTATTTGGCAACAGTTCAACACAAAATTGATTGTGTAAAAATTCTCCACAAGGCATAATAACTGCTCTAAACCCGGGATAATGCACGGCTTTTACACGACAAACACGACTTTATAGATTACCAAACATTTCAAGATTACTAAGTCCATAGTCCATACTTTCCTTTGCATCGTACAAAAATGGCATATTTAACTGGTATAGCGCTGTATGAAGTCATTGCGTTAATAAAACATTTTCCTATTGATGTTTATTGCTGGATCGTCGGCCGTTCAACAGCTTTTCGGAATACCGACTTTAAACTACAAATCATCCCAATAACATTCGAACGGTACAAATAGTTTTTGGCTTCAGTTATTTGTAATTTGCTGTAAATGTCAGATGCAACAGAACTTCTGTAACGAAAACAGAGTGCAGCCCCAAAAAGCACAAACTAAAGTTCGTGACCATCCAAACAAGGTGGTGGCGTAAGCGCATCTCGTTGCTCCGTAAGCAAAATTCTCGTAGGAACAATAATAATACAGTCAGGAGAAGCTGCAGTAGTGTTTTGAGACCTCGAAAGCCTGTTGTTTTTTGTTTCAACTTCATATACAGATAAAGGGATACAGCAACAAAGAACTTTTTACGGACAGCACAAGTTATAGCAACATGAACATACTCGTACTAAAAAATCATTATAAAAGCTCTTCCTACATGCGGTCTTGCCCATTGCGCATATCGCATTCCCCCGCTGTATCTGCAGACCGGTTGCAACCAGTTGTGCTTCGCTAGCTTTCCCCGCTCCGTGGCAACTCCGGCGCTCGCGAAAGTGTTATTGCGAGAGGTATAAGAGCTGCGAGATTCTACTCAGGTAATGAATATCTACGGCTATTGGCTTACCTTGCTCTCAGAGTACCAGTTTGCTGACAACGGGCCTTTTGTGATCTTCCGCGGTCAGACCTTTTGGCTCCAATCGAATTGGTACATCGGCTTTCTGTAAAGTTGCGTAAAAACCCGTCATGTCTTGGAGACATCCTGCTGAGCGCTGGGAGCGGAGACCATGCCGGCCCAGTTCACCAACCAGCTCGCCACATACGCAGGCGGGAGGAGTAACTTCGGTGCACCAAGACATAACGCTTATCGGGAAGGCAGCATATTCTACCAGGTTAACGAGGCAGGCATGGATCCAAAAACATGGAGGAGCAGTTCTCTAAACAAGCAGCTACAGGCTGTGCACAGGCAGATTTTATTCAAACTGTGACATCTGAGCAAATAATATTAGTAATAAATCACGTGTAATAATTATAATTTTGCTAGCAGCTGTTCTGTGTTTAGTGTTGGTGGTCATTTAATTATGGTTTAGCTTTGTAATATACGTATTAAATTTTTAATTTGTATAATCGGTATATGTAGTTTTAGAGATTAGAGAAGGACATGGCGCCAAATATCGAAAAATATTTTTTTCGACCATCGAGAACGTGCGCAACGTTAACTTCGTTTGGGCATATAGTCACAAAGGTCACATCCATCACAAGCATGAACTGGCACGCTATTGGTTGATGGATTTGTGATTTATTACTTATGCCTTTGCTTGCGAAACGTGCGCTTAAAACCTTATTCTGTCTAATTAAGTTCTGGATCTGGCGTTCAGACACCGAAATCCCACTCGCCTCTAAAATTTTAAAATTATAGAATAGGGCTTTTTCTTCACTAAAACAGCTTGGTAGTTGCCAGTTGGTATTACACCCACCGGAGCCGTACTTTGTGTTCGTGCTTGGCAGCATTATTTCTGTGCAGTCTGGAACATTCTGTAGTACATTGCACAGATACGTGAGTCATGATCATGATAGCAGAATTAATGATAAGTGGCACTTTGCACAATGTTTACACTACTTCTACCTGTAATGACACAGCTGAAGAAGCCGACTTATCAGACAGGGCTGAGCACAACAAGAGTTATCAAGCAGCGCTGCCTATTATATTTTACACTGTGTGTCAGTATCCGATAATATTATTACTGAACAGATCAACAAAGTAGGTTAGTCTAGAAATGTCGACTGGTATCATCGCCACGACAATCACTGCAGTGAAAACAAGGTAGGTCACCACAATAGCTCCATCTTTCACAACGCCGATCCTGCATCGCGACGTTTGAACAAGGGTTACCGTGAAACATTACTGTGTGGCGCGCATAAACAAAAACTCCCTCCAGTACACAATTGCCGTATCTGTCGTTTCTGTATGGGTAGGTAAACATCTATCAGTCTCGAAACTGACCTCTGGCATGTGACAAATATCAATTGTTTCATCGATGCATCATGTCGATATAAAAGAGCGAAATAAGTACCGTAGTTTTCCAAACCAGTAACCATAAAGCGGTTTTGATTGTAGGTCTTCTTACGGTTCTATCAGGTTAAAAATGAACTGTTAGCGTGCTGCTGTTAAACGCTTGCCCATCCTCGATCTGAATATCTCGAGTGAGCCAACTTCTCTAAAACCAGGTAATACTGTAGCATGATTATCTTTGGGAAAAGTCTCGTAATATTAACTCATAGCTGTTAAAACAGTATTTTACGTTAAAGTGTGCGACGAATTTCTTGGATGCTGCTATTTTGTTCTATATTAAAGTCACTTCCCGCGTTTAAGGAATTATTAAGCAAGGTATAGATACTGATGGCACAGTGATTTCTATGGTTGAAGGTACTGATAGAACGGTATTTAGCGCGAAGTTTGCGCATGCAGGCGCTTGCCACAACACCGGGTCTACTGCGCTGACAAATTTACACCTCTTAAAATTTAAGATAACTGTTAAAAAAGGAAATTATTACGTTATGATTTACATGTGTATCGTATTTTTTATTACGGTCGCTATTGGGCCTGCAACGGCCATGCACAAGTAGAATCACTTTAGTACAACACCAACCAGTTTGCGATTAACGAACTTTTTAGCTGCATTGCATTTATTCTGCGTAGGCGCAGTGAACTTTGTTGCGCGGGTATATATACTTTTAAAGGTCATCGGGTAGACGTAATGAAAGTGCTGCTGCTGTAGCAGTGTAGTACGGCAGTATATAAGATAAAATTAACCATGGACATTATTAGATATTGCAAACCCGATAACTGGGAATCAGCGTTTTTGTGTGTTGGAAAATACTACTTTATCTTTACAGCGTTAATTTACGGTACAACTCAGCTGAGCGTTATCTTTTACAGTTGAACGTTAACGATACCAATTATCCGTTAATGATACCTACTCTAATTTTAATTTAGAAACCTCCTTCGCGCCAAACAAAATGCCAGACCGACCAACGTACGAAAACGGCAGGATATACTACAACTGCCCATATTGCGGAAGACGGGTATGGGTATATGAAGCATTCGGGGCGTTTGTCGGGTCTAAGTGTTTTAACTGCAGGGATTGTCTTGTCATGTAAAATTACGGATTCAAAAGGTTTTTATACAATTACAACGATATGCTTTAAAACATTTGATGCTCTTTAAGTACACCGTTTTTGATTTGCGTAATCACGTCTTACGGATTATGAATGCAACAATTTTTCGGCAATGCTTGTAATGTTTTCACTTTGTTGATACATGATATCTTTTGAATACAATGTGTTGTCAATTGCGCAATGTTGTTTATTGGCAAAAGCATTTATTTAATATGTAGTGGCACTGTGGCAGTAAAATCATTTTTCTGAGTCCGCTGGCTAAACAAACACACAATTAAATAAATTCTTATTCACAGTCTAACAATGTTGGCATTTTAGTCTACAGCTGTTACAGCATGTTAGACTAAAAAGTAACCACTGGGCAACCCTTCCCGTTTACTCTGAACACGTCGTGAAGAAACACTGTAGATACCTGCACATACAAGCTGTACGGAAGCCGACACAAATTTTACTCTGTATACCACACACACAAACATTGCAATACATTGCTTATTAAGATGACTATAATACACAATGTTTAGTACACAATTGCCGTATCTGTCGTTTCTGTATGGGTAGATAAACATCTATCAGTCTCGAAACTGACCTCTGGCATGTGACAAATATCAATTGTTTCATCGATGCATCATGTCGCTATAAAAGAGCAAAATATCGTAGCTTTCCAAACCAGTACCGAAAAAGTTTTTTCGTTACACTGAAAATTAATTACACTGAATTACACTGAAAAGTTTTTTTCGTGTAATTTAGTTCTGTCGCAATTTCGGCGGTTTCATCAGTTAGCAACAAACGAAAAATCAAATCTAAATTAATCAATCAATTAGAAGCTTTAAGTGGTGTTTCAGCCGAACCACTTAAGGTTTTGCAGGGTTTGAAGTATGACACTCGTAAAAGTTTGCTCAATCATATCAAGAAAAAGATCAATAACACGTGCAGTCTCCCCACAGTCAAGGTTTCTCTAACCAAAAACTCTTTAAAAAATCTGTCACAACAGTCAAATCAGCCGGAGTCCATGCAGAACTGGGTACTACAATGTATGTCAGATGACCGTCTGTTGACTGTAAGCCGAGCATCCTTAGATACTGCAAAGTTGGTTTTACCTTACATAACTTCTGAGGGCAGTAAGACTTATCGTTTGTAATAAATCTTGCTGTTACAGCTTGCTGATATCATTTTTTTACGTTTACCAACCCAGCTCTTGCTAAGGAATTTTATCCGGGCCAGGTTCTTGAAAGCAGAAAGTAGATACACAGCCGAAAAACAACATACTGCATGAATGCCACTTCAGCGCACACACAAATGTCATCCCAGTATAATATCTAAATAAAATAAAAATATCTCGCTAGCCGCTCGGAATCGCTAATTCTGAACTCCAATAAGTACTCGAAGAACAGTACTTTATTCCCGCTGTATTTCTGAATATTACATATCGTAAATAATGTCATGCTACATACACCACTTTACAGCAAAGTAATAATCTGTAACTGCATGATCACGGCAGCAGCTCATGAAAGACTGAAAGTACACCGTAAGTACGGTGTACTTTCATACGTACGGTGTACGGTGTATTGTACTGTACTCCTCTTATAAGGTTAAGCAAGTTCGCTTCTCTTCAAGTTCAACTAAACATTCTCCACAGATTATCGGCTCCTAGTTCTGCCTTTTAACGCCAAAGTTGCATGTTTGATTGCCATAACTATTATATTATGGTTACTTTTTATTGGGTTGCACAAATGAACATAGGTTAAACGCTTAATCAAGCACTAGCAGTACGTTATTTCAGCACGTAATACACTTCATCCAGACTTTTCCCGATGCAGAAGGTTTCCTGAACGCAAGCAGCATTACCTCGCATTAAAGCAATACTGATTCTCTGCTTCAGGAACCGAGTGGACCGCTTCTCCTGGGTCCGCTCAAAAAGCCTTAAAAGTTATATTATGTAATAATGGTATAATGTTATTCTCAATACATGCAAAAATACGTGCATAATTTCCTGTTATTTATGTACGAGGTATTTAGGCTCTGAATACCTTCTACATAAAAAATAGGAAATTATGCATATTATTAGAATAATACACTGTACGTGTGTCGTCTATAAAGAACCACTGCCCACCCACACCATATGTATGAACGCATCAGCGGTCATAAGCCTCTAACGTGCCCGTTCTTAAAATGTTTCACCGTTTTAAGCAGTTTAGTCCACAAAATTCTCCAGTGGACAAATTATGACCATTGGAGGCAGCCTGGCCAGCTTGAAATTTGCCTGTCGTCAACGACTCGCCACTGCAAAATGCGCGTCACCTACAGTAACACGTTTCTACTCCAAAATATTCATCGCCATTTATCAGTGGTACAGTGTATTAACTTGCTCGGTGTAAAGGCTGTGGTTAACAAGCAGCCACTCCCACTAGTATGGTTAGTAATCATTAATAATCAATCAGATTATCGAATATGTCATAAGTTATGTGCGTTATGTCAACAGTCGTTTCATCGTTACATCGTGTTACTATGAAAGGGCGAAATTAGATTTTCCCGACTGCCACAAAACTGGGTGGGTACTAATGTTTCATTTAGGTATGGAAGGTTAAACCATATATTTCATTATTTTATGTTGTTGGACGTTTGCTCATCACTCACTCCGATATTTCCAGTAAGCCGTCTCCGATCCGGTAATATACCGTGATAAGCTTTCCTTTATACCAACGACGCTGTGTTGACAATATAAACCGTAATTAAACGTACGTAATCTTTTGCAAACACAATGCCTACCGAAGTAGACAGGTTATGCGTGGTACGCGAAAACGGGAAGGTCCACTGGAATTGTCCAGGATGCGGGAAGCGCGTATGGGTGTACGATTACCACGAGAATTATGCCCTGAAACTGTGTTGGCAGTGTCCGGGCTTCCCTGAGTACAGTCTTCTGGATCAGTACCCTGCAGTACTTGAGGCTCTTCTCAAATGGTTGTATTAATAGCATTCCTGATTTTCGATAAACACTTCTGCAGCAAAATTATCGGTCTGTATCTTACTCTGCGGTCGGCATTGCGCCATTTTTTTATGTTCTGCTGTTTTGTAGCGTGTGCTGGAGTCGCAGAATCACAGTATATTGTTTTTATCATGTGGGCATCTTTAATTTAAACCAGTTTCTGGAAGGTTGAAGGTTGTAACGCTGTCGAAAGGCTTGTCGACGCCTTTTTAGTGTCAAGCTGCGCGCATCGTAATTAATTATAAATAAATATTAATATACTCTGCTCTCCGCGCGGAGTAGGCGAGCGATATAGGTCTAGTTAAGCCTAGTTACATGTATTCGCTGAGCAGACAAATCCTGGCGGCGGCACTCAAAGTAAATTTAAAGTCAAAGAACACTTTAGGTAAAACATAAAAAAACAAAAGGAAAGGAGCATATAAGAAAATAGGAAAAAAATATGAGAAAATGATAAAAAACATAAGTTAAACGTTGAAGTGATAATAAGTTCCCCGAAGGATATTGATATGTACGTGTTCCACCATCTCAGTGCAGTTGTGCTGACCTTTATGTTAGCCAACACGAACTGCGGTCTTTTTTAAAATAAAACTGTTTGCGTCCTTGAACTAAAATATGTACGCATCGACGAGCTGCTGTAGGAATCTTCGAAATTTTGCACAAGTCTGACAGCACTAAAACTATGAATAAATTCACTGTAACTCTGTAGGACAAACTGAGCCAGAGATTACCAATGGTACAGCAGTTTGTAGTCTTGTTATTATTACTGTTACTACTTGCTATTCTCTGCTAGCTGCAAAATCAGTATTGTTAATACACTAATTATGTATGCATATCATACTTTTTTAATTTCCTTACTCAGCGTATTAGTGTCGCTATTGTAGCGTACAACTCGTCTGCCGTTTTAGGCATTCCTTCGCATAAACACCGAAAGCCGGCATCGATTGCCTTGCTTTTTTCTCTCCTTTTTTTATGCTGTCTCAAAGAAGTGGCATACTGTACTACGTGTGGGTTTTATTGTTATGAAGAAAGGAAAACTAATATTTTAACATAGGCGGGCACGGTAAAACAACACATTAACATCGATACATTAATCAGTGTAATATTACAAAAAATCGATATAATAATATTACTCGCGTTATAATGCAGCCAGTATGTATAGCTCAGCGGTTAGTTGTAAGACGGACGGCGCGGCCAGGGCTCAATAATAAAATTTTAAACATTAAAAATGCGCTTAAGATAATACTGTACATATATAAAACCAAAAACGTTCTATTCCGCGGTTTCAAAGAAATTAAAGTTTGCTGACCTTAAGATAAATATGTGAATATCACCTTAGTTTATTAAGATAAATATGTGAATATCCATATTTTACGTGGTTAACTCGATCGACTCAGACAGTGCTGCCTAGTCTGACTTCATGCTTTCATTTAACCAGAGCTTTTAGGTTTCAGTACATACGGTATCACGACTCACAGTTAATACTAACGATAATTAAAGTAATTTCTGATACTCATAAATTATTAATTTGAAGATACTGTAAACGTGTTAATTTACGAGAGGAAATTAAGTATCGATAAATTAAATATGTGTAAATATATAATTATGTATGTCATCCCGTAGGTTGGTCCGAACTCCGTAGAAGCTGACATCATCGTCACTCGACATAACAATCTATACAGTTTGTAAACATAGTAGGTCACGATAACGGCACTATCCGAGACCACCCCGCGCCGTACCACACTGCAGATCGCGCAGGTAAAAAGCGGTCATCTTAGCTACTCGGTCCTTTAAAAACTCTAAACAAATTGCATCATTGCGCTACTGTGCCTTATCGCCACGCTAACGCGAAGAAGGAAGTAGCAGACCTACCGTGAGATGCTGTGTGTTGCTTGTAAACATCTTGCATATTGTCTACATACCACTACATCCAGTACAACGACGCATTATCTATCGCTACTGTACAAACGCGCCAACATTTCCGTCAACCTCGAAAGTGTTCCCAGAGCTGCCCGTTTTGAAACTGCAGTGACAGGGAAGTGATGAAATTTGATGTTTGTGTCACGTGCAAAAACATTCGCCACTGGGCATGTGGTTAACTTCCGTTCACAACTGGGCATGCTTGAGACCAACACTAGTACGTTTATAGGAGCCATCAACCACACAAGTTATCGCACATCACGTAGAAAGTAGTACGTACTATGTTATGCCACTTATATAAAAGCGAAAATGTAATTTTTCCAAACCAGTAACTGCAAAAATATTTGCTTGATAGACTTTCCCGTGGGTGTACAGAGTACGAGGTTATAGCACAGTTAACCGTTTACCCATTATACTTGTATAGTCCAGTTTTACAAGCAAGCCTATCTCCGACCAGGTAATTATACCGCGCGATACGTATTTTTATTCTTACGTATTCTTATATTTTCTCATGTTTTTCTTATGCGTCTTTTTATGCATACGTACTTACAAACAAATCTATACTAAAATTCTATTGGCACAAGCCACCCATAGAAATATCTGCAAGCGCTATATATATACTTGATGATATAACTTGCTAACAATTATTTTATGCAGCACGGTTACAAATATTTTACATAAATTCCAAATATTTTTTAAACATTTTTCCAATGTTTAAAATTTGAAAATTTTTATTACTGTAATCCCGCGCATGCGTATTATTATGTTTACAGGCTGATGCCGATTAAAATTGACACTTTATCGGTTAACCCATGGCTAGATGTAAAGATGTGATTTCTTGCAGATAAAATGCCGTCGACAGGCAATGTCACTTATGCAGACGGGAAGGTGTGGTGGACCTGTCCATTGTGCAACAATCGCACATGGGTGCATACCTACTACGACAAATATGTAGGACGACCGTGTCTCAACTGCCAGCCTCCCACTCTGATGGAGCTGCCCGGGGCGGTATGGACAACTCTTTTCGGCTGGCTATTCTAATAACATCGTGGTTTGTCAGCTGTTTGGCAAAGCTACTGCTATAAACTAACTTTATCTGATATGGCGATTAGCGTTGTACTGGGTCGCACTGCGGCACGTTTGTATGCGAATAACCTTTACGTTTTATGCTGCTTATAACCTTGCAGTTCCAGTAATTTTTGATATTATTCTATTCAGCTTCTGCTTAATGATTTCATAATGGGCAGCATTAATGTGGAATTCTGAAGAGTTGCTTTAAAATTAAAGTTGTAACACTGTCGAAAAGCAACATATCAACATTTTGTCCAGTGCAGCGCAAATAAACGCCATCCTAGGTAATACGATAACTATTACTATTCTCCGCATAAGTCGACATCGCTAATAAGCGTATCTTATTGCTAAACATCACACGTCTTGGAGAAGCGTCTACGCTGCATAGAGAAAAACACAACGAAACCACATCTCCTCGAAAGATCGCTTTATTTCACAGAAATAAATGCTCTAAATAACATCAGAAAACCAAATCTAAAGGGGAAAAAAGGGCATAAAAACCCAGCAAAGCTAGGAATTGATGTTGTCAACTTGTCAGTTCCGAAGCTGGCACTCGACTGCAAACACACGATTTATCGTGTGTGGAGAATGGCCGATGGCGAGCCGATGGTGAGGCAAATGTGCCGAATTGAGCCATCGCTCAATATCCTGTGCTTTATGCACGGCACTCTGACACACGCACATAATTAATATAGAATTTGCTATGAGGAGCCATGGCATAAATACTATTGCTAATTTTAACGAAACGACGGTCGCGTACGAGAAAATACGGATATTGCTGTTAGAGCGGCATCCGCTCTCTATAGGACCATTTGATAAAACATTTCGATAGAATTGGTATGCTTTGCCGATAGCCTAGTGGTGCCTCTCTCGGCCTTAGAGTATGGAGGTTGTGGGTTCGATTCCCTCAATCGGCAGGTTTTTTTTCCGAAGTTCTGTACGATCCTAGCACATCCCTTGCATTGCACAATACGGTACACTATACTCACGAGTCAGTACAGGATACGAGTGCCACACGCATGCCAGTAAAAAACGTGTTCTGCTATTGTGCAAACATGATAATTATGGTCATTTGTAAATTGTATCTGTATACAGCAATACACCACATAATATGTACCAATAGATTACCAAATATGCGCCGCTTTGCTCTTTAAGCCGTAACGCAGTTAAACCAACGCTGTGACGCATTCGAGTGGCATGGAGGTATCTTGTGTGAATAACAAAAACAGCCACAGCCATAAAGGTCATCAATAAATAGAAGTCTATCAGTTGACAGTCGATAAGTTTATTATGTAATAAGTTAGTGACCGCAAAATGGTACTTCCGCTAGTACAAGGGGAATTAATATAGAGTACAGAGAGGCAGTGGTATACGTATATGTAGTACTTATTATAGTCGTTATTTTTCAGTTCTTACTATTAATCGTCGGTATTCTTATCATATGCATTTAGGACAAAACAAAATTTTTATAAAACAGTTTCGATGGACTGCACTGTATGCCAAAATTACCGGTCTTCGTATAATGAGATGCCCTTAATCTTAACTGCAATGAGCACACCGTGGTACTGGTAACTTATTTTCGATAATCAGAAGCTGCGCTCCGGTCTGTCACTGGGTAAATCGGTGCATCTTCCTAGTTATTATCATTTTACGTACGTATTTAGGTTAAGCCTGAATTAGCGTAAAATAGTAAAACGCACCATCAGCCAGCCCACGGAAATTGCGGTTATTGTACTCTGTACGTCCGGGATACCTTAAATCTCTCTGTCAGTTATAATTCATTGTTTCGAAGTTCCGTGTTCCGTCAGTCTTCAAAGGTTGAATGTATCTACGAAGTTTCAAGACCACGTTACGATAAAACACCTTTAATGAACAGCAACAACCCAAATTTCGTATCGTACCGGTCAAATAATCTGACGTGACTAAGAGATCCCTGGAATTTTGTGGTTAAAAATCGTTCGTTGATTGTGTGGATCTTTATATTAATTTTGCCACGGTACCCCGTTGCAATGGCTGGGAAACCGATCATTGTGGAAGACCGCACAAGTCATGACATTGTCGCTTTCGTATTGCAGTGGACAATCCAGGATTTTAGTGTGTACAAGTACTGCACGACGTACATGAATAGTATCGGCATCACGTTATCCGAGCTCGGGGTCAATGGTTTCGCAGGACGCCTTCGGATTTCCATCCGCCCGTGCTATAAACCGGACAACAATGTTGAGTATGTATGCGTCTGCCTGCGGCTAACAGATGTCGAGGAGAAGTCTACGGTGTACAGCGGATCTGCCAAGGCGTATGTGTCTTGCAAAATAAGGTGCGACGTAGTCACAATTTTACCTATAATCGTAATAGTTCATAAAAGTGCCTCACGAATCTGCGCGAAGCTGCCTCCATTTTGTTAGCTCGTTGTTGTGGCTGAACCCGCACACTTATCAATCATATGTAAATTTCGAAAAATTCTTTCCGTAGTTGTCGTTAAGTTTCTGCACGATGCTTAAAACATCCAAGTACCTCAGGTGTAATACCAGTCAATAAGCAGGTAAATATTATCGCTTTTACTTCATGTCCCAGTTTTCATACATTGTCATGTACTAATGGTAATATTAAAAAAAAGACATGGATTAATGAAAGTAGACGAATGCTAATATGTGAGCAAATATTGATGACCCATAGAAATATTTTATTTGCTGACAGAGATACTGACGCGTATATACTTAGCAGATACTCTGTCGCCTTTCAGATTTGCGTGCACGGTCGTCTTAATACTTATTAATTTCGAACCGGCTGAAAGTGCTAGTACGAGTACGGTACGTCATACGTAGTACAAGTGCCGCAGTTGCACTCACCGAATACTGTTTCAGATCCTTGAATATCACTGCGCATTTCCTAAATCAAAAACGTTTGCCGGCTGTAGGAGTGGTATTAACCGATGTCTAATGTTCTTGGTTTAGTGCAACAACTGGAAATGACATGGATATCGAGATTCGTGAACCATTTAGCACGGGGGTACGGGTTTTGTATACACCCGGAAACTGCGCTGGATCGGATGCGTTCATCAGTTACGCTCAACTATTCGGCACAACCACGACGGCCGGCTTGCTCAAAGATGATGTGATTCGCTTCAAAATTGCAGCCACCCTGTACGGTAATGGTACCTCCAAGGAGCCAGAGGCGAAAATCGTCCGTCTGTCCAAAACAGAGCCTCCCGCCAGGCTCTGCTATCAAGACTTCCGTCGCCGTCAGATGGAGATGTATCGGGCGGGACCACAACCGTACACCGACTTCCTGCTGCGTTCCAGCGACGGCCGAGAATTTCGCGTTCATCGTTTCCTGCTGGCAGCGCATTCGCCGGTCTTTTTGGCCATGCTGACGCATGATTCGCAGGAAAAACAGCAGTCCCATTGCGATGTCGCGGATTTGGATGGAGAGTGTGTGGAGATCTTGGTAGATTATTTGTACGGATGCGAGGCGGATAAACTGAACGCGGTTAATGCGGAAAAGGTAAAGTTCATGGCTGACAAATATCAGATTCTAGATCTACGTGCCGTCTGCGAGAGAATGATAGCGGAAAGTGTTACTGTGGACAGCGCTGTCGTCCGCTTCCTCATGGCCAGACAGCGTGGATTGGATGTCTTAAAGGACGCTGCACTGCGAATTATGGCGCAGAATAAGCCAGCTGTCCTTAAGGATAAAGTGCTGAAAGCTGCCATCCAATCGGATCCGGATTTGCTGGAAATCGTTATGGAATATTGTGCCAAATGAATTTGTTTATGAATATTATTTATTATTAATTTTGTGGCATGTTTTGTAGTAAACGGCATATGAAATTTCTCCTTTTATAACTTCTTCGTTGCTGTCGAAACTGCCCTTACTGTTAGCTAGTGTTCATTGCTGCTATGTATTTTGATGCTTTTTACGGTAATTTGTACCAACCTTAAATTTAATTTTGTAATTTAACTGTCATGTGCTGTTTAAATTCTCGCACCATTTTACTTACCGGACAATTACAGTTGAACTGGGCTTTATCGAAGCGTATTGTTAAAAACTGTAAACTATACGGATATTCTATACTACGAACTCTATCTGTACTTCTATACACGTTCGCATGATAAAATACCACATGGCATTTTTACCAAAAGCCGGTACCAAATAAAAAAAACGGTAAGTAAAAAAAGCTGTTCTCGAACCTTCTGTGCAATTTAGTAATATTTCCTCAGACAACTGCTGATGCAAACATAAATTGTTCATATTTATATAATATTCATATTTTTGCATATTGTGCACAGGAGCAAACCTACTGCTTATTGCATCATGGGCTAGAATCCGTAGCTTATAAATCGTTTAACGAGCACAAACACCCAACGCTGAGAATGTGTACACAATTCTGCGGTAACTTCTGCGCAAGTACGTATGTACTGCAAAGTGCAAACAGTTTTTTTTGGATCAGGTGCGGACTGCGGTATGTATCATCACTAACCACATAAATATTCATACACCTAACCATTCGTAAAAATAATGGGAATTGGGACGTGCTTGAAATAAATACAGCTGTATGTACAGTAGAAATCTGCGGAAATGGTCGGGTCGGGGTAACTGCTTGTTACTGCTGTTGTACGCAAAGCAGAGGTTGTACTGTAGTTTGGACGGTAGCAAGCAAACGGTGGAGCGTGAAGAATGGAACGAATAATTTTATTATAATTCTGTTAGCCAGTGTCTTCCGTCAGCATATCAATAGTCAGCCTTGGATTAGCGTCTGGCGAACCTTTCAGCTTTGCATGCATTCTATGCGCAGTGCCTTTGATCGTGTAGAAATTCCTGTTATGTGACCGGATCGACTTAAGCTATTGCCGCCGAAATTAAGTAAGGTCTTACTGAGTGAGGTCAACCACCGATTCCGGCGTTAACTGTTCACCACATATCCCATCCGTAACGTTTGTTGCATCAAGAAATTATTTGGAATAATTTTTTCATGCAGTAAAATCGAAGACTTAACTTACCTTTATAGCACAGGTTCAGGTACGCCGCTTTGGCTTAATGACCTGACGTGTACATAGATTTTGGTTTAGAAACGCCTTTCAAGTCAAACAAAATGCCATACGAGGGAGATGTCACTTACGAAAACGGGAAGGTATTCTGGACTTGTCCCATGTGCAAGAAGCGGACGTGGGTATACACCAAATTCGAAAACCGTTATATCGGACGACCGTGCCATGCCTGCAAGCCGGTCTCTCGGCAGGACGTCCCAGGGGCAGGCTGGAAAGCGTTTACCGGCTAACAATCCTGATAAATATATATGTATATTACATCGCTGTTTCGCGCTGTTGCGAAGGTTGCACGATTTCGAATCATTTAGCGTGGAACCCTGTACGTATGATACCGCTCAATTGTTCCATGTCTTTGATTTTTTCGATTTTTTCAAACGTTCACTTACCAACTGTTATTGGCTTTGAACTGCCGTTTTATTTCCTCATTATGGATATTATTGTCATGCGGAATCGTGTCTTTTATGAATTCGAAACGTTTTTGATACTACGCCTGACATAAAAGTATGGCTTTGGTTTTTTGCGTCATGATAGCTTCGCTAATTTTTGTAACTTGCCAGCGATATCGTCATCACTTGACGTGATATAAAGTACAGTAGCGATGCATACGTAAAGTGACGGCTTTATCGTACTTTCTGTTATTCGCTGTACCTTCTCGATCTTTCTCTTTTGTGTTCGGATCTACTTTTTGTTGTTTCTACACGGATGCGCCTTGTCTATATAAGGCCGTGAGTGGCAGTACTTTGCAGGATCAGTTCTCTTATTCTGAGTTTAGCAATTTCGGAGTTATTAATAAAATTATCGTCGAAGATGCAGTTCTCGTTCGCGTATTCGTAGACTTAGCTTTGCCACACTGAGATAATCAGCTCATACTCTGCCGCTGAGTAGGTCGGTAGGATAGATTATTACGGTAATTATTCCTATCGTACTGATCTCTCCGTCACACTTTTAAGATCTTGCACATTCACTTTCAACCGCATATTGATCGGTCAGGATTAACAGTTATGTAAAAGCATATAAATATGTACATGCCGGTTTGAGTAACTACTACCTTTTAATTTTGTTTTTCAATAAAAATGTTCCCTGGAAGTCATATAGGGGGCTTTCAAAAGCTGAGGTATAAGTACATTTGCCACCGGGCAAAACCTCGCATTTGTGGGAAACACGTTATGCACTGCACGTGTACAGAGTGCAACATTATTCTGCAAGAAACGTGTAAACGATTTCGTCAGTAAGTAATTCGTCAGTTATATATCCGAATCTGTGCTGCCACCATTAATTTCGTGATTTTGGTCATTTATGTATCAGAGTGTGTGGTGCCACCATTACGTCGCTTCAACGCGGTATTCCGTAAAAAAAGTGGGGGTTTATCGGGATACACAATATTGGGTGTCGTTTACATGTGAACAAACCAGTGAAACCACTGCACCCATTGCACGAAACCTGAGTTACTTGTCAACGTTGGTGCAACCTCAAAAGTGCCGTTTAGGCTGTGATAAGTGAAAAAACTGGATTGTGGATTGTTGAAACTGTTACAGAGGAGTGTAAGTACCTTTTAGTAAAGATAACTCAACTCAACTCAGGTAACTGCCTGAGATGATGCTGAATAACATAGTATTAAATTACTATTAATAATCTTCCATCAAATCAAATTAATCTTCTGACACGCAAACATGTGAAAACGGGAAAATTTTCTGGAGTTGTCCACTTTCGGGAAGTGCACATGGGCATCTGCCTGCTAATACAAATTTAAAATTATCTCGGGCGATTGTGTATTGACTGCAAGCATCTCAAAGTGGCGGATAGGCAGTGCAGCTGTCAAAAATCGTTTTGGGTCATTGGATGCATAATATCCTCGGTATTCCCTGTAGATTTTGTCACCGCAAAACTGACTTTATTTTATATGGCTGATGGCGGTGGTTACTGTTTACATGTACTGCGCCAGTTTTTCATGAAAAACTGGTTAATGCCGATTCCCGTTGCGGTATATTTTCCAGATTTGCTTATCTGCTTTTGCATAGCGATTTTACAGTGGACACCAATAAACTAGAAATTTAGAAGCTTTATTTAATTAAAAGTGGGAACGCTATTGAGAGGCACTATACACGTTTGTATGCATATCAAACTCTGCGTAAAATATTAATCAACTTCGTGTTTTTAAAGCATGTTAGCCGCTCGGAGCAAGCGCCGTAGCCCCAATGGGTGTATTTCCACTATATAGGGGGAAAAATGAGTCTAGCCGAACCAGTCCCTTGTACTTCTGATGTAAGCCAGCTGGTGTTTACGTTGTGGATTGACAGTGTTTTATGTAAAGCGCTGCTATTAAGATTGCAGGTACTGATAACAGGTAAGCATCACTCGTACAACTGCAGGTAAACAGGCTAAAACTGTATTATAGCCCAGACCTGCCTGGTGCAGCTAATACCACATGTACCGTCAATGCCGCACAGCCTTAATAGCAGCGCTTTACATAAAACACTGTCTAGCCACAACGTAAACCACCAGCTGGCTTACATCAGAAGTACAAGGGATTGGTTCGGCTAGACACATTTTTCCCCCTATATTTGGTAACGATATAATATCACGTTGTTTATAGCGAAATGATACTTTAATTGTATGTTGGTGATGTTTGACAGGCGATTAATGCAAACTTGTGTGAGAACACACCGGCATAACTCCCAAGCTTCCCTCGAGTTCAAACATGATTTTGTGCATTTTTACGAGTTGCATGCTTTTTTCGCTGTGTAAAGCTAAAGGAGTGGTGTATACGGCTGACATAACGGTAGACGCTAGTGTCTGGTTTTATAGCAGTAATAGCCCCACTAAAACACTTATGTTTTATGGATTCTTATTACTGGATCGTCAGTCGTTTGCGTCCCTTCGGAAATATCTGCTTTAAAATGTTATGCCAATGACATCACACGATACAAATGCAGGAATTTGTACGTAGTTTATGGTATCCGTTATTTGCCATTACGGAATTCCTGGGCACTCTATTAAAATTAATGTTGTTTAGAAAGTGTGATAATTTTAATATCATCATCCTGTTCCACTTGTTCTTGTGACTTGTGAGCCAAATGCCGTTTTCGAGTTATATGTAAGAATTGCCATGTGTTTTTGCGAGAATTTACCTAATGCTCTTCGAAGTCTTTGAAAGCCAGGTGACGCAAACTTCAGTGTCTTCTCAAGTTTCTCAGGAAATACGCCTGATTCGTTTATCATAAAAACCGTTTACTGTGGCCAAACTCTTTACCATTACCAATTCAGTGTAGTAAATAATAAATACTGGACCAAAAACGTCTTCGTCGGACTCCACATGTGAAATGTTGTTCTGCAGTACTTGTACTCCTATAAGGCAACTCTTCTGTCTGATTGTTATTTGCACCCGATTCCTCTCAGTACTTCCTTCATCAGTGACGTACCATAATCGTAAGTGCGCCACATTTTTGTTAATCTGCAAATGACCGTGTGGAGTAATAATATCTTGAAGGCTTGAACATTCATATATTCCGCGACCAGAAATTACGTTTGTCTTTGCCGCTCATTACATGTACCTATGTGTTACCAGCCAAGTTTAAAGCCCAAACTTGAGTGTCGTCCTAACCGGAAATGGGCCTGCTCAGATTCGAATTAAATTAAACACGTACAGAGTAACACACAAATCCTGTTTTTCTGCTACAGCTGGAATGACTTACAGAATACTCGTACCTCGTGGTACTTGCGTACGGAATGCGTACATAATCATCCAATCTAGAGCAGTGTGTGTTTTCGTCTGTTGTTGCTATCGTTTTCTTTTCAGACCTCATGAAACCACTGCTCACCATACCTTGCCCGAGTGCCAAAGGCGGTCATCTCGGATCCATTACCGTGTACTGGAATGCTTCCACTAACGGGAAGACATCTTCCAGCATGAACGTCACCATCCCGAGCAACTGCAACAGCAGCAACGCTACTTTTGCGTTATACTTCAATATCAGGTGTGTGTAATTATTTGACACTTCAGGGAGATGCAGGAGCTTGCAAAATATTAAAAACTGCTCATAAATTTAGAATAATGCTTTTCTATCTGAATGCTGTATCTGTTATTACATAATGAAATTCATCAAATATTCCACCTTTCACAGGTCTCTCATGATCTCCAGAGGCAGCACGTTAAGATTTTCCCAGCCAAAATTAAATAAAATTAAGCTTTGTAACAGCTTCATTGTGATACCAAACTCGTCTGAAGACCATATAGTGGCATATACGTACAAATGTGTCCTCGTGCTTGTTAGAAAGACAACTGACACGAATTTATTATTACAGCTACACCCTTATTATATTTTAAGGTAGTGGGCCGGCATATGGTACCAAATTCGTGTACGAATACTTTCAATTTCGCGCACTCCCAAACACTTTTTTGTGTCGGCTGTTTATGTTGAATGAAAGTAAACGTCGTTATAATTTGGCGTCGCATATTATTCATTATCCGACAACTAATAGTATTATGTCATTTTAATGAAACCTTTGACCTTGTACACGGCGGGACTAATTTATCTGCTGTTGTTGCACCATACTGTTTCCCTCGCGTCCGGGATAAACTGCTCTTGATCACGAAACCTTTCACTACACAGACGCAGTGAAGCTGTAATGATTAGTCCTCATCATTCATCGCGTCCCTTTGCGTTGTTCTGCCTTGATTCTAACGGAGCACACATATTACCGTGTTTTCCAATGCATTCTCCGTCAGGCTGTAATGTCTGATGCAACACTCGACCTTTTCCTTCTAGTTTCCCGTACTTCGTTAATAGAATGTCTGGAATTATTTACTGCTTTTGCCGAGGAAATAACGTCACGCTGCTGGGAAACATTAATCGATCTTTCCGGTTCCTCCCGGATTCCATAATGAATTTTTCTTCATATCTGGTTTAGTTTTCTCACCGTCTTCGGCACTTCGGTCCTATCACGCAGCGTAATTGCAACTTCGTGCAGACAAATGAACGCATCCAACATCACTGCCGCTAAAAGCGGAACGCTCATAAGTGTTTCCAACCCTGTGACAACGATCGTTGCGCTTCTTCTTAACATTGCTGTATTGATACTCTATGTCGCTTGCGTTCGCCACAAGACACCGTTTTCCCTGTTTGTCGCTAATTTATTGTTAGCTAATGTATTTGGCAGTATCAACGCCTTCTTCGACCTGGCGATCTGGCTGCATCACTATCAAATAGCTGATACCGTGTTTTGTGCTGTTTATTTTTACTGGGCCAACATATTTTATGGTGTTGTTGCCGAAGCGCACGTCTTGATCAGCATTAACCGTACATGGGCTATCTTGTTCCCGATTTCATATCGTAATTTCCACACCAAGCAAACCACCTTTTTAATCTGCATACTCGGGTTTCTCATAATACATTTTATTGTGATTCCCTACTACATTTACCGTTTTCTCAATGTGGCCCGCTTCTGCGAGTATTTCCCCAAAGATCGAGCATTCCGAACGTTGACGCAGATTATCATCTACGACCTCGCATCGGTATTGGTTGTTGTAGCGTTTCCTGTAATTTGCTGTGCCAAGCGCCACAGAATGTCCAAGATCGCCGCGACGGAACGTGCACGTGCCCGCTCCAACAGCTCGCGCAACGGACGCGTGGATCGTTCGTTTTTAACATTAACAGCTTTGACAGTGACCTTTGTTGTGTTCTGGGTCCCGGCTAAGATTTATTGGTCGCTGCTGTTTTTTGCCGGGATTCGCTTGAGCGATGTCTGGTTGGCGTTGGTGACAACCCTGTCTACGCTGCAGGCTGTGTTTGATCCCATCTGCTTCGTGTTGACCTTTCCGGAACTCAAGGAAATTGTGGCGTGTTTGTGTCGAAGGAAAACGGTTTCTCCGCAGAAAGCTGTATCTGCACAAGTAACACGTGCTGTCACTGCTTGATCACAGGAAATCCTAGGCGCGTTCAGTCCAACACGCATGTCTGGTTTCCGGTGCTCCGTATAGACATTTTAGACGCTACTGTCGCAGTACTTCGATTTGATATGGGTAATCAACACCTAATGAAAACAGCTGAAACTTGAATTTCTGGTGCACGTGAAAGTGTCCCGTTAGGACAGGTTAAGGCCTTGGCGAATGAAAATAATATCATGATTAGCCTGGTCATGGTGTACCGCTTATTAAATTTATTTGCCTCTGTAATTATTGTACTCCGTTGTTGATCGTTGCACCTCCTTATGGTAAATTGGTGTAACTAACACAACCTGATGCCTGTAAGAGACTTCAGATGTTCAGTGGGTGACAAACTAACAAGTTTTGAAAGATGCTTTACAATTTCCACCCCGTTATGAGGACAATTATAAGTCTGGGTGAATTACGATAATCAGCGCACTTGAACGTGCTAGCGAAGACAAAAAATAACGCGATCAGTGTGAGATGTAGAGAAACGGTTAACAAACTATCAAAATTATAAATTTAAAACGCTGGTGTTGTACGAACAAATACAGTAAATATACCATAGATCAGAGCTACTTGTACGATTCTAGCAGCCATTCAAATCCGATAAATTCGCTTGAACTGGCTATGACGATCTCCATCACCGGAATTCGTAAAAATGCCGAGTTTGAGGTAATAGTAACGATCACCATCGATGTTGTAACGCTTTCTCTCAAAGCAGACAATCATAGATGACATTCTCTCAAAGCTAATTTTTGTGATTTCCAGTTTACAACAAACGACTTACAATGGACTGTAAATACATGCTTGCTCCCAACTGCATTACATTACAAAGGTGTGGAAAAACTGATATCAGTTAGGCCATAAAATTTGCACTACAATGACGCCCCAACGACAAAAACATGGATTACCAACTGACAGTGAGGGAAATCTGCAACTGATTTACCGGTATGTCGGATTCGTCACTGGTGGCTAAATAGCTGCCGGCATGAAGTTTAATTAATTGCACATTTTACTGACACTGCCACGTTTTTGTTCAGAATATTTGGTGTTAATGAGGGCTTTTCATCTCGCGTTTAACACTTTCATGCTCTAAGGCGCGAATGCTCAGAGCTAAACACCACGCACGCCAGTCGCAGCGACACTATAAAGTGTGATATTTAACACCATACTTAGCACTGAGCTAATTTAACACCTGCTGTAATATTTACCTAACGTACAGATTTGCTAACCCAATGCCAATAAAGAAACCGAATGTTACTAGGTTTTCGGTTACAGTAAAGATTAGCCAGGAATGCATTTACGTGGACATGCCAGTTTTAAAGAAGCTGTACTCCGACTCAGGACGCTATGCTTTGTGATCGTTATATTTCAAGTGACAGATGGATCCGCAAAATACGACTTCTTGCTGTGGCCTAACAACACTGTTCCATACAGTTTCAGCTCCATTATGCGCAACGGTAATATTACGTTTATCGCTGTGTGGTAATTCCACAGTCATCTCTGCTAGGTTTGATAATTTTAGATACGGCGGATAGGAAGATGGTGTTAACGTCCATGCAGATCATCAGCCGTATGACCGGGAACTGTGTAAAATTTGTGCAGCGCACAACGGAACCAGACTATCTTTATATTACGAAAGGCGCACAGTAAGTTCGTAGCTGCAGTGCATAAAGTTTTAAAAAATCTTTGAAAAAAACTTCTTGGAAATCCTTGATCGTAGTTGCCTATCGTATACCGGACGAACGGGTGGGAAGCAAGCGTTTCCGGTGCAGAGAGCATGTCTGAATGAGTACGGAAGTATTCAACATGAACTCATGCACACACTGGGCTTTTATCATGAAAATCAGAGGCCTGATCGGGACAAATATATACAAATCATATGGAGCAATATTAAGCCAGAAGGTAGCTGTTTGATGCTTTAATTAGGACTGACTTGGTTAGATCTAAATGTACAATTGTCCTGCTAGCTATATATGTATATGTACAACGAAGGTGGCTGCTGTAACAAAATGAATTAATCATACTAGTAAACCGTTTCTAATTCTGTTAAATGTATTGGTGCATTTAGGGTTCAACAATTTCGCTATCCGTCATGAAATGGAGACCTACGGGCTGCCTTACGACTACTACTCAGTTACGCATTACAACCCATTCAACGAGTTTGCTGTTGACAAGAGTAAACCAACTATGATCCCAAACGTTAACGGGACACGATTAGGGCAAAACGAGAATTTAAGCTCGCTGGATGTAGCGAAAATTCATCAGCGGTACAAATGTGGTGTAGCCGCAGCATCCTATTTTACAGGTAATGCTAAATACAAACATCGATAAGAGCGCATGAACGGCAACAAGGAGTTGCAGGCTATCGCGTAATGGTTCATTAGAACTGATACTTTGAAGTTTGGATAATTTTCTTATGCCAAAAACAGTGACCGTTGCCCTCGCGTTGCAGACATGTGGGTAGGGTTCCAGAGGAATACTTAAATTCTGGTGGGAATATTTTCAGCCTTATGATAAAAGGGTCACCCCGTTCTTTTCATTGACCGTTTGTTTCCCAACGGAAAGCAGAAACGGCCTTGAGCTTTTGTAAACATCGAATTCTTGCTGTTGAGTCGTTTTCTTTTTAGGCGACGATACTGTTAACGAGAACTCTTCGCTGAAGGATACTCCTCGCACCAGCATAGCCTTGCCAGTTGCTTTGGGAACGCTGATTCCGATTGCAGCGGCCGTAGTAGTGGCGTTATGTTGTCTGCGGCTAAAGAACCATCGTCAAGGACACAGTACCATGCGCAAGGCTCGCTGGCGTCCTCATTCGTTCGTGAAGTCTGGAGCATTGCATGATCTGTCTTCCGTTCATGCTAATCTGATTATGAATGATCCTGCGCTCAAGGGTCATGTTAGTCTTCTGGAGATTTCCCTGGCTAAAGTGGTGATCTGTAAGAATAAAATACGTGTAACCGCCAATTACCACAAAGATTGTAGCTGGTAAGTCTTTGCAGCAAATAATCTTCTGGGCAAAGGGGCAACCGGTATAGTCTGGAGAGGCACTGCGGACGGCGTCTACGGCCATCCCGGTAAAGTGGATGTTGCTGTCAAGAGTGCGAGAAAAAAATACGATACCGGCCAAATCCGCCAGTTATTACAAGAGATGAAGGTTATGACACAAGCCGGCCGTCATTTGAACATTGTGAATTTATTGGGGGTAGTAACAAAAGGTGAGGCAGTGTTACTTCTGTTCATTATTTAGGCTTTTACACTTGAAGGCGTAATGTGTTCTCTTCTTTGGCAAGGTGACGTAGTCTTGTTGCTGGAGTACGCGCAGTTCGGCTCTTTGCTTATGTATCTCCAGTCATATAGCACTGAACACGTCTATAATCATGTGGATGAGAACGGAAATATTCTGCCATACGACGAGGACAAAGCCGAATGCATCGAGCAACTTTTGCTTGTTAACGATCCCTGCTGGGCCGAGCACGGACTGAGCCCTCCTTTTTTGTCATCCAAAGCCTTGCTCAGTTTTGTGTATCAAATTAGCCGTGGCATGGAATACCTCGGCACAAAATCTATCATCCACAGAGATCTCGCGGCGCGTAATGTCTTGATTTGTGATAGAAGCGTGGTGAAGATATCCGATTTCGGAATGGCGCAAGTCGGTACCGACGATACTCCGTTTGATCCTAAGGTCAGTATAGTTGTCGCTTGTTATACTCGTATGTCTTGTACGCAGTAAAATGCATGTTGTTAATTGGAGATAATTAAAACACCGCTACTGTAATAATCTTTTTTTATTGGCCTGCACTACGGGAAATAACGAAGAAAAATGTAAAAAATTAATGTACTCTATTCAGAGCAACAAGGTATCAAGGGCCAACCAAGATTCTGTTGAAAATAGCACCATCATTCAGAGTTTCTATCTTTGCAAGAGCATTACTGGGTAGTTTCTTCGCGCACTGAAAGTTGATAAAAAAATAAATTTAACTTAGCAGTTATTAGGAGGCTCTACCGGTGCGTTGGATGCCACCCGAAGCCATCACTAGCAGGATATTTTCCCACAAATCGGATGTATGGTCATTTGGCGTGACGATGTGGGAGACGTTTAGTCTGGGCAAAATTCCATACGGTGGAAGCGACATAATGCGCCGGCCTATCTCGGAATTTGTAATATCGCTTAGAAACGGTTTACGTTTGGAAAGGCCGGTCTTCTGTCCGATCGCCATGTAAGTGCGATCTGTTATTTTAGGAATGCCTAACAAAGCGCGTTAAGAACATTTAGTTCACTAATTCCGAGTTCTGAAAGTTTTGTAATTAACAAACCACCAAGTATATTGTACTTAGCAATTTTAGCTGTAGTTAACGTTAATCATTGACATGAATCATTGTTATCAGTTACGGATGGATGTCACGCTGTTGGGGATGCTTACCGGACGACCGCCCCGATTTTGCTGAACTGACTCAGGCTCTGCGACTGGTTATTGATGGTGATTCCGCCGAGACATATCTTCTGCTGGACGATGTTTACAATCAGTTTAATATGAATTATCTGACAATGTTGGAACATGCAACGATGGATGGCAGCGTCTCCTTACATTAATCCGCTAATTATTCCGTTAGTACATTTTCACCGCCGAGCAGTCAGCTCTATTATTTATTTCTTCGTTCCGATTTTATACGTTTTTTATTTCTTCATGTGAGAACGAAAATATTGGCTGACTCTGCAAACTGTGGCCATTCACGCATTTCCGCGTTTCTTCCTATTAACGTTGCTGTATTGACTGAGTATGAAACGCCGTTTTCCCTGTATACATGTGTAGCAAATTCACTGTTAGCGTAACGTTTACGGCATTCATTTAGTCCCTGCGCCATGTAGGTACTAAAACGATGCTCTTAAAGCATCTCAACTGGAACTGCTTATGCAGTGCTTCCAAGAAGCAATCGATTGTTCAGGTTGGAAAAGAATGCAAGGTCACGAAGCAGCTATAATTACGATTACCAGAACCAAGAAACTCAAGTTTACTGAGCGGCCAGATCGCAGGCCCTGCGTAGTAGTGCGCGTAAAATTGTTGGTTGAAATGGGTTGCGGTTGGTAGTTGGTACGGGGTTTGAAACACCGTTCGCAGGATACCGTATCAGTGAGCTGTAAATAAGGGATGCATTCGGATACGGGGCATGCCCCCGTCCCAAATCTTTCACGGGTAACCTGGTACATTAATCGACCTGCACTTCTGGAACGGTGGTTTCCTGTACCGAAGCTAGTTTCGCTACAAGATATGAGATCCATCCTAAGATGTAGGCCGGTATGGCCATGGTGTGCTTATAAAGTCTTGTATGTACTGTATACGAGTATACAAAATTTTTTATAGGAAAGATTCTGGATGAAAATATACGCATAAATAGACTTACAAATTACAAATAACATTGTATATAGCTTATGTCATAAAAAAAAATCGGACACCACTTGTATATAGGGGAAAAATGTGGATCTAGCTCAGCACCAATCCTTGTGACTTCTGACATGTAAGCATGGCTTAGTGTCGGATTGTACAGTTCTCCTTGTGGCGTTGAACATGTCGGTTTTAGTATCGAGGCAAGCGCTATTAAGAAATGCAGTGTACCGTGACTACACAAAAGGTAAGCATGTCAACTCGTACAGACTGCAGGTCAAACAGGCTCCAAAACTGTATTTTCGGCAGCTAGCAGACCTGCCTGGTGCAGCAGATAGTACCATGTACCGTCAGAATGCGCACAGCTTTGCTTTAATAGCAGCGCTGGTATGCATAGTCTGAACCACGCGCCGTAGTGAATGGCTTGCTCGTAGTGTTTTCCTCCAAAAACGGACAGTGCCAGTTAGCCTTGAAATATAAAGCATTGACCGATACCAGTCTGGTAAACTCTGAGAACTCGGTTGCTGTCACCAAATTATCGATGGTTCCACATGTCTGCTCTTTAACAAATTCATTTATAGCCAGAGCAGCTTCGTCAGGATGTTTGGCGAACTGAACATTAGAGCAGACTGCGTCACATAGCCGCTCTGCGTCGGCAGCGAAACATTCTTTAATTGGAAATTGCTGTTCGACAAATAGTCCAGAGGAGAGGAACAATTTATAGTGGACAACTGGCCCTTTAAAATAATATGTGTAAATGAAACAGGCAGACTTCGAAGTGATTCGGACTTCGAAGAACAAAATTATTAATAAAAACACTGTTCAACAGAACTATTAAGATTATTAGGATTTTTCAGGCTATCAAGTTAAAATGAATTTTATTCGGTACAAAAACAGAGGATTGTTTTAAAAAAGTAAAAAAATATTAGGAAATACTTATAAGAAGCAACGAAATTACCAGAATTACCATAATCATCAGGTATGAAAGTTTCCTCGTTCTGCTTCAGATGGATCAGAATTTGATGCACGATCTCCAGTGCTGATCCTTCTTGCAGTTCCAGCACGTGATTAATTTCCTCCAGCGTGATACCTCTCGCCCCAGAACTAGCAAGAGAGAGCGCGACTTCCGCGCATAATGGAGAAAATAGTAAATTACTCTCTGCACCACTGTGCTGTGCCAAGTAATTGCAAAACTTCATACAGAAGTCTAGACGCCGACCGGAGACCCAAAGTTGGACACGGTTCATGACGAAGTCTGAAATCAACCGCCTGCAGGAAGAACTTGTTGTATTGAATAACGAGCACCACTAAATCGTTAACTAGCATGGTTACTCACACCACAACCGGCCTTATTAAATCACTAACCTGTCTAACTACGTATTTATAGCAAATTCGGTCTGTGTGGGTGAAACTAGTTTCTAACAGTATTCTTACACCCCACCCAATGCAACCGGAAGTCCAGAACTAGGATGGTGGAAGTCACCATCCTTTTGGGTAGAACCTGGGTCAGCACAGGCTAAGCAAAGACAGCGGGTGCGGATCCATGCGAATGATGCGATCAATTACAGATAAGCGGCTGATAAGCAGACATCTAATTAAAAGAAGTTCCCAAGTTCTTTCACTGCCAGTAAATCAGGCGAAGGTACTAGTGTATTTATTTTGCCTTAATGGTCAATGTTATTGATCAAACCTCTTTACAACAAAAAGAATGACTGGTTACAAGATCTTAATGACCAGTAGGATGCTTCTGGTGACTTCCACCGCGAGAGTCAAACGCTTTGCTCAAAACTGCTAGTCAACGAGGTGTTAAATCTCCAAACAGAAAAACGCAGTGGTTAAATGGATCGATAAAAGTCGCACGCCTAGCACGGATAGCATTGCACCACTATATCACATTTTACCAGCATGCCACCCATTCGGACCAAATGCCGCAAAGCAGCACAACTCACAAGAAAGGATTCATGTACAGTATTCATCTATGTGTACGCTCACTGTCGCGCAGAGCAGGCCTCCATACAGTAACACGCCCGTACTATAGGAGGTTTAACTTTAACTTTAAGTGTACCGGGTGTGGAAATGGAATGATTTGCGGATCTAACGTATGTACCATTCCAGGATATGGAATGATCTGCGCATACCGGCAGACGCTTACGGGAATTTGACTAAAATTAAAACCGCTTTAAATAACGGTGTCTCGGGGCAACGGTTTTCATTGGAACATTTGCCCCGAGCTTTGAGCTTTAAATAATGTTGACTGGACGACAGTGAAGTCGCTTAAGAAGGTTTACTATACTTTACTGATTATTGCAGTTGTTGGCAATATGAGCGCTTGTTAATTTGTTTGCCTGTCGTTACTGATATCGTGTGTTTTATTTTTTTAATTATGACGAGTCTGCTGCCTTGAATTGGGTCTTACCCAGATTGTGTGCGGACGTTAAACGATTAAACTTAAACTTTAATAATTTTTTAACTTATCAGATAACAGTAACGATTAAAGACCGTGTAATTACGAGCATATCATCACTTATATGTAACGATAAAGTACGTGATGATATAGGTCCCACCTGCTGTGCTGGCAAACACCCCTACCCCCACCCGCTTATATGCCAGCACAGGGGTGAACCGTAGGGTTAGTGCCTGCCCTATACACGTATTTGGGCGGCAATAGCCAGTGCCCACCTATGCACTACTGCGCAATGTATGCAGCAGCGTTGATGCACAACCGCCGTACACTTGACTCTACTGAAAGACGTTACACAGTTCAGTAGAGTCGGTGTACGACGGTTATGCATCAACGCTGCTATGTAATCCTATAAACATGCGCGCTGATATACGCTTCGCTGGTATGGCATGCGGTTGTATGCGAGTGAGCGCAGTGCACTGCGTGACCACTGGGCACACTGCTCTCTCTCGGTCCACTGTCTTGCAAGAATCTCTGCGCATTTAATAATTGTAAACATCATATTATGCACAGCATATACGTTGCACACAGAGAGCACCTCAGCTGGCTGACCGAATGGATTTTGATCTGGTGCAGTCAGTCATCCGTGGAATGCTCTGGATTTTGATGCAAGCATGTATACTGATGGTACTGCAGTTTCGGTCAGCTGATAACAAAATACTTTCCAACAGAGTAATTGTCCATGCAAAAAACAAATTGCAGAGTTCTCACGGCGCGTTATCTTAATGTCATTCCATCAGCCAGTGGAGAGTCATACACAGATAACGGGCAGCGCTGTCTTCATTGGGCTATGGTAAGTGCAATTTATCGCTCTTCACAAGGCAGCGCTTTAATTTCATGTTTGTTGTCCTGAAGTCCAAATCGGAGATTCTCTTTTTCCTTCAACAATTTTACAAATGCCTATCGTATTGGCGCTGCGTTATTGATTTTATTTCCAACAATAATAAAATGTCGCGCTTAATTGTTTTGGTGATTACGGTATATACAGGTTGTCTGGCTTTCTTGGCCGGCAGTTATGGCCGTCAGTCGCTGCAGTCCGATTCCTCTGCTGCACCTTGCCCGCATTTTTGCACCTGCTATCCTACCTTCTGGAAATGCGGCGACAGTAAAGCATCACTGTGGCCGTTAGACAATCATCCAGATGCAATGATCAGAGGCGTTCGCATGCTCGATTTATCAGGATCAGATGTGGACGTCCTGCCTAATCAGAGCCCAACCCATAATTTTCCCGACCTTCAGCTCATCATCCTGTCGCAGACGATTTTCGACGGCCAGCAATGCCGCGAACTGGAATGCCTGGAGAATTTGGGTATCCGAGTCATTGCTCCTCGTTGCCCTGCAGGTAACACAGTAATGAAAACATTTAAATAATTGTCAAATAATATCGTTGAAATAATTTCTTAAAGTTAAGCATTCGTATTTTCTCTTATAATAATATAAAAATATTTCGCAGACAAACGCACCGGATGTGCGTATCCGCCATGCTGCCCATGGGCTGCAGCAGCACGGACTCGTCCACTTCCACCACCATCACCTACTGCCGACAAGTCTCAGTCTCCACTGCTACCATTCATCAACGGAGAAACCTCGACCATTTTCAACCCTTCGCGGGATCGGGAATACAGCACACGGGCTATGGCACCATCAACAGCCGCGACCGATAATCTGAGCGGTAAGAGTGATGATGGGGAGCGTATTGTTATTGGTGTGGACAACACAACTCATTCTACTGCTGCAATTTTTCCCGTTACGCTGTTATCGCTGCCAGCCGTTTTAACAACGTATGCGAGTTCGAGAAAGCCGCCTAGTCATGCGACTGCAAGTACGGGTACATTACTTCCGCTGACTACATCTAGTGATTATTACCTGCGTAAAGTAGTGGTGGTGGGCGGATTAAGTACTGCCGGCAAAACTGCTACACAGCTACCGCCGACTACGATAAAGACAACATTGACGCCGTCCGCTGTTGTAACACCCACACGCGCGCCCGCCCAGCTAGAATTTAATTTGATGTCGATATTAACCACAACCTCTTTTATCACTGATAAAGTGTTCGCAACGTCATTCCCTGTCGAATTGGTCATGCATCGTGAGAGTTATTACAAGAATAGGGATCAGAGTAGCGATAATGTAGCTGTGTCAAAAAGCCCGATATGATGATGACACCTTCCCCTTCATCTCAGTCGTCGTTAGTTACCGATATGACGGCGCCAGAAGCGGATATCAGCAGTGAAAGAACGAGCACGGCGGACACCATTCGTATCACGACTGCTACCAACTCCACGATCAGGTCAACCGCTGCTGTAACGATGCCGGCCGAAGCAACCTTGGCAAGTATAACTCCACCCACGGTTACAGACGCTGCTGACCCTTCCACCTGCGTCCCGAATATTTCTACTTCCCCACAGCCAATTCTCGCAACACACCCACTTATCAACACAACAGCTGATATGGGTATATTGCCACCGCTGCTGCTGGCTTCGCATCCGGGCGAAAACACTAGTGCGGCTGTATCCAAAAGCAACGACGCAGAATTATTTGTATTAAATAGCAGTAGTAATGCGGATGTCGGTCAGTCGGAACGTTTTGAATTGTCATCGTTATCTGCTGGCAAGGATAGTGATGATGATGATGATGACGAACCTCTGACGACTATTGTTGGATCCGTGTTGTCCCCAACGACGACACCAGCCACGCTGGCGCTACCGGATGCTACAGATTCGCATTGTTCCCTGTGCCAACATATCATGCCCTCCGTGTTTGCTTGTAGGTAGTCGTGACGGTAGTGCTGAAGTTCGTATGGGATTGCTGGCAGATCGGTTTACTGCAGCTAGTATTGCGGTAGCAAGTGTCATTCTGCTTCTGCTAGTCATCTTGTGTATCTTGTGGAAGCGTGGTTATCGTGTTATTCGCGGCGGCGGCGGAGGCGTCGGCAATAATCAGCAAGATGACGGTGGCGATGAGGACCATGAACGCAGTCGCGGTCGCCGCAGTGCTTCGGTGTGGTCTTGGATGAGAGGAGTCTTTAATAACAACAGGGACAACAGCAGCAGTGGCGGCGGCACTAACGATGATGTCAATCGTCCGGGCATGGGACTGGGCAGACAAGTTCAAGGTGGGCACGATGGGCGTTGGGGTGGTGGTCGTGGCGGAGTATCAACGAATCCTATCTTCAATCCCGGCCGTCAGCAGCACCATGGCTTCTCTCCAGTAGCCAACCTGAATTCCAGGACACCGACTCGCCACATGCCGTCCCCACGCCCTGCCGGAAATAATCCCGTGCTTGATGATAGAGTGATGAACTTTGACGACGATAGCGATCACGACCACGACCACGACAACAACGATAACAACTGCCGTGACCGCCAGCAGCAAGTTGCGGGAAATAATGCGCGATTTCCGGCAGAGTACCGTGCGGACGACAGGGAATCTCCCGTGTACAATTCCCCACGCTCTAATGTGTCACGAGTTATTGTTTCTGCGGAAGTGCACGGACGCAATAACGCCGATCAAGAGCAGGACGAACAGGGCGGTAAGTGTAGCTGAGTAATATAATGATGCTTAGGTATTTCCGTTATTGCACGTATATTGAATTTGCCTTGTAGAACACATGTACGAAAATGTTTTACTACCGGCTCTACCACTGCCACCATCTTCTCCTAATCGCTCTGTGAGTATTGGCAGCGCAGACGGTGAGTTTGCTTGATTATTATAACGCTGCATACATTTATTTTTTCATCGCACTGATCATTACTTTATTGTAGAACTTATGAGCGGAAACTCGTCCGCTCCTCCACCATTTTCTCCACGGCACAATGTCAGAAGCAGCAGCATGAGCGCGCTGGAGGAAGTTCTGGAAAGGGAGGAAGAAGAAGATGATGATGATGACCAGCACCGAGTAGTGGTCCATAATGAAGAGCACGGGAACAATTCGGTTCTGGAGCGGGAGAGTAGCGAACATGAAGGCGACGGGAGCGGTGGTGGGTAATTATACAATTTTTTATCTATACGAACCAACAAAATCTGGACGATGTGTTTTTTTGTCAGGACAGGAAATAGATGTGCAACTTCCTGAAGCAATGGTGGCAAGCGGGCACCTGGGAGTACTGCGTGGTCGCGGTCGCGGTCGTCCTCCTGGCGGTGGCGGTCGTGGCCGTGGTTTTCGCGGTGGATTTCAGGCGAATGCGGTTTGGAATCGACGCGACGGAAGTGGGTACCGTTTGGAACGTCGCTGAAGTTTAGATATACATATTTGTTTTGAAAAGGCTTTTGTATATAGTTTATCGCCAATTTTGCTCATCAATTTCCTTTCTTTCGTCCTAAATGCATAAAATGTACATAGATTATTTACGTTAAAAATGTAATGGTTACCAATTTCGTTTTTCTATAAGCGTTACAGCTACTAACGATTTGCTGTTCTGACAAACTAATTTGACTTTTGTTATTATACAACTTGCATTTGACGTGCATCGGCAATTTGGAATTTTGTTGAATTTTTGAACCAAAATTATAATTTTAATCTCCTACGCGTGTATTATCGCACGGCGGTTGCACAATAACAAATGCATTGCACAAGTTTTTATGATGTCCACGGAGGTGTTTACTGCAGAGGCTCTGCCTACATCCATATTTTTTATATGAATGTATCGCGAGCCTCTGCAGTTCCCACCTAGTGGGGTAAAAAACGCTGGATCCAGTGAATAAGTCTGCCTATGAGCAAATGCAACTAAACAAGCGCTCGGTGACACAATGCAGGTCGAACGGTAGAATATAATTGTTAGTACCAAAATGAGTGTAATCCTGGTGACCTTTTCAGCTGCTGGGAAATTGAAATCTGGCTGGCTGGTTCTCGCAAAGTTTATTCCGTATAATAATCGTCAGGCACAACAACAACAACAACTGCGCTTGTCACATTACAATAATTCGTAAGCTCACAGGAGCACTAGTCCATATAAGAAGAGGTAAATTTCACTCAACAACAACGTCAGGCAGCCCGCCGGAAGTGGTGGCCGTTGCGGCAATCGTACCCATACGCTTATTGACAACGACTTGGAACGGACAGGTCAAACAGAGCAAGCGTAATTTTCCACGTTTACGTGCTATCAATGTACAACAGCTGGCACAACGCTGACATTGCACAAATGCCTTAAAATAATTCTTAATTACTTGGTTAATATGGCGGAAGTTGAAGTGGCCGTAGATCTCCAGGTAAGTGTATTGCCGATATGGATCCGATACAAAAACGGCGGGTGGGCAGGGCTCCAGTCCTGGGCGCGCAATCGTCATAGCTCGTAGAGCAGTGTGGAAGTAATCATCCAGCCTGATAAGTGGTTGCTCCATGATATTGCGAAACTGATAAAAGTTAGTAATTCTTGTAATGCAGACAAAGGTGTTGCGATGGCTAATTACGGGAACGGGAAGTGGCTATACAAAATAACTTGTGTTAACATTAATGTTAGGCACTTGCAAGTCTCGTATAGTTAATAAAGTGCTGATGAAAGTGAAGAATATGCTAAAAATAAGAAAGATAAAAGCGACGACGAGAATTACCAAAATTAGTGACAGCGTCACATGCTCTGGAAGGTCGAGGGCGTGACGCCTAGCGCTACCGTCAGCTGTTGTAGAGTAGGACGGCGGTGGCGAAGACGGTACTGTTCGTATTCCTGCAGGTGGCGTATTCTCGCGATCTTCATTAAGATTTTGGATTCGGATGATTGTAGTGGTGGTAGTGGCGGTCGTGGTGGTGGCATTTTCTTCATCGCCGCTGCTCTGAGATGGTGTAGAAGATTGGTTGTGGTGGCTATCTGGACGGCGGCGATTGGTAAGCGAGTTAAGACGCTCAAGTGGCATCGTTGCTATTACGCACTGTGGAAGGAGATGCAATAGGTGGAGGACACTCTAGGATTTCTAGTAACTGCTTATAATAATTCTGCAGGATTTTCCCGATTAATTGTCGTGCAGCGTCACACTTGGCCAGTTGATTTGTTGGGCCACACCCTATAACAAAAATATCCTCGTTCGCAACAGTAGCTTGACAGTTCCAGCTGGTAGCTTCTGCTGAAGGCAGTCGGCGATATTCCACATCAAAATTCTAAAACCGTGGCAATATTATCCAGCAAATAAGGCAAAGATAAATGACTGCGGGAAAGGGAATGGGTTGAGGTGAGAGACTGCGGTGCACCCAACAACTCAAGTAGCTTGTGCTGATAGTTGCGTAACAAGATGGCAAAAAGCTTTTTTGCGGCGTCTTGCTTAGCGGTAGCGGACGATTTGCCAACTCCAACAGCAAAAATATTCTCTGTAACAATACTAGCACGGTATTTGCAGGCGACAGCTTCGTTTATACGCCGAGGAATATTTTTATATTCAACTTCAAAAGACAGTGCTTTAGTAATAATATTGACTATAGTCGTAAAGTAGCGCCGCACCATTCCGGAAAAGTAAAGTGACCAGAAAATCTAACAGCGCGGACATGGCTTATAAAGAGCGCCAATAAAGATAATTGCTATGTTTTATCAGTCGAATGAACCGCCCAGCAGAACTCCTACAATCCTCCTCCCTTTTAAGTGGGAGGAGAATTGTGGGAAAGCTGATTTGCGACAGATTATGAGGGTATATAAGTGAATTTAATGGGCAGAAAAATAACAATTTTCCTCCCTGCTTTACGCTGCTGACTACTAGGGATGTGCTTCGGTGCATGTTGATTGTCCCCAGCTGCCAGCACGTTTAATTTAGACTTTGTGGATATATCTACGTTCCGCACGCACGTTTGCAACTCGTCAACTGATTCTGATCTTTATCAAAGAGCACATCTGGATTTAAATAAGCGGTAAGTTATGGCTAAAGTAAGACAGAGCGTGACTACTGCAGCAGAGAGTCGGCGAAAGGCAACACTGCTGAAAAGTTTGTACACCGATATAACATCACCGGCTTACCTCACCGGCGCTGCAAGTCTATATCGAGTGGCCAAAGAACGGGAAGTTGAGAAAAGAGTTAAGATTACCCTAAAAGATGTAAAAGATTTTCTTGCGCAGCAGCGAACTCACACCGTTCATAAGCCTGTACGAATAAAATTCAAAAAACTGAAGAATTTTTGTGTGGGAGTGGACAATGTCTGGCATGGTGATCTGGTGGAATTACAAAAAATTAAAAAGTTTAACGAGCGATACAAGTACATTTTGACAATGGTGGACTGCGTGAGCCGCTATGCAACCTCCTTTCCCTTAGAAAACAAATCGGGTGAAACTGTGGCAAAATCAATGGATAAAATTTTTAAAATACGAAATCCAATTGTACTAAGTAAGTGCATTATGTTTGTAAGTCTCAGTAAATGCATCCTTATTTACGTGAACAATTTTATGTGCAGTAACTGATGCTGGCAAAGAATTTTTGAATGCAAAAGTAAATGCCGTTCTCCAAAAGTATGGGATAAGACATCAGGTTTCTTCTTCGCGCTTCAAAGCAGCCCTTGCAGAGCGATACAACCGAACGCTAAAGACAATCCTTTTTCGCCACTTTACCTATACCAAAAGTTCTAACTGGCATTCGGCGCTGCAGAATATTGTTAGCAATTATAATATGAGTATTCATAGCGGTGTTAAAATGAAACCGGCGGAGGTGACAATCAAAAATCAGTCACAACTGTTCAAACAAGGCCAAGAAAAAAGATTTATCAAGCTTGCCAAGCCAAAATTTAAAGAAGGGGACCTTGTGAGAGTTGTTTTAAAGAAATCTGTTTTTAGCAAAGGTTACACGCAAACGTTTAGTGACGAAATTTTTCGCGTATCCGAAATCGTTTACGGTCCGGTTATAACCTATCGGCTTACATCACTTTCTACTGGGCAACCAGTACGAGACGGAAATCGCGCGGCGCAGTTCTATCAAGAAGATTTATCTTTGGCCAGGTTGTTCTGTAGTGTTAATAATGGGTCTTTCAAAAAATTTGAATTGATTGTTATTCGTTGCAGACTGTAACCTGAACGCGAAGATGATGGAAAATGGATATTATGTGGTGCTGCACAGCGGAGCTTCACCAGCGTATGGCGCTACGGTCCTGCATAATACTGCAACGAATTTTTCAAATAAGATTCAGCTGCCGTTGCTGTCCTACAAGGAATTAGAGCAGCCGTGGGAAGTGGCTCTCGTACGGGCTTATTCCTCCGCAAAATTGTCCAAAATTCCGCCTGAGCAAAGGCAGCTGACAATCTATTACAAGAGTCAAGCAGATTCCTGCGAAGTATACCTTGATGGGTTTTTAGCGGAATCAGATTTCGAAAAATCGCCTGCAGATCTGATTGCCGCTCTTGCAAAAGCTGTTGATGCGATACTTACAGGAAGTGGAGCGGCGTGTGCCTGGGCCACCAGACCGCAGATCCAGTTAATTGATGGAAGACTTTATTGGTTCAGTGAGAATGACGAAATACAGATTGTAAACCGCGGTAATCTACTCTGCGCGGCACTCGGATTGACCTATGACGATTCTAATGGAGTTATGCGGCAACACGTTCTCACGTCTTACGTACACGATCAAAATTTTCCCAAGTACAGCGATACACGCCTTGCACGCCATCGTCTCTTGGTTGATCCTGCACGCGGACGACGACAGGTTCTGCTAACACTGAGTCACATTATCCCTGCAGCGTTTGGCAGTCGGGCAGAAAACTTACTCGCTATGATAACCCCGGCCGAACTGGAGAAGGGATACGAACCTGCCACACGAATTTACCTTCCTGTGCATAATTGGTTCTCCAAAGCGAACCCATTTATTCAGCTACAGACTGACTGGAAAATGCAATGGAAAGAAGACGCGCTTGGGGAATCGGCAGTGGTTCTCCATTATCGAAAATGCAAGCTCAACGAGTCCACATCTGTGTAGGTGTGTTCGTGGAATCTTTTTCGTAATGTACGCAAAAGTGACATTTGATGTCGAAAAGAAACTTAGAAAGAACGCAATTTAATTTTTTTCTCGTAAGAACAATGTGGGCGTGGTTCTGTAAGTTGAAGAACTTGTAAGTTGAAGAACGCGAGGATTGTTGAAGAACTTGTAAGTTGTTGATGCTGCTGCTGCTGCTGCTACTACTACTATATAAAATGAATAAAGTGCGACAGTAAGTGTTCATTCTGCAAAAGTAGAGTCTTGTACTCGCGTTCTTACGCTTTAAACACTATTAAAAACGGCGGGACATACGACGACGACGAATAGACGACGACGACGACGAGTACGACGACGGCGAGG